GGAAGCCCCCCGAGACTCTCCACTCACGCGTCGAAACCGGGAAGGGAAAGGAAACGACCCCGCCAAAAGAAAGTGAGAAACATCGCCAGAAATACACAAACGCTCGCGCACAAACACACGCACAAAGCCCATCCACACACACACATACACACACACACACACCGTTACGCTGTTTGTACCCACCGCCTTGCACCCTCTATTTCTACCTTTGGGTTTGGGTACCTAACCGTCGGTTGACTCAGCCCCGGGACTCTTTCCACCTACTATTTTTTTTCCTTGTTGTTTTTGCTGTCACCTCTCCCCCCCCTCGGTATCCCGACCTTACTGGCTAACCTTCTCCTGTGGGACCAGTCCTCTACCTAATTAGTTTTCATTTGTTGTCTGTCTCTCTCCCTCTCTCCCCCTCCCCCTCCACCCCTCCCTACACGACGCGACTCACGATTATCGGCGCATACCGTTTTCTGCGAGAAGCCGAAGCCGACGGACTCGATCGACCGTCCGCACAAACACTGCAAACGCACTCCGACAACCCACCGGCCGACTGCGCGCGTAGATCACGGAACACGATACATCTCCTTTGAACTCGCCCTAATATGGAGGACCAGTTGGTTTCGCTACTGGCGAATACCCAGAGCTCCGAACAGGGCCCCCGCCAGCAGGCCGAGATCGAGCTCAAGCACGCCCGCTCCAACCCGGCCTTCCCTACCTCACTGGCCAACATCGCCAACCACACCTCCATCGATACCGCCATCCGCCAGGCTGCCCTCAGCACCCTGCGTCTCTTCATCGAGAGAAACTGGAACCCCGAGGACCGAGACGCCAGCGAGCCCCTCGTCGAAATCTCTGATCCCGCACGCGAACAGCTGCGCAACACCCTTCTCGAGATCGCCCTCAGCAATGAAGACAAGAGGCTTGTCAAGATTGCCGCAAGGTATGGTGGTGCGCTTGTCTCTCTGTCTGCCCGATCCACGCGCCCTCTACGGCACGCCCAAGCCCAATGAAGAAGAGTCAAGCTGACTTGGTCTCTCTCCCTGTCTTTAGCTACGCTATCGGCAAGATCGCCTCCGTCGACTTCCCCGAACGATGGCCCAGCCTCCTGCCCACCGTCCTGGGCGTCATACCTACGAGCACCGACGTGCAACTTCACGGTGCCCTCCGAGTTCTCGGCGACATTATTGATGAGAGCCTGAGCGAGGACCAATTCTTTACCATGGCCCGCGACATCGTCAAGACCGTCACCGAGGTCGCCCTGAACGAGGCCCGCAAACCCAACCTGCGCGCCCTCGCCATCTCCGTCTTCCGCTCCTGCTTCGACCTCATGGATATCGTCAAGGAGGACCACATGAAGGAGGTCAAGACCTTCGCCGAGGAGGCCCTCAAAGACTGGTATCCCTTCTTCGCCCAGGTTCTCAAGTCTCGTCTGCCCGACGCCCCCGCCGAGCTTACCCACGGACAGCCCGACAGCTGGAACCCCGTCGTTGCCATGAAGTTGCAGGTCGTCAAGACCCTCCTCAAGGTCAAGTCCGTCTTCCCCCACCTCCTACTGCCCCACAGCACCAGCCTCTTCACCGCCGTCTGGGAAGAGCTGTCTCTGCTGCAGAAGCCGCACGAGGACCTCTACATCGGACACGAGGCCCAGGGCCGCCTTGAGGACGCCGACAGCCTGCCTTACACACTGGATTTCTTGATACTCGAGGAGCTCGACTTCCTGAACCAATGCTTCCGCGCGCCTCCCGTTCAGGCCGAGCTCGAGGCCCAACTGGCCTCCCACGCCTCGGCCCAGGATACCCCCTGGATGGTCGACGTCATGAAGATGGTTATAGGCTACTCCCGCATCAGCCGCGAAGAGGAGGAGCTGTGGGATATCGATTGCTCCCTATACCTTGCCGAGGAGACCTCCGTGACGGCCAACTACACTGCCCGCACCGCTTCTGGCGACTTGCTCATCAAGCTTGGCGAATGGTACAGCGAGAAGGCCGTCGAGGGGCTCTTTGGCTACACCAAGACTCTCTTCCCCGGCGACGGCTCCAACTGGAGGAGTCAGGAGGCCTCGCTTTACCTCTTCAACATGCTCCTGAGCGACTTCCAGGACATGGAGAAGCCCATCCCCGAAGCTCTCTCCAAGGCGTACCTTGGACTTGTCGACTACGCCGTCAACCAGAACGAGCAGCCCTTGCTGAGGGCTCGCGGCTACCTCGTTGGGGGTACTCTGGCTAGGGGCTTCCAGACCCCGCCCGCCCTCCTCGACCGCATCATCCAGTGCATCACCTCCGAGGAGTCCGAGGTTGTTCAGGTTGCCTGCATCAAGGCGGTCGAGGGCTTTATTCGCTCCGGAAGAGTGACTGCCGATCGTCAGGTCCCCGTCATCAACGCCATCGCTCAATACATGCAAAACAAGGACCCCGAGGAAATGGAGGACGCCGATGAGCTCCTTGTCACTCTTGCCGAGTCCCTGCGCGCCGCCATCAATATGAACACCAGAATTGTGCTTTCGCAGGATGTTCCCTCGGTTGACCTTCTCTTCATGGTTGCCAAGCTCGGCGCGTCAAACTTCCAGGCTACTATGCTCATCTGCGAGGCTTTTGAAGAAATCGTGCGCACTCTTTCCGACACTGCTTCTTACACTGCTCTCTGCGCCAAGATTCTGCCTACGTTGACCGCGGCTTTCAACACCGCAAACGTTACCCAGGACGATCCTCTTGTTACCGTTGCCACAGAGTTGCTCACCGCCCTTGTCGAGCACGGATCTGAGCCTCTGCCTGCTGGTTTCGTCGCCGCCACGCTCCCTAAGCTTAACCGTCTCCTGATGGAGTCGAACGAGGGCGAGGTTCTGCGCCCCGGTGCCGAGTCTGTCAAGTATCTCCTCATGCACGACCACCACCAGGTCTTTGGCTGGCACGACGAGAACGGCCGATCGGGTCTCGAGGTGTGCCTCCACATCATCGACCGTCTGCTGGGCCCTTCTGTCGAGGACAACTCTGCTTCGGAAGTCGGTGGCCTTGCGGCGGAGCTCGTCGAGAAGGCTGGCCAAGAGCGTCTTGGTCCATTCCTGCCCCAGCTGCTACAGGCCGTAGCTACCAGGCTCGCCTCCGCCGAGGCCGCCCCTTTCATTCAGTCTCTGATCCTTGTCTTTGCCCGCCTGTCGCTCGTAGGTGCCAGTGATGTTGTAGAATTCCTCAGCCAGATCCAGATCCACGGCAACACGGGTCTGCAGGTTGTGATGAGCAAGTGGCTCGAGAACTCGGTCAGCTTTGCCGGGTACGACGAAATCCGTCAAAAGTAAGTCTACCAAGTTCTGCTGAAAAGATACACACGAGGCTGACTTTTTTCTTTTCTTTTCTTTTCTTCTTTGTAGCGTCATTGCCTTGTCCAAGCTTTACTCTCTCAACGATATCCGTCTTGCCCAGACCATGGTTAAGGGCGATCTGATTGTGAACAGCGGCAACGATGGCAGAATCATGACGCGCTCGCGTGCCAAAGCCAGTAGGTGCTCCTCGGCAGCGAAAATTCTCTAGGTAACTAACCTGGACGACTTAGACCCCGACCAATATACTGTTATTCCCGCCTCCCTCAAGATTCTCAAGGTTCTGATCGAAGAGCTCCTCTCCGCCTCAGGTGCCAACGCCGCCGCCAACGCCGCAGCAGTGGCGGCCGCGGCAGAGTACGCCGACGAGGAGAACGAAGACGATGGCTGGGAGGATGAGCCCGAGACGCTCGACCTCAGCCTGGGCGGCACCAAGGCGGATCTGATGTCCTTCATCGAGGGCTCCGGTGCCCGCCAGCGCGACGACGAGACGCAGGCCTACCTGACAGAGTTCTTTCTGCGCACGGCACGTGAGAACGTGGCCAACTTCCAGGAGTGGTATGGCATGCTCACCGAGGAGGAGCGGGGCAAGCTCAATGAGCTCGCTAGCGCCGCGGGCCAGTAGGAAGACGCCGCGGCCGAGCCGAGCGGTGAGGAATCTTCGACAGTGGCGTCGACGACGAGCATGGTTCAGCCGCAATTGCCGCCGAATTCTGCGCGGATGCGGAATCTGAGGAAGCAATTTTATTTTTAATGCACGCACGCATGCGTGTAAACTCCCTCTCCGTCAACCTCTACAGGGAGCTTATATATAACGTCATGATGTTCAAATAAGGGAAGCCTCCAGGTTACGATGAAGGAAAACCAAACACCAAAAGGGGCAACGACGCAGGTGACGGGCAAACGATCGGAACGACACCATCGTAGATAAGATTTTCTTTTACTTTAGAATACGAACGAGACGGAAGACGATGAGCAGATGATAGCCTTAGCCCTTTGATTACCGTCAATGGGCATGAGGTGGCGTGCGGAGACTGGAAGCAGGTCTGTTATGTGGGTGTGTAGACCCATCCACGCCCGGCAACGGATAACGCTAGATGATGTATTGAATGCGAATGAAAAGAGTCTCGACTCTATTTTTTTTTCCTCTTCTTTTTCTCCCACTCATCATTGAGAGGGTATGTGTGAATGTCAACGGAACCGGCTAATGATGGGTGTTGAAAACGGAGTTGGGTGACCCTGAGGCGCGCTGAGACTGGGCACTGCCATCATCACCCCGGCATCTTAGTCCGCACACACGCGCGCGCACACCAGCCCCTTTGATCACGAACTGCAGTTTTGCGTAAGAAGATACGGTCGTGCCGCATGACGAAGGCCAGGGTTTCGTTGCGGCCTCCAATCAGAGCCGTCGGTTGGTTCGTTGGTTCGCAACAGATGCGATTTTGGTATGCATGGCGACGGGCTATCACACCCAAGACAGAAGGCTCAGCTCTTCAGACCAACATATCCGCCCAAGACCCTGGTCTCCCACATGGAGCTCATTACTCGCCTGCTTGCCATAATAAAGTTGATGTTCGGGGGGTACTTAACGAGCCAGGTCTCGCCAGCGATGTTGCTCGGCTCTTCAGGCTTGCCGCTCTCTGTGCTGCTTCTGCCTACGCATACTGCACATAGCATCCATTCGTAACCAGACAAAATGGAGTCCTTTGATGTCTCCCCGAATGAGAAAAGCCCTGATCTACCTCGTCTTAAGAAGCGACGGGTCGTATCGGGCACGGCCATCACACGCCGACCCAAAGCTGCCATGGCGACTCAACTCGGCCCAGCCTCGTCTCCGCCGGTGCTGACGCAGTCTGGACTGACGCCCAATCAGCCGCGGCAGAGACGTTCGTCAGTCAACCTCCCGGTCCCGGACGGTGACGCCCCGCGCGATGCGGCCCTGCTCCATCCCGAACCACCCAAAGAGTCAAACTGCGAGATGGAAACGCCCACCAAGAAACCGGCGCGGAGGGCCCGGGGGAAGCCCTCGGGACCGAACAAACAGCTGGAGCCTTCGCCTCTCCGAGCAACAGCATCGCCAGAACACAATGTCGTTGACGGCTACGAAGCGGCGGAAGCCCGCCGGGTGCCGCTTTTTGCGCGCTCCCACACCTCGCCGGAGACGCAGGACGAAGCAGAGAGAAAGGGGCAGCGCCCGAGCGCGGCGGAGAGGAGCACGAGCGTCCCGGTCAAGCCGTCGAAGAAGCTCTCCGGGACCCAGCTTGACAGCTCCATGGCAAAGCTGATCAGGGACGGCCCTTCAAAAGAGAAAGATAGTCACTTGAAGGACGGGGGCATTTACCTTTTCGTATTCCAACCAAGAGGAACCGGGGCGCAGCTGGTCAAGATTGGTCGGACCGAAAGGGACGCGCAGTGTCGTCTCAATGAGATAACGAGAGTATGCAAGCCCCTGAAAAGCATCTGGCACTCCACGGCAACGGCCGAGAATATTCCGTTCCACGGGTTTGCCGAGAAGCTGATACACGCAGAACTGGGAAATTACCGATACCGCCAGCAATGCCTCTGCACGATGCAACACAGGGAGTACTTCGAAGTCAGCGAGGAAATCGCCGTCGAGGTGTTTGAGAGGTGGCGGGACTTTTGTAAGAAGAAACCATGGGACGACGGCGGCACGATCAAGACAGTATGGGGCAAGAGGCTGGACGCCAGGACCGCCTTTGACGGCCCGGGGCAGGATTTCGACCACGGCAAGTTTGGCAGGCACTGGGGCACCTACACCATGCCGTGGCTCGTCGAGCGCGTGCTGTCCGACGCGATCCACCAGTGGAAGAGATGGTTCCCGAGCCGCTGGCAGGCCGCTGCCGTGGCGGAGATGTTCACCATCATCTTCCTGTCGCCGGCCTCGGCCTGGGCGCAGGTCTGGATGGCGGCCGTTGCCGCCCTGTTGCTGATCGACACGGTGGTCCTTGCGGATCTGCACGCGACGGCCTCTGTGGCCCAGTTCATGGAGGGTGGCTTGCAGTCGCTGGTTCTGGTGTATGTGTCTTGGAGAGACGGGCTCGCGGCGGACGCAAAGGGCCTGGCGCCGGAAGCCAGCTCGGGGGAGACGCCGCCGCGCCAAGGAACCGGGGGGGACGCGTGGTCCGAGACGGTGGAAGAGGACACCGCCGATGCGAGCGACAGGGACTCGTCCGTCGACCCGGGGGATCCCATGGACGTCGACAGGGACAATGGCTGTCAGGAGTCGACGGTGTGAGGAAGACGGGTCGGGTGGTGGTGTCTGCTTACCCGCGAGCCTCGAGACGGCCGCTGCGGAGGACGTGGTCTTTGAACGACCGAGATCTCTCGGACTGTACACGCAGGCGATGTCGGGTGAACGGGAGGTGATTGATCTTGCCATGAGCGAGTCGGGCTGGCCGTTGTTGCTTCGTCCCACGACAGGTCCAGTTTGGTGTTCATGGGAGCAACGAAATGGGTTGATGCACTATTTTGTAAGCCTCGAAGAATCGAGCGGTTGCTAACGTTGTTAGGTAAAAGTACAGAGAGCCTCACAGTCGTCACTTGCATGAGTAAATATTCATTTAGCCAACTACAAGTCGTACTCTTTCAACCTCCTCATCTGTGATCGCGGGTACTTGTGAAGAGTCTTGATTGTGATCGACCTATGTCTGAAACTCATACATAGCTACGACTCCGGATTGCTCGCAGGCAGTCTGGGGCCGTAACAATGGCGGATGTTACTATTTCGAGATTGCATAGTGGTAACCTGCGACATTTTAGGATGAGGCGAGTTGGCTATACGGGACGCGCGAGCCTAGGTCATATGATGTCGTCTAACATAGCCTTTCCCTAGTCTGAACCAACAGAAACGAGACTAGTCCACCACCTCAAATCGTGAGCAAGGCGATGGCTTTCTCAAAAGGGACGTACGCCACGTATTTGGCGGATGCTGACAGCTTTCTTGGCTGCACATCCAAGGTGATCCAGTGACATCGTCTTCTGCGTCCATTTCTAACCAATGGCTTCTTATCATGCAGCTCATAAGCCTCACGGCAAATGCGAACAACCAGTCTACACCATAGTCGCCAGATAACCCCGAGAACCTGGTTCATCAAGACCGGTCCCAATGTCCAGATAGCACGAACCTAACTGAGTGCGTCCAGACGTGGTGGTTGTAGGTGGCCCTCCATGCTGTAGACGGTGCGATGCCGTCGGCTGCACCGACGACATCACATTTGCACGCCCCCTTCTGATGCCCCACACCCCTACCGATGAGATGAATGGGAGCTATAAGCTACGATGGCCGGAGGGCGTAGATTACATGCACGACGACGGGTTTTCAGGCGTACCGTCATCGTATCTCCCCGGCTCAAGCACCAGCACTACGTTCCACGACCAGGCAAATTCGAACAACCACAGAGGTCTATCGTCTGCGTATGAAACCTTGCAAGTAAACAGCCTGGCACTGCGCAAGCACAAAAAGTCCGAACCACCGCGAATGACGACCTATACAAGCCTTCGAGATGCTACCCAATGTTCTCGAGCAACGACGAAATCAGGCTCCTGGAGCTGGATTCCTCTAGCAGCGGCAGCCTTCTCTACGGGGCCTTCACAAACGTGAGGCTTGGGTCCGAATAGACCCAGTACGAGACCATTTCCTACACTTGGGCAGACGCATCCGGTGACTTGACTCGGTGCAGGCCAATGTTCATGGGCCCGTTCTGGGACATTGTGCCCATCACTCGGAACTGCGAAAATGCCTTGTGAAGCGTTCGGATCTCTTTCAACGGCCCCCCTCGGAAGATCTGGATGGACTTGCTGTGTATTAACCAAGATGACAAAATGGAACAGTCAGCACAGGTGGCGCTTATGCTACACGTCTACGTGGGCGCAGCTGGGGTGCTAGTCTATCTCGGACCTGCATCAGAGGACAGCGACATGGCTCTCAATGCCATAACCCGCTGGATAGACGGGCATGTATGCGTCCATTATAAGCTACAAGGCGCATGCCAGAATTGTCTCGAAGCCTTCGTTAGTCTTTTCCAACGCCCGTTCTTCCGCAGGTTGTGGGTTGTCCAGGAAGTCACCCTAGCAAGGTCACTGAGCATATTCTGCAGGTCAAAATCAACATTTTGGCCGCTCGACCGTATCACAAGACGCCTCCCCGTGTCAGTTTAGACCCAGATGCACAAGACAAGAGGGGACAATCCCGGATGGGAGCTCTTGGGTCTCATGGCCAGGACCAGCCAGTGTTTTTGCAGCAACCCCAGGGACCAAATCTTTGCCCTCTTAGGCATGCTTCAACAAACAGGTGAACGTACTATTGCCGTAGACTATAGCCTTACATCTCAGGAGATTAGCATTAGGATTGCCTCATGGCTAGTTCAGAAGTGTAGCAGGGGCTAAGAAGTGCTTTTCTTAGCTGGTATTAACTGGGGTAAACGGCGGCAGCTGCCCACTTGGGTTCCTGACTTTGTCGAGCCCCTCAAAGCTAATTGAATAATCTAGACTCTTCTCGACAGGTCCTTGACAATATCAGGAGACTCGAATACTATAGCAGGCCTCCACCTTACTGCCATAAAGCTTTGCAACCTACAGGGTTCTTTCAAGTCCTCTGTCGAACAAAGAATTTACCGGCCTTTTGTCCAGCACGGATCCGCTTGGCGAGCAATCGTTCTCATGCCCAAAGCTTTCTGTGGCTCTAGCCAATCTTCCAGTTGGTTAAACATCATCTCGGCGGAAGACGATGTTTACTGGCTCTACGGTATTGAAGGATTCTCTATCATGAGACCCAACTACGACGGGACTACTCACGGTCTTGTCTGTGCTTGCGACGTGGTTTTCGAGACGCCAAAATTGCCATCGCCCCAAAACCTAGTGAAGCCACCCCAGACCCCTGTCCGAGCTTGACTCGACTGTGGGACTTTATTTTATCTCCCCACAAAGGGGACGCGGTGCGATTGAGGTGGGATGTGCTACTGAAGAGACTGTCAGGCTCTGAGGAGCACGTGTGCTCAGAGCACTTGCAAAGGATTCTCCAGTAACGTCCGAACCATGTTGGACTAATATTGGGAAACGGAATATAGGCACGAGAAGTACTACTGGATATTGCTTTTGACTTGGAGGGCTCCCGGATTCGCTCGGAAGTGGTATTGTGGGAAAGCTGGCAGAGAATGGAGAGATTTCTTCAGCCGTTCCTCGAATGCGACAAAGGGCTCAGGACTCTTCGGGATGCTTTCAAGGCCGTCGATATCCTGCCTCTGGGAACCACGCAAGATGGCAAGCCTCTCAAACTGTACGTGCTCGGAGATTGTTATATACAGTCCTTTGAAGCCGTCACAGAACTTCTGTGGTCTCTCTTGCCGTCGGGAAAGATACCGTCCTTCCAAGAGGGACAGGTAGAGCCGCCGGAATTTTCCGCGGTGGAGATCCTCAGGGAATTTAGAGACTGGGCAGACCTCACCACCAATCTGTTGTCGGCACCCGATATGCGACCAAATACCGTTGGAAAATCTCTATCCGTTATATTGCCGTGCTGCGGGATCTAGCAACAGTGGCGGACGCAACGGACTGCCTTCTAAAGGCTGATGCCGCAGAGCGAACCATTATCCACTGCCCAAGATATAGTGCCTATACTTGCGTTAGGGAAGAACGGGATGGAATGGGATGCAGACGCCTCTCTACAGCGCTCAATTAACGGAGCGTATTGTTGGAAACATAGATGGGATTGGACCTTTACGAAAGTCAGCATAGAAAGGCAAAGGACCTTTGGGGAGGCTGTGGGGTGCGAAATGTGGCTGAGATCGTGGCCCGTTCTTGAACTGCAAGACTTTCTTCTGGACGGTTATCATAAGAGAGGGGACGAGGACCCCCCTAGATCCGGGCCGACGACCTCTGATTCTGAAAGGGGACCCGACATACTGTCTGATACCCTCGAAGTCAAGATGGCTGTTCGGCTTTACCTCAGGGAGTTTGGGTTTAACCTTGACATGCGTACGGATGTCGTTATCAGATGATGATGGCCTGAAAGCTCTAGGGATGGGTTGCAAGCGGTGGACTCGGCCGTGACCCAGTCGTTACGTTCATTCAGGCAGGGGATTTCTAGTTTCGGCAGCCCCAGCTCGAGCCGGCGGCCGTGTGCACTTAGAAGAAACCAATACAACTTGTCGACCGAGGTTCCATCCATGACGTTGGAAACCCCTTGGCGACAAGCCGTGTGGCTTCTTAGCGCTGGTTGTTGCCGGCGCGGTAAAAGGAATAGGGTAGGTTGCGCTGCTGCACACAGGTGAGCCTCAGTCACACTGGTCGTCGAACGTAGCCTTTTCCCGCCAGTCCGAACCGACAGAAACGAGACCACCTCAAACCGTAGGCTAGGCGATGACTGTCTCACCCAGAGGGGACGCACGCCACGTGTTTGGCGGACGGGGGGGGGGGGTCATGTCTGAAGCATCGGCTGGCTGTATGGGGCCGGTCCGTCGGAGCCGAGTCCGGACTGGCAGCCGTTGGGGGTTCAAACCTCTTCGGGGGTCGAGTCGAGCCAGAAGCGCATCACATCAGCAGCAGCACCTTTCAAGCTCGAGTCACGTTCGTCTTACAACCAGGGTAGAGAAGACGCAAGGGTTCGACACCTCTTAGCCAACGCAAGCCTCATCCCCGCAAACGAGAACTCAAGCGGGCGTGCTGTCCAACCACGAATACCCGCCCGCATCCCCCTTCGAGCACCCCACCTCCCCCTCCGCTCCCCTCCCCCCACTGATAAATCCTACGCAAGATAACAGCATAATCTGGGATAATTCTTCAACAATCATCAGGCAAGATGGCCGAGCGGTCTAAGGCGCTAGCTTCAGGTGCTAGTCAAGTAATTGGCGTGGGTTCGAATCCCACTCTTGTCACATTTCCGTGATGTGCGAAAGCGAAACTTCCGTTTTTGTTGTTTTGATTTTTGTTTTTGTTGATGCTTTGACGGAGTCATGGATAAGTGCGCGAGTGAGTACGAGGGTGACTTTTCGCATGTGGGCGGCGTTGGGCTCTTTTGTTGTTGTCTCGTTCCTCTTGGTCATAGCGCACGAGGTGGGTTTTGGGGGGGGGGCTGCACACCTCCGGCCGAGAAGGATAATGTTTATCGACATCAAACCCACTGCATGAGGGCGCGTATCACAATGATTGAATGCGTAATCGTAACGTTACGAGTGATGTATTTTATTCCCACTTCGTCGAATTTGGACAACATATTCCAAGCTCTTGTCCACATTGGCATAATCTACCTTCGAGACAGCAGATCAACCATCGAGCTTCCGAGCTTTCAAGTCCGTTGACACGGAAGATAACACTCAACTACACCCAGTTCCACGCTCACTTGCTTCGATCTCACCAAGTACAAACAAAAGCACATGTACGCCAAGCTAAAACCAAACGCACCCAGCATGCCTCGGGTAATGCAGATAAAACCGGCCAAAAGCTCTTCATATCACACGCATACACAAACACATAAACATGTAAAGCAACATGGACACACACACACACACACACGCACACATACAACACACACTATACTGACACAAATCCCAAAGATTGAGCCGATTGTAGGGCGGTCTACCTTTTCAGGAACCATCATGACTGAAATGTTCAAGAGGGCGATCCGGGCCGCTGCTGGAGGGCCTCGACAAGCGCCGTGAGCTTGTCAATCTTGTCGTTGAGCTCCGAGATGCGCACCTCGACGGCCGAAGGCGCGTCAGCTTCATCGGCCTCGACGGCACGGTGCCGGGGGCGTGACGAATGGCGAGAGTCAAGGCGCTCCTCGGGACGGGGGGACCTCGCGGGGCGGTACCCGGATGGCGGGCGGTTGGCCTGGAAGGCGCCCCGCGAGCGTTGTTTCGTCGCGCCCGTCGCGCCGCGCGGTCCCTTGAAGCCGGCGTACTCGTCGGGCATCACGCGGCGGCGGATGCTCTCATACATCTTGATGAGGCCGACGATGGGGAGGTGGGTGGCCTTGAGCAGGAGGATGCGGCTTTGGCGGAACTTGTCGTCGGAGGGAAGGAAGAGGCGCAAAGGCCGGAAGATGACGAGGGCGATGACGTTGAACGGCGGGTAAAAGTGCGTGAGCCGGTTGCTAGTCGAGGCCTCGAGCACGTAGACGCTGTAGACGTAGAGGTACTCCTCGCGGGCGTGGGTGATGACGCGGGAGAAGGAGTTGGACAGCATACCCGTCAGGGAGCCCATCAGCAGGAAGGAAGAAAGGATGATGAAGATGATCATGAGAGGGGGGCCAAAGACCTTGTCGATGTCGTCCATGATCTCGATGCCGACGTACGCCGAGCCGAAGAAGATCTTTGTGAGGATCATGGTCATGTGGCTGAAGTTGTAGGCGTCCTGGCCGATGAGGGAGAAGGTCGTGAGAAAGCCGAGGTAGATGACGACGACAAGGACCATGAATTTGACAAAGTCCCTGCCCATCTCCTTGAGACACGGAATTAGCGTGCCCCAGTAGGGCGACAAGCTGAGGAGGGAGAACACCCGCGGCACCATGAACAGCGCCTCGAGCGCGAAGACGTTGAAGGCGGTGTTGGTGATGTGCCGGTCGTTGTTGGCAATACCAATGACCCCTGTGGCGGGTTAGTCCAGACAAGAATGGGAGGGAGAGACAGAGAGAGAGAGAGAGAGAGAGAGAAAAGCAGGCTCGCTTACTAAGAACAGCAAAGGCGATACCGATGCCTATCATGATCATGTCGAAAAGGTTCCAGACATCTGTCGCGTAGAAGATGGTTCCGGCATCGGCCCACTCGCTCAGCTCGTCGTACAGGAAGGCGGCCAGCCAGATGTACAGGACGATTTCGTTGTGGGTGATGCGTTCGGTGTTCTGCTCGACGAGGACGGAGTAGTAGAGGCACAGGAAGATGAAGAAGAAGAAGGCCTCCCAGGCCTTGAGGTACTTGGGGACCCTCAGGCGGGAAAAGATGTCGGCCGTGTGGGCGTTGTAGAAGCGGGGCTTTTTCTGGGCGTGGACCGAGAGGCTGTCCCAGAAGATGATGTCGCCGTTCCAGATGCCGGTAACGATCTTCTGTACGACGTGTTGGCTGAGAAAGCGCTTGGCGTCGGCGACGGCGGCGATCTCGAGGGCGTTGAGGCTGGTGAAGGGCGAGGTCGGGTCGTCATCGTCTTCCTCTTCCTGGTCGGCGTGCATGCTCATCGTGAGCCTGGAGAGAGATGACAGGAGCTGGTAGCGCTTGGCGCTGCTTCCAGGGCGCACGGAGGAGCGGCGGCTGCCGTTACCGGACCAGCTGCCGCCGGAGAGCAGGGGAGAGTCCTCGTTGCTCTCGAGGTCGGCGTTTGGCGGCGGCGTCGGCGGCTGCTTGGGATCGGGAATCTCATAGAGACAGTAGTCGACGGCCTCGCGCTCCGAGAGGCGGGTGAGGAATCGCCAGGCGACGATCTCACAGGCGCTGGCGCGGGCTTCGCAGAGACCCTTGTTGGACTCGGACTCGTCAACGGCATAGTGCCATTTGAGGGCGCTGAAGTTTGTGTTAGAATGAGACAGTGGAGAGAGACGGGGGCAGAGTGGCGGTCGAGTTTCTGCAACAGACTTACAGGAGAGCATTCACAATGGCAGGATTGGTGCAAGTGGCGTTGAGGTGATCGACCAAGACTCGCAACGGCTCACCGGCGGCCGTCGTGCGCAGCTGCTCAAACGTGCTGGGCAACACGATGACGTCGACAAAATATCTGGTGGGGAGTCGATCAGCACATCGGCCTCACTGTGCGTTCCAACCAACCGGACCCTCTCGGGCGAGGGAGGTGGCATTGCTCCGGGTCTGGTCTAGAACGGGGGCCGTTTCCAAAACTTACACGGAGAGCTTCTTGACCACATTGCGGAAAGTGTCGTCCGTGTCGATGTCGGGCAGCTCCAGCGAGTCGAAGTGCAAGGACACGGGGCTCAAGTCCCGGGGCTTGGGCAGCTTCTTGGACCTGACGCGGATAGGCATGTTGGGCCGGTGCTTGTCTCGCGTGCGGCGGGCTGCAGCAGAGAGCTCGTCGGGCTAGCCAATGGACGGGGAGAAAAGGGCGACGTAATTGCTCCTTTGGGGTCCTTTGGGAGGGGAGAGGGTGGTCAGCGCAGATTGGCGATAGTAAGTAAGCAAGCAGCAGATCGACGGCAGGCCGTGTACCGGTATCCGTAGTGTAGCGTAGTTGCGTTATGTTACGCTGTGTTGGGTTTGCTTTTTGCAGCCGAGAAGCGACGGCACACTTGGCAACGGCACGAATACACGCTCGCTCTTCTTAGCCGCGGACGGTCTGCCGTCGTAGAAGAAGCGGTAAACAATAAAAAAAAAAAAAAAAAAAAAAAGAACGGATGCCGAGCCTGAGGACCCTGACACGACGCGATGAGATAAAGTGGCTAGCCGCGCTGCGACTTCTGCTGCTGCTGCTACTGCTGCGGCTGCGGCGGCGTCTCGAACAGGGTCGAACAGGGGTAAAAGGTGGGAACTTGTTTTTACTGGAAACGAGCAAGTTGCCGGGACCGTCGCGGGGTCGGGTCAACTGACTAGCATTGGCCCGTGCTGCTATCTCCATTGGTTTGGGGTTGGCGCCTGCAGGTGGACCTGATCTAAGATGGTACAGATACCACCTTGGCCCATGGGGGGAAAAGCTTGGTTCAATTGAACTTTCACTCAATCACTCATCTGTTCACTCACTCACTCATCTACTCACTTACTCACTCATCAATTCACTCGCCTACTCACCCACTCACCGACTAGCTATACCTCAGGCTGACTAGGCACTCAGGTGGAGGGAAAAAAGGCCGGTCTTAACCACATCCAGAAAGTACCTGTATTTTAGAAGCCTATCATATCTCCACCGCGTTCAATAACTTACTACTAGTACAGTATATTTAGCATAATGTAGGCCTTTTCAGGCATATTGTAGTGACACAGCATTCTTTTACTAATAAAAAGGCAGGAAAGGTGGTGTGTCAGTAGGTAGGTAGATAGCTAGGTCGTATACCGGTAGGAGACCGGGCTGGGCTTCTTTCTTTCTTTCTTTTCTTTGCACCCGAGTGCTAGGCTCCTTACTTGCACAGCACCCGGCGGTGTGTGTGCTGAATGTCCAATCTCACCGCCTCAGTAGGATCCAGTGCCAATTCAATGAGAGACACCGAGTGGGTCATGGGAACAGCTTCATTTTGGGCGCGTCGTGGAGTCTCAGACATCTCACCCCTACACCAAGCCCTCGCCTTCGGACGCATGGTGTCTTTATCCAGGACGTGATATTGGACTCATCATCTATGTATATAGAGCCTTCTCTGCATCAGAGCTGTGGCAGTCTGGAACAAGACGCGTCCGTGATGCAAAAAAATAAAAATAAAATAAAAATGCCGTGATTCGCGTAATGTCTCCAACTACTGGACTGGCTGGGCTGAGGAGATGTTTTGCAACCCACGAGGAATTGATACTAGCAACGCCGCAGGGCTGAGCCTCTTTGTTGTATGTTTGCGATGATGGCCCGACTGCGGAGAGCCCGTCTGTACGGATCTGAATATAACAGAAATTGGCAACTTCAGACGTGGGTTCGGACGAGATGCCCCAACGTCAAACTTTCAAGCTGTCATGACTGCTCCATCTTTACCTTTAACACCAACCACCAGTTCCATTGCCAGTGAGTGTAGCTCCGTCCGAATGACAACCCTCATGCACCACAGCGGTGACAGGAAAGTATGGAAGCATCCCCGGTTGACGCACGTAACTCCTCCTATGTCTTGGATCCCAGCTTCCATGACAACAACGTTTGTGGTGATGTTTGGGTTGTCACTGATTGCACACGTTGTCCAAGTCATCATCTACAAGAAGGCAGGCGCAGTCTGTCAGGATGCCGATCTTAATAACCCTAGCCGACGCCTTGACAGAGGATTTGACGGGTGATTTGCATGGGCGCCTCGTGGGAGGTGACTGCCTTCATCCCCCGCACTCTAGACTCTAAAAACCATCAGCAGGCTGGGTACCATATACGGTACGTATAGCTAGTACATGTTGCGCAGGTCCGGATCGTCTTTCGGTTGGTCGGGTTCGGACCCGGGGCGAACGTGGGCAACCCCGTCCTCACTAACGATACGTACGCGTTCGGGCTCGACGCACTACCCGAGGTTCTTGCGCTCGTGCTGCTCAACGCCATGCAACCAGGCGTCGTGCTGAGAGGGGGGAGGCAGCGAGTTTCCAGGCTAGTGAGGTGAAGAAAGGAGACGGGCCAGGGTGGAGCGGAAGGCCGCCAAGAAGGAGTTCGGCTAGCCAAAAGGACCGAGAAGAGGAAGAAGTACGGTAGGTAGTAGAAGAAGAACAAGAAGCATGAGAAGCAAAGGAAAGACGGGATGGTGGCTGACGATGATGCGATGGCACCATGGATGAGAGGGTGACAGTGATGACGGGAACGGCGCCACTGGGAGGGGCCATGTTTAGAAGACAGACATGTTTGTCGGGGGTGAGACGGTCTGTATCGTCATCACGTATTGGCAGAGCGCAGCACGGACGCGGCCCTGACTCCCTGTGCCACGTCCGAGGCTAAGTAAGACATTTAATTACTACCGGTACCTACCGTACGTAGGTACGGAGGAGTCTTATGGTGGTTGCTTTTGCATTAGCCCAATCGGACCGGATTGGTGATGAAACAACACAGCGTTGCTTTCCAGCAACATGCGTACCTTGGGTACCTGGGTAGGAAGGTAAGTGGGTGGGCAGGTAGGTAGGTAGGTAGGTAGCCAATGAATGTACCCAAGGGGATTCGCCGATGCAGACGCCGGCAATTGTACATAGTTTGAGCAATTCGGACGGCAGACAGGCAACTACCGTAGCAGTACCTAGTGTAGAACAACGGGACATGCTCATCACAGGCTGGGATGCGAATCCTCTTCCTCATGGGGGACCGGACCCTGACTCTCTGATTCGACAGCATCGCGCCACGGGGGAACAGGAACACCCCTCCCCCTTCCTTCCCCGGCCCGGGAGTCTCTGTTAGTGCGGGTATAAAAAAAGCAGTCCGATTGCCCGCTAGCGCGGGGAGGGGTGGCACAAGTCAGCACTGTACTACTGTGCGGCAGCGCATGAAAGAGCACCAGCCTACAGTGCGAGGCACCCGAACAATTTCCGGAGGATCTGGCTTTGGTGGAGGCAGCGCAGACAAGCGAGGACGATGCGCCTCACCGGCCGGCCCTCTGCAACGTCCCTTCCTACTACCGGTACTACACTATTACACTACGTAGGTATTACACTACGTAGTACACTACCTGTACCAACTGCGTCCACCTGTTGGGTCTGTCTGCTCCGGCAATATCCCCCTCCGAACGACTGCTACCCGTGTTCCCCACGCTTGTCGATTTCGTCCCGGAACCAACGTGTCAGCGGCAATCTTGGCATATCGAGCCCCCCCAAAAGAAGGAGAAGGAGAAGGAGAAGAAGAAGAAGAAGAAGAAGAAGAAGAAGAAGAAGAAGAAGCCAAGAGCGCCCCTCAAGCCGCGTGTGACGCTTCAGCTTCCAACGGGGGGGAAACACGGCTTTGGCGGCTTTGGAGCCGAAGCTGCCTTGTGACCGTATCAGCTCATGTAGAGCGGACGGGAGCCATGCACCCACAAAGAAGCCTGTGGCCGACGGAGCAAACGAGACCACCCACGTCCATCATGAAGCTGACTAACATGGCGCTCACCGGCACCGAACTCTCCTGATCGTGTGTTCAATCCGAGGTTCTCAGATCTGCACGGACTGGTCTCGGGCGCATCTGCCTCATCGCCACAGCATACATGCGTCCAACTATCGATATCAAGGGACGTCTCCAGACTCCTCGGCCACGCCCCGAGCGACGCGAACCCGCGGTTGGGTTATCATGGTAGAGCGCAGTGCTTTTCTTTCTGAATCGAACCGGGGAGCAGGGGAGGCCCTTTTTTTTTTTTTTTTTTTTTTCCCCTCTCTAAGCCTGGCAAAAGGTGGTGCATGCCTATGATCCAAGCATCTTTGCGACGCAACTCCCCAACCAGCCAGCGTCAGCCTCTATCGTCTGCTACCCGTCACACCCCCGAAGCCCGGAGGATTATTACACCCCTCCCCCCTCCCTCTTCCCTCTTCCCTCATGGCCTCAGTTCCGACCTAAATTGCACCTCGTCGCCCGGTTCTTCCTCAGGGCCGGTCCCTCCTCCCTGTTGATTTGCTTCTGCCTATTCCTGGCCTATTATTCTACACATTTCCCATCTCTTGCTCTTGTCTCATTTTGTGCCTTACACTATCCTTGATCTTGTGAAGAGCCAAACATCTCCGAACCTAGTTGCGTATAACAACACTTCTATCCAAGTTGCTCCTTGGACGGATCAAAAGAAGATTGAGTAGGGACCGACCAGGGCATACAAGTGGGCAAGCAGCCCTCCCGACCTTCAGGATGTTGCTTAGCGACGGTTTCATGCGCCTGCCGCCCACCACGGCCGTTCTGCTTCTCAGCAGTATCTTCACCCTCACCGAGGCCGGCGCCCTCCCCCCTCAGACACAAGCGCAGATTGCTCTCCGGACGTTGGATGTTCGCAGTTGGCCGCTGGCTACCCCGGCGCCATGGCTCGGCATGATGAGGAGGCAGGACGACAGCACCAACACCGTTTGCGGCTACATCAGCGCCGACCCTAACCTCCCGGCAACATGCTCCGCCGGATCTCATTGCGCCATGGACGCCTCCGCCTCCGCCGTCGGCTGCTGCCCGAACGGCGTCGCCTGCTCGACCGGCATTTACACCAGCTGCGTGGACGGCAGCAGCCCGACCCAAACAGCATCTGACCCTTACATCTTTACATGCCAGGGATCTAACGTGTGCTACCGTAACACCTATGATGGAGGCGCCTACCAGTATGGATGCGGTACGTCCAGCCAGGGCGCAACCGTATTCGCCACTGCTTCGGGTCTCAGCACGACTGTCGCAATCACCCAGGTCACGCTCGTCACGAGACAGGAGACTTCTTCGTCGTCGTCGTCGTCGTCGTTGTCATCGACCAGCTCTTCCCGCTCGAACACTTCTTCCTCGACAACCTCTACTACACTCTCGAGCTCGTCGAGTACCAGCTCCAGCTCTTCGACAACCTCCACCTCGAAATCTTCCACAACGCACTCGGCATCGGCCACCAAAGCCCAAAGCTCACCCTCCGGCGCCGCCGTCCCGCCGCCCGGCGCGGTCGAGGCAGCAAACAGACGCCACGGCGCTACTATCGGCGGGGCCATCGCTGGCGCTGCCGTCTTTGTGGCTATTGTGTCGGGGGCTCTATGGATGTGCAAGCGCAATCGCCGCCGCAACCAACGCCTCGGACCCGGTGCCGGAAAGGGCCCGTCATTTGTGTAAGTCATTGAACTCGGTGCGAGATTCCCCCATGGGGGTAACAGATAGCTGACTTTGCCCAACCAGCCCGGAGCCCAACTCGAAGGAATTTGCTCCCGTTGCCGGCGGCGGTGAGATGATGTTTGACCAGGCAGGCTACGGCCACCCGGCCATGATGCCCGGCGCCCACGGAACGACAACCTCCATCTCAGGAGGCCAAGCCGCCGGCACGCCGCCGCACGCCGGACCCGGGGGCTACAACCCGGCCCACGGCGCGTCCCACCCCACCGGCGAAGGTGCCCCGCTAACGCAATCGAACGAGGCCGAAGAGTTCGCGCGCGGCTACAACGACGCCGCCTTCCCCGCGCGCGAGGAATACCGCGCGACGAGCTCGGGGAGCAGCACCGTCGGGAAACCCTACAGCAGCGGCACCGGGGCGGATTCGGCACAACAGCAGGCCGAAGGAGCTGACAGCAAGCCGCTGTGGCAGCAGACCCGCAGACAGAGCCGTAACATGGTGTGGAGGTGAGGCGGAGTAGTTTACTTGCTCGTGGGTGTTGGCGGAGGCTTTCGCATGAGCCTGGGATCATGCTTGGTGTTTAGGAGTTGGAGTAGATTATTCACATTAACGCATACGATGGCGGCCGTGTGATCATACGGCCTGTGGTTAGATTGGAGTCGGACCGCTCCTGATGAGGTACACAATCTGTACGCGACATATAATATTTCCCCATCTGTTACCCTCTTGGACGCACAGTATATGCTCCGATCGCGTGCCCCCAGCAGAATCTCTTCATGCCGTTGCCAAATTAAGCCTCGCAGCCTCGGAACTACCGCCGTTCGGCACCAGCTGGACCGGCGCCGGCGCCGGGGACGGGCAAGCGCACAGGTAGGCAGGTACCCACACCGCCAGAGGCGGGAAGGACCCACTGATGCCGTCCAGGTAGGTAGGTACTCTCCGGCCCGAATGCGAACTAGTATTTACATACACTTTGGACAAGGTTTTCGCGCGACAATAGTAGCATGTGATGGGCATTTCTGCCAGGGGCCAGCCCGTTCAGTTACCTCGCGAGTCTAAACTACATACCTAATTTGGACGTCAGGGCTTCGCGCATCGTGGCCTCGGATACGAGACGAAGATCAGCAAGGTAGATGATGCTGTTCCGACTGCGTCGGGGACGAGATTCGATTGGCTGCTTCGCTCCATCGCAAGCCTGAAATACTCGGTACCAACTACCTAATAAGTACAGGCACGAATCCGTGGTTAGCACTGGTCCCGTACCGTAGGTTGCACAAGTGGGACATGACATGTTAGTCAGTTGTCTGGACTTGCGGCAATTGGTGATGCATGGTGGTTGTGCATGCTGATTCGCGACAATCCTAACTCAGGCAACGCAAGATTGGCAATCTGGGGAAAGGAGAGAACTGGGACAAACGACCGGGACCCCTACTTTTCACGGGCGGTGAAGACTTTTCTCCTGATACTTCGTGGCCTCAACGGCCTGACAATCCATGGGCCGCAGGGGTGTCTCAACGTGTATCAACCCATCCACGACCCTCTTCAGCCAGTCCCGTGCAAGGTGCTCCCTTTTTTTTTATCAGTGCCTCGCCCAACCCCCCTGCTGGAAACCGTCCGTAAAAGCGGGGAGGTTCCATTTGGCGGTGGGTGTGCGAGAAACGCTGCAATCTGTCTGTTTACTTGGCTTTAGTGTAGAAACCAGAACCACGGCGGACCCTGACTGGTCGCATTGCAACGCAGCTTTAAATCTGTCCACACCTCCAAAAACTCCAAACATCTCCAACCACACACACCGCGCACACACACACACACACACACCCGGGGAAAAAAAGGAGCTGCGCGATATATACAGTCCGCAAGCCTTTGAGCAAACCACCTTCCTCCCCTCAAAGGCAACGTCCTTCGCCATGGCCTCCGAGAAGCGCCAGCAGGGCGCCGAGCTCGAGAGTGACATTACTTTCATTGCTACCCCTGCGGCCCAGCCCTCCAAGTTCAGGACGAACGAGGACTGCGGTGTCAAGACGACCAACGTGAGTATCTATCGCATCACCACCCTCTTTTGACGTCCGTCGGGGCCCCCAATTGAAATGCTGTTCTGTGTCAATTGACCCCGCCGTGACATGTCATGACATGCCACATGACCCGACGCTAACATTTCTCTCTTTCTCTCTCTCTCTCACAGTACCCTACCATCAACAACCCTCCCCTTCCCGCCGAAGGCCCTGGCAATGAGTCTTTCTCCAACTACCTTCTCGGAGCTGTCCTGCTGGGTGTTCCTTTCTGGATCACCCGCGTCTTCGGCGGCGGCCTGAAGACCTTCGTTTTCTTCTTCGTCCTCTTGGCCGTCCCCCTGCTCGTTGGCTTCTGGTACATCTCCACGAGGTTCGCCCCGCGCATCAACGACAAGGCCAAGCTCCCCGGCCGCCCTGTCGAGCACTACATCACTTTCAAGAACCAGGAGGACCGCCAGCGATGGAGCGGTCGCAACAAGATTCCCATCCAGACCTTCGCTGAGATGTACACCGAGGGCCTCGTCGACGTCAACGGCGACCTCCTCGACGCCCTCGAGTACCGCCACGACTGGTCCAACTTTGCCTTCACCTGGTCCCTCTTCTACTTCATCTTCTTTGAGTTCGCCCCCGACGTGCTGTTCCACTCGCGTCAGCAGGACGAGGACCAGATCCGTCCCACCTACGACAAGGGCAACGACCACTACTCGTACTTCCTCGGCCCCCGCATGGTCTACACCAGCGGTATCTTCTCCGACATTGAGCGTGAGGAGACGCTCGAGGAGATGCAGGACAACAAGATGGCTATTGTTTGCGAGAAGCTCGGCCTCAAGGAGGGCGAGACCATGCTCGACATCGGCTGCGGATGGGGCACCCTCGCCAAGTTCGCCAGCGTCAACTACGGCGCCCACGTTACCGGAGCCACCATCGCCACCAACCAGGCCGCCTGGGGCAACGACGCCCTCCGCCGCGCCGGCATCCCCGAGACCCAGAGCAGGATCCTCTGCATGGACTACCGCGACATCCCCACCAAGAAGTTCAACAAGATCTCCCAGATCGAGATGGGCGAGCACGTCGGCATCCGCAGGCTCACCACCTTCTTCCGCCAATGCTACGACATGCTCGAGGACGACGGTGCCATGTACGTCCAGCTCTCCGGTCTGCGCAAGGCCTGGCAGTACGAGGACTTCATCTGGGGTCTGTACCTGAACAAGCACATCTTCCCCGGCGCCGACGCCTCCACCCCGCTCGCCAACTACGTCGGCTGCCTCGAGAGCGCCGGATGGGAGATCAAGAGGTAAGAAACACAAAATAACCCATCCACATCATCGTCGTGCCTGCAAAAAAAAAAAAAAAAATTGACTGACACGCGCCAAACAGCATCGACACCGTCGGCGTCCACTACTCCGGCACCCTCTGGCGCTGGTACCGTAACTGGCTCGGCAACTCCGAGACCGTCAACGCCAAGTACGGCCAGAAGTGGTACCGCATCTGGGAGCTCTTCCTGGCGTGGTCCGTCATCGCTTCCCGCCAGGGCAGCGCCACCTGCTTCCAGTTCGTCGTCGTCAAGAACCTGAACGCCAACCACCGCATCGACGGCGTCGCCAGCCAGTACGGCCTCTCCGGCGCCCTCGCCGCCGCCAAGGCTGCCGGCAAGGCCACCTTCCCCAAATAAGCGCCGCGCATGCGCATGCGCTTCATCTGCGGGGACCACGTGGCGTGGCCCGGGGCAGCATGTGTTTCACGAAGGGAACGAATGCCCCCTCCTTCTCCCTTCCACACCGGCTTATTTTTCTTTACTTTTTTCGGGGGGGGGGGGGGTGGCGGCGCCACTCGGAGGAGGGCGGCGGTGGAGCGAGGGGGGAAAACGGGCTTTTCACCGTTATCATAATACAAGGTCGGGGCTTTTTGAAAAGTTTTTGATCGGTACACAATGCTAGATAGAACTGCGCGGGGCGGAGAGGGGAAGGGAGTGTTTCCTCTCCCGTCCCTGCGTCGCCGGGGTCCGGTTCATCGCTGGATTTAGAATCAAGGGGAAGAAAGGGTGCGTCGACGCCGTGTCAGCACGCTATTAATGTCAGTCAAGACAGACAGTTGCACGTTGACGCTACAACGATTTGGTGCTGAAAACCTTGCTTCTCCGTTTTGTAACGTTGACCTCGTGACGTGGAAAACCGACCCTTAGTACAACACGGGCTTCTTCCTCTTTCGGCCCAGAGCTGAGGTAGTTCCCCAGACTTGAACGCGATTCCTTGCCGCCACCGGAGGGCTGTCCACAGGCCGCGCATATCTCGCACATGACCGAATTGCGAAGATGAGGAAAAAACCCCTCTTTGCCAGATCCAAACAAACGGAATGGACAGCAACGTACACTCGATCATCGAACGTGATGCCATTCTCGAAGTCCAAGGAAACTGCGAGTCTTCCACCATCGGGTTCGACCCTTGTGAACTTGGACTTCTCCTCAATCTCGGCAACGTTCTCTTCGATGCTAGAGGCTTAAGACCTTGGTCGAATTCCGCTTGTGTTTGGGAGTGGTTCTGTTCGAACAACCCACCACGCGCCGCACATGTTGTCGTACTGGAATTCCGGGAAGAAGTTGTCCAAAACCATCGTCCGGGTCGCGTAGCAATCGGACATCCGCCATCCATTCCAGCTTTCCCTCCCAGTCGTCAACATGCCCCGCCATCTCCGGAATGTCAACGTCGCCTTCCTTAAACGGCATTGCCATAGCCCATCACCACATGGGATTCTCGATTTGCAAGCCGCAGATTTGGCATATGACGTCGTAACGATCCACGATTACGGATTTCACCTCATCAAGTCGTCGCTGTGACCCGGGGTTGAGATTGGTAGCCGAGAGCTGGGATGGAAAGACCTCGGATACAGTGAATCGACTGAAGAAGAACGTGTCAAAAACGGTATACAGGCAGAGACCAGCAACAATGAGCCGAGCCGATGGGGGGGGGGGGGGGGGGGGTTGTAGATCAAGAGGGGAATCACATGAGTAGCGCACTAAAAGAAGACGACTACACGCCCTGCGAAATCACTCAGGAGACCTTGCTTTGAAAGGCCTCCAAACAGCTGAAATAACTTCGATACAGCCCCCAATGCGACTAAGCGTCTCCACCGTGATAAACGCTCATTCCTGTTATCAATATGCAGTCTCTTTCACACCTGACATTTGAACGACTACGCTTGTTGGCTATAGTGCCGGATTAGCCCGTCCACATGGCCAGGACAATCAGTTGCAGCCATGCCCACAAGTCATGAACAGAAGGCACACCGAATTGGCCATCCATCCAACAGAGTTGGGGGCACTTAATGGCATCATTAACCATTTGACCTTGTATAAGCCCAGCTTCAGCCTCGACGACTCTTCGGCCCCCTGCCCAAGGAAGGCTCAACATTGTCCAACCGATTCAAACAGCAACTACTCAAAAGACCAGTGCAACGTCCTCGGCACCAAGTCCTAGATGGACTCAGACATACAGTACTGGAGGTCTCAGGTTCGACAAGAATACGGCCGCTCAATGGGTCGAAAACTTCTGCAAAGAGGCGCACAAGAAGAGCCGGGGTGACGACGACTGGTGCAAGGCAAAGACTGACGGCAAGACGGTCAAGACGAAGGGTATTTCAGTCTGCGACAACAAAGACGAGAGGAAGATTTCGTCACAGAGATTCATCATACATGTCGTCAGGCCCAGTCGGGAGGATTCCAATGGGAAGCTTGACAATGAAAAGGGGAAGCCTCATACTCGTTGGTGCGAGCCTGAGGGGAGGGGATCTAGCCTTGAATCCGCCCTCGATTGGCCGAGGGAAGATCCGCATCAATGCCGCAAGCAGTTGCAGTCGCTGCTTATGTGTGAGTGAAAGACATTCCAAGTTACATTGTGTTGTATTGTAAAAGAAAAACTGACATATTGGTAGGCAAACCGCGCCCTGAAGATGCAGAGACGCCATCGGGGGGAATCGAGCAGGCCTCTGTCTCCAATGGACTATCGATTTGAAGGAATAGGACAAGTGATTGGAAAGCGGCCTCCATATCATCAAGTCCAAGCATACAAGACGCTTTTGTTGTTCCACAGACCCGAATCATATATCGTGAAGGGATGGGTTGGTTGGCAGCCAAAGTCCCAAGCAAGGGGCAGTTGCCAGGTAGACGAAGATCACAGTCATTACAGAGAAGGGGGTCATCGTTATTGCAAACATAGTCAGTCGCTACAGTATGATACAAACAGTTATCACCGTCCTGTTGCTTCTGTTCTTATTGCCACTACACAAATTGCTATTCTGACGATTTCTCTGTAATAGACGGCACGCAATGGTGCGGAGTGACCAAAGAGGACACCGTCGCGGCTGTCTATGACGATTAGTTGGAGGGTAGTTGGATGAGTAACACCTTCAACTCGAACTACACCAACGTCAGCCCGACAGGCTCACTGTTGCGATTTGGAAACGGAATCAGTGTGCTTAGCTTCATCAAGATGCCTTGGTGCCAGAACCTTTACACGACTGTGGGAAACGCAGACTGATAACTAAAGCCTCTGGGGGTTCACCCATGATGACCTGATCCATCTCTGACCTGGACATGCTCAAGCTCAATAAAGAATCATAGGCATTCGCCCATAGAAATACAAAGAATTTACATGTATTTGTACTCCTTCTGGAGAAGGAAATCGAGCCAAGTATTCTGTAGATTGGACTCCCCTGCATGCCTTTAGATCTGATGGGAGGTCTGTGAGAGCGCCCCAGCTCAGCCGACCTCGTCCGTTGTAAAGCAAGTAACTCGGTATCATTTGGGCTTGGAACAAACTCACTTTGGCCTATGTGGTACAACCTCGCGAAAGAAGTGTCTGAGCCTTCTTGAGTCTCGAAATATAGCCAATTGTAGGTTCCGCACCCCGCATTATCCACACACACACACACACCTGCAACGTCCCGTGCGGGGTGTCCTCCCGGCTTGCATCTGCAAGCGACCTGGAGGGGTGGAACACAGCCAGAGGTTGATATTGATTCCGACAGGTTTATAATGAGGGAGCGCATGTGCTGTCCGCTGTAGCATTATGCCGATGAGAACCGACGGGACTGCCTGCAATAACCAGGCCATGGTACCAAAGCTAGAGACAGACGGCAAACCCTGGCGTTCTCACCTGTGTATATCATACCGGCAGTAGAGTCTGAGAGAACGTTTGCCAGTCGTCATTGAAGCAGCCATTTCAAACGATTCCCAAATACCGTGACTCCAGAAACATCATGCCATCGTGATGGCTATCACAACAGTCGTCCTGGCTTTGAAGCAGGGGGTTCTCGATCATGCTTTGCAGTCGGCTGCCATTTTGCTTCTTCTCGTGCCCATTATCTACATCGTCGCAAACGAGTTCATCCGCGTGAAGGCCAGGATTGCTAAGCTCGATGGCCCTCGAGGGCTACCCCTCATCGGTAATCTCTGGGACATCAGGGCCAATGCGGCCGAACGATACCGTAGATGGGCCCAAGAGTTTGGAGCGGTTTACCAAATACAGCTGGGAAATGTCCCCATCGTCGTTGTAAACACTTCCGCAGCGGCCAAGGTTCTTTTCGGGCAGCATGCCCAGGCCCTCAGTTCGCGCCCAGAGTTCTACACTTTTCACAAGGTAAGTGGAAGCGTATCCATCTTTTGTCCGGTGAAACCTATCATTCAGTTCTGGGACCTGACAAGAAATGCACAGGTTCTTTCAGAAACCTCGGGAACCACCATCGGTACTTCTCCATATAGCGATTCCCTTAAGCGCCGCCGTAAGGGCGCTGCTTCGGCTTTGAACCGACCCTCTGTCTCGACATATGTACCTCATCTTGACGTCGAATCCAGAGATTTCATTAAAGAGTTGTATGAGTATGGAAAGGCTGGACAGGAACCTGTTGATTCAATGCCAATGATTCAGCGCTTGTCACTATCTTTGGCGTTGACGCTCAATTGGGGGGTTCGCATGAGCAGTCAGAAGGATGGACTCTTTAAGGAGATTACTCATGTCGAGGAAGAAATCAGCCGCTTCCGATCCACGACTGGTAATCTCCAAGACTACATCCCTTTACTTCGCCTGAACCCCATAAACATGCAGTCGGCTAGGGCACGCGAGATGCGCAACAGACGCGACGTCTACCTCGCGGCGTTGAACAGGAGCCTCGACGAGCGCATGGCGGACGGCACCCACAAGCCATGCATTCAGGCGAATGTCATCATGGACAAGGAAGCCAAGCTCAACAAGGCGGAGCTGACCTCGATTAGTCTGACTATGCTCTCCGGTGGGCTTGACACCCTCACCACGCAGGTGGCCTGGTTTGTTGCCATGCTAGCTCAGCGACCGGACATTCAAGACAAGGCTGTTGCGGCCATTCGAGATCTCTACAGCGAGAAGCAGCCCATGTGCGATGCAAAAGAGGACCAAGAGTGCAAATACATCGTGGCGTTGGTGAAAGAGTCGTTGAGATATTACACCGTTCTTCGACTCGCCCTCCCTCGAGCGTCTGTACGCGATGTTCCTTACGGACAGACAATCATCCCCAAGGGCTCTGTAATATTCCTTAACGCATGGGCTTGTAACATGGGTAAGCCTCGTTAGACCGAAAATCCTCATCTTTCGAGCAAATCGTTGACCTGTCTCAGACTCTGAGCTTTGGCCTGACCCCGAAGTCTTCCGTCCCGAACGTTGGCTGGAGCGACCCGACGCGCCTTTGTTCACGTACGGCATCGGCTACCGCATGTGCACCGGCTATATCCTGGCCAACCGAGAACTGTACATTGTCTACATGAGGCTCCTCAACAGCTTCAAGGTTGAGAAGTACGACGACGTTGACCATCACCCCGTTTCTGGGAACGCCGATCCCACGTCCCTTGTGTCTATGCCCAGGCCGTACCGGGCGAAGTTTGTGCCTCGAGATATCAACACTTTACGCGAAGTTCTGTATGACAGCAATCAAAAGGCTTGATACATGCATTCTGCGTCGGAAAGCTGTACGCACGTTCAACGCGGACGATGGAAAGATTTCTGTTGGATATGCACCATCAGGGAAGTATGTATGAAGAATGATCAGGCGGAGCTGTCCGGATCTCTTGCAAACTGTGAGAACTGTGATAGCTCAAGGGAATACGGCCTTTTCCAAACATGAATACATTTCGAACAACTCTACCAAAATGATGCCCAATTTTATACGAACAGGCAATTATGAGACTGGTGCTGTTGATGGCTCTCAGGACGGGAAGTGCAACACATTCAGACAAAGAATCCTCCTGTGGTATGACTACTGAAAACCGATTGCGATGGCTGCAAATGATTCCCCGCAGAAGCTTGGGCGGCGCATTTGCAGTTTGTAGCTGAGATGCGCATTCCAATACTCTGATTCACGCTCTCTCAGGGGCATCAGGCTGCAGATAGAATATACCATGCAGTCATATCGATGAAGCCCCCAGAAAAGGTTGAATAAACGCTCAAAGGCAGGGCAGGATTTCGTGGCGAGCACAAGGATTCGATCGTCAGTGTCGTGTCGGTGTGTAACGAAAACAAAGCTTACACTGCCCATAGATGGCAATGATTTCTCCGGTTTCGAAGCCTTCGATCCTTCGTGCAGATATCGACCCTGAATCAACACACATCATGCATTCCAAACGATGGCTCTGACAAGGGATCGAGCAGCCGGCGATGAAGGGATGAACCAACTTCTGACTGCTTTCTGCATCCTTCAACTTCAAATCATCTCACCTCGCGCGTCATTGACATCTTGACTTCTGGGCGCCGCACCTAAATTTAGTGCATAGATCAACCCAGGCACCGATATTCTGAACCAATATTGCCCCAGTCCTGGTTGGCAAATCCAAAATCCCGTGGGGCTATGGCCCCCCCCTGCGGACGATCTCTCGTTCAGCTGTCTATCCCTGTTGACGTCCATAATCCTGCCCCCTAAAAGCAATGTTCCGACGGGGCCCAATCGCTTTCATTCTGCTCCAGAAACTTGCGGGTATACCTAGACACCGTTAGTTACACCGTACAGCTGGGCTGTTGTACAGGAACTCGTGAGGTAGGCAGATACATTCCTGTATGTTACTTTGGGCCTTGGGCAGATGCAGAGTTTCTTTCCGGCGAGGTTACATCGTCAGCCGCGGATTTGTCGTGTATGTGGGTTTTTTGAGCGAGCTACCGATCACGCACCCAGGAGGCGGAGGGCAGAAGGGCAACCTGCACGAGCAAACTCTACTACGAGCAAACGGACTAGAAGTCAGAATAACTATGTTTGGAATGCGATCCTTGGGGTCTAGTGCTGATGCCTTCGAATAAGGATGGGTCTTTCTGTAGATCTCTGTTATGTTTTGCTCCAGCCTCGGTGGAATCGAGAATCCTTCGCGGCGGGTACAACTCTCGCGCTCGACTGCTGCCTTGCTCCGCCTCCTGACGTCCGAGATGTCTCTTCTTGCTCAATTACTAGGAACAGAAAAGCGTATATATAGGCCATCAAGCTTCACGGAAACAACTCTCTTCTTTCTGTACCATCCATCACAGCTCCAACACTGTCTTCTATCAGATCACGAAAGCTCGAACCAATTCACTTGAATCATAATCAATCACATTGCCCAACACCCAAACCCCCCGCTTTCCAACTATCAAAATGCATACCGGCTTCGTCCTCAACGCCATCCTCGCCGTGGGCGCTGCTACGGCAGTCTCGGGATCGGTGATTACTACTCGTGCCAACCGCAAGGCCAACGAGTTCTCAAGCGGCAACTGGTATGTATGCTTCCTACACCGAACGAGCCCGCAACCTTCCCTTCTCTCGTTCCTCGACATCGTGAACCCAACATCGCAACGCCTGCTGACATCGTCTTCTTTCACAACAGTGCCCAGGGGACCGCGTCTTATGAGCACCAAAGCAACTTCAACGTCGACGTCACAATGGACGACACCAGCCACTCCGTCTACTTCGCGTCGGGGCCGTGGTTCTACTACAGCGGAAAGACCGGAAACGGCGGCTCGTGCACCGGCGACTTGCTCGGAAGCTGGGCCAACGACGAAGCGAACCCGTGCGTGAACCTGGACAGCAGAGGTGCCGACGCCCGTCGCATCAGGTGCGTCAGGTGGAACAACGGTTCTTAGCGTTCGGGCGTTTCTGGACGACACCTGTCGCGTCGGTGGGAGAGCCGAAGGGGGGCGGGGACGGAACACTCGCACGAGACTTGTACTTTGACTTGCATTGTTGAACCAATTGCGTACTCGCTTCTAGTGCAAGTTCCTTCTTCCCGGTACTTTTCGACTGTGAACTTTGCAGCTGCTGTGAATTTGCATCTCCTTTCAGCCAGAATGGTTCGGGTGTCATTGCCGTGTCATCTATCGCGCAGCCATCCATGGTCATTCTTGAAGGTCCACCGCCCAGTAAACTCGGAGCTTGTACGTTGGATAACGTGGCTTTGGTAGAAGACTTTTCCCATTTTCTCCGAGGTGATTTGATGAGTCAGGCAGTCGCTATGAGAAGCGCATGGATGGTAAAGCGGCTGAGTTTTGGAAGTTGGTCGAAAGAGCGAAAGCCACATTGAGAGATACTCAAATAGACTCGAGTCTGGTTCTTTCCCAGCCATGACCGTTTCATTCACTTCAAGTGGACTTTTTCCTTTTTCTTCCTTCCCGAGGACGAGTTAAAGTTTGGCTTGCTGACTGCCCGTCGGAAGGATTCGAATCCTGCCGAGGCTCATCGGCAGCGGGAGGCGTTTCCCCGCCCAGCTGATCTGTGCTATCTATAGGTAATCCTCCACACGTCAGATGAAGCGTCTGGAATCTTGGCAGGACACGGGAACAAGAAAAGGATGCGCATAGATGTATGGCTTGTCAGACCCGTGTTGGGTTCAGTATAAAAGCGTCCTCGTGCTGCACGTAAGAGAAAGACTACATAGAAAGCAAGGCAATGCCGATTCCGTACGACTGCGCGATCGAGAATGCGCAAAAGCAGGCGTGCAACCGCCTGGCTTTGTCTGTTTACTCACGAGCAAAGCGGTAGAGTTCGGTGGCAGAACCAGCACATGTTGGGGTATTTGGTAATTACAAGAAACTGTATCCAGGCGGCATGGCATGCCCGCCGCATGCCAGTTGGAGAGGGGCTTCTCACAGACGACATATATCATCCGGCCTAACAATGCTGTGCTTTTTGTCATATTCATCTCTCAACTTGAGTTCCTCATCCGTCAAGATGCACTTGCCCCCCTTTCCCCCGGTAAAGGTGTAGAGAAGGCATCCCACCTGGGTGCTTCCACCAACTCCTCCGTTGTTGCCTATGGTATGCTGCATCAGTATGGTCGCTCGGACGACGAGCAGTTTCGCTGTTGGAATGCCCGTGAGAGGGGGGGAAGGGGGGCGTCTTACATTGGAGGTAGTTATCCCTCATGATAGTGTGGCAATTGACGCCGCCCCTGTTCAAGGGGAAGTCCAGCCTTTGGAAGTGCTGTTCTGTCCTGCAACCCCGGACCCACTCGACGAAGAAGTCGTAGTTGATGCGATGCGGCCAGTCCTTCCACCTCAGACGGTGCTTGAACACGATTGGGAACCTGCCCATGGCCGGGTCGTGGATGGTCGAGGTCAAGATCTCGGACGCCTTCTTGTCGCAAAACTCGTGGACGGCCTCCCACTGCATGTTGTAGTGGATGTCGGCGTGGCCGGGGAAGTCGCTCTCGCGGTGGCATTGGACGGGATGCCTTTCCAAGGGCGCGAGGGCCCCGGGCAAGGCGTCCGAGCCAGGGATGGGGTCGTAGAGCGATGCCGCGGAAGAGGGTATGAGCAAGCCGTCGACGAGGTTGATCACCGGGGCGAGCGAGACCAGGCGGGCGACTGAGAGCAGCATTTTTTTCGCCGAGAACGGCCAAAGAGAAGACGGACAGTGAAGAGAAGGCAGCAGCTACGTGGACGTAGGAAGCTAAAGCGAGAATCCCATCGCTTCGGCCGTGCATCTATATACTGATTTCCATACCTGTGCCGAGTGGGACCGAGTGAAGTTTGACCCCTCCATCGGGTGGTTTACAGCAGTTGCGTCCATGTAAGGGGAGTTTTATTTTCGTCCCCGCTCAATGAGTGGGTGATGTTTTGGTTCTGATTGTGAGAGACAGAAACAAAGGATCGAGGTGATGCCGCGTCTGCGATACGCAAGTGAGGCAGTCTTCAATACTCCCTGGATAGTGTTCTGGCCCACTCCGTGTTGTACAGGGTTATCCAGACCCGGCCACGATGCGAACGCTTCCATGGCAGTCTAGGCGGCTAAACCAGGCAAGGGATAAGTGTCGGGCTGTCCAGTCGCCGAACAATGCCGACTTATACAGGAACGTCGAGATTGAAGTCTTTGTCAACCAACGTACGAATGCGGGAGATCTGAAGAAAGCCAGTCAGAGGTGAAGCTGGCCGGCCGATCTGCGGCACGGTGTCCGGCGGGCTCGGGTCTGGAGGCGGAGGGCCCGAAGGTCAACGGCCTACTTAGGTGCCTGATAACCGAGACGCCAGGCCGTTACGCGAGCTCCGACACGGGGTTGCGGCACGGGAGCGCGATCGGCTGTCTCAAAAAGGCCCATAGAGAGTTGTCGGAGGTGCCCCGGTGATTTTCGCCTACGCCACAGCCTCACCGGGCGAAGCAAGCCACGCGGAGCCCGGTGACGATAGTAGGTATGCGCTCCATCCCGCGTCTCCATGCGTCGAATGGCCGGATTCGGCAACGCGATGACGCACGCGCGTGTGCATGGATGCGACGGAAGCGGCAGGCAGTCTAGGTCGGCAACGCGCGCGCCGCCGATCAGAAGAGGAAGCTAGCTGTTCATACAGGGATTCTCGGCGGGCTGTTGGTTGGCAACCATGCCGGATGCCGGCAACCGAGGGCAGGAAATATCGGACTTTACGAGCATTGGCGAGGCAGAGCAGGGAAACGACAGGCGTCAGGGCCAAGTTGTGAATGTGGAGAGGTTGGGCCGGTAGGAGAGAGGAAGAGGGAGCCTGTTGATATTGACCCAGAGTGACGGCTCTGGTCTCCTGCCAAAGCAGGCTTAGCGAGGCTTGCGTAGCAGACAGTAGCAGGTGGACAAGCGGGGGAGATATGGGGGGTGGGGGGGATTGGGATTGGGTCATTAGGAACGATATAGGAGATGCGGCCTTTTGGCTGGAGGCGAGCGAGGAGGTGGAGGAGGCGGGTGAATGTTGCTTCGTCGACAGGCTTGATTCAACCAGTGTATGAAATAGGAATGTGGATGGTGCCGGCGGGCACAATGCCGAGCCTTTTGAGGTGGATACATACGATATACGATGTACGGAGTTATACAAGCTACCCACCGCATGTGTGATATGACCCCTGTCGTCCTGGCTTGGAGAGAAAATAAACTCTTTTTGACTTTCCGATAGAGTTGGGCTAAAGCCGCTTATTCCCACTCGTCGTCGGTAGGTAATTCAAATGCAACCACCGTACTCCTTCAGGTGTCAGTGAGGGGAGATTGATTGCCATGCACTCGAGCGGTCTGGACATACCATTTGCAGCAGCTTCGCTCATGTCTCAAAGAGGCTCAATGGCAAAAGATCTGGGTCGTCCGAACCTTTCTTTAGATAACGATAGCCACCTCGTGATAGCAAGGACAGGGGGAAAGCAGGCCCGTCGCATTATAGTTCTTGGCTGCTTTTCTTGGCGGGCTGGCTATCAACGCATGCGTCCGTCTGTCCAATGGCTGTCCAACATGGTACTTTGCTCCAGGCACCCGAACAACCTTGGCAGACACTTTTGGCAGCGGCGAGTGTCGAACATCAGTCGGTCTCGCTTCGCGGTGCGTGTTTTCCTCCAAGGTACCCAAGGTTCGGACGCGCTGGCTAGGTAGGTAGGTAGCAAGGAAGCTAACGACGCCACACCGGGGCCCGTCGTCATTTCGGCTCGCAGGAGCCGTCGTATGCAGGCAAGCGGGCTTCCAGAAGGTGCTCGAGGACGTACGCCGTTGGTCCGTAGAGGAAGCTCGACACGGGGCGCTGGGGCACCACCCGAACAAAGGGCATTGCTGTGCGAGAGCGGTTCGGTATCCAAGACACGAGACTGTGGCTGCGGCTGTCTGTCTGTCTGTCTGTCTGTCTGTCTGTCTGTCTGTCTGTCTGTCTGTCTGTCTGTGTCTCCCCCCGATAGGAGTACGCAAGACAACAGAGATGGTTAGTTATATGTGACCAAAGGTAGGCAGTCGGGCAGGCAGGCAGGCAGGCAGGCTTGTGGTTCGCAGTATCGCATCAGGGACAACAGCAACTGTGTACGAAGACGTGCGTCGAGCAAGCCACGTCGAGCAACAAACACACTCTCGGCTCAAGAAAATGGGAGGAAGGAGGTGAGGTGGGAGCAGCAGAAAAGAGAAAGAGCGACACCCCCACCCCACCCCACACCTCTTCCTTCCCGGAAGAGTGGACCCACATGGCCCCGCTTTCGTGCCTTCCCCGGACGGCTGTCCGCCAAGTACCTCGTCATCCCGGGACCTTCCCCTTCGAGCTCGTCGCCAAGAGCCTCCAAGAAAAGGTCCGCCGCGGCGTGGCCAATGACACCGGGCACCCGTCCGGGAATTGCTTGTTGATGATTATCCATCATGGCCAATAATGACTGCTTCTTTTTCCTCTTCTTCTTCCTCTCTTTTTTTTTCTCCCTCGCGGTGCGATGCAGATGCTAGCTAGCTACCCAGGCAAGTCTGCCAGCCCGCCAATGTTGTTTGGACCCGCCCGCCTGCTTTGCTCTACTGCTACACGTCCCGCTGGCCATTTTCTGTGCCCAGATCAACGCTTCTTGGCTGGGTACAACATGCGTCCCAACATGTCCACTGCATGCTGCATGTCAGGATTCCTTGACAGGTACGTTACCAGTGACTAACTAGCATGCAACGCGACGCTGGCTGGCCGCTGGTATCGGGATCGGCCGTTGCTGCCCTGGTTGGCCGCGGCCACACGATGGCCATGAGAATATAAGCCGAGGGCCACGCCCGTCTCTCCATGAACATTCGTCCGCTACTGATCTCTAAGGAATCCCTCCGTTTCCTCCCTCCTTCGCCAACCCCAGTCCAGTCCAATCCCCCTTCCTAATCACTCAAGCAAACCCGCATCTGCCGTGTTTGTTTGTGCCATCGGACAACCCGCCATCATGGTTCGCGCTTCGTCCTACCTAGGCTCCCTTGCCGTCCTCGCCGCCTCCGCCGTGGCCAAGGAGATGCAGCCCGACGAGGCCCTCGCCGCCGAGCTTTACGACTCGGGCAAGATCCACGAGCAGGTCATTGCCAGCAAGAAGGTGAGAGGACTTCCCAGAACCCCCCCGTTCGTTCATCCTCCTCGCCGCCGCCGGGCAGAATTGCTAACAATATAACCCCCTTCTAGGCTGAGTTCGCTCGCCAGAAGGCAGCCGGCGCCTACAATAGTGAGGTGTGGCCCGAGCTGGGCTACACTCCTTGTGTGAACGGTTGGGCCGAGGCCGTCGTCGGAGACAGGAACAACACCTTCAGGTGCCACAACGTGAGTCGCCTCGCCAAAAACCCTGCATTCTGTGACACTGCAAACACCCAATGACACCCTTCCCAGGCCGACCTGTATTCCTTCCTTAGCCACGCCGCTCTCGGCGGCCCCCTTGCCGAGGGCTCCTCCTCGTGGGGCTGGACCAACGATGATGGCCGCGAGTTCGTCGCCATCGGTCAGTACGAGGGCACCGCCTTTGCTGAGATTCTCTCGGACGGCAAGCTCGTCTACCTCGGCCGCCTGCCCCAGTACTCGTCTCCTTCCGAGTGGCGCGAGATCCGCTCGTACAAGCACTACATGGTCATCGGCTCCGAGGCCGTCGGCCACGGCATCCAGATCTTCGACATGAAGAAGCTCCTGGACATCGAACCCGCCAGCCCCGTCGTCTTCGACGCCAAGCTCGACCTGACGAGCCACTTCAACGCCCTGCTCCCCCTCGGCCGTGCCCACAACGTCGTCGTCAACGAGGAGCTCAACTACGCCGTTGCCGTCGGCGCCATGCCTCGCACCGACCCCCTCTGCGCCGCCGGTCTCAACTTCTTCGACCTGACCGACCCTGCCAACCCCGTCTCCCTGGGCTGCGCCAAGGGCGACGGCTACGTCCACGATGCCCAGTGCCTCGTCTACCGTGGCCCCGACAAGCGCTACGAGGGCCGTGACATCTGCTACGGCTACAACGAGGACACCCTCACCATCTACGACGTCACCGACAAGGCCAACGTCACCAACATCATCTCCCGCATCTCCTACGAGGGCGCCTCCTACACCCACCAGGGCTGGGTCCTCGACGTCAACAACCAGGAGTTCCTCGTCCTCGACGATGAGCTCGACGAGTCGCGCGGCAACGGCCCCGCCGGCGACGGCTACCCCGTCACCTTTATCTGGGACATCCGCGACCTCGAGAACCCCAAGCAGACCGGAAGTCAGTTTTCTTCTTTTTCCTCTTTCTCCTTCTCTGGGCATCCCATGAAACAAAGCCCTTTCCGCACATTTTTTTCAATGATACTGATCGAGATTGCACAGTCTTCACTCACCCCACCAAGGCCATCGACCACAACCAGTACGTCATCGACAGCTACATCTACCAGTCCCACTACGGCGCCGGCCTCCGCGTCCTCGACGGCACCTCCATCCCCTCGGACCCCACCGGCGCCGGCGTCTGCGAGGCCGCCTGGTTCGACATCTACCCCGAGGACGACGACTTCGAGGGCGGCGGCTACGTCGGCTTCGTCGGCACCTGGTCCTCGTACGCCTACTTTCCCTCGGGCTACATCTTCATCAACACCATCGAGCGCGGCGCCTTCGTCGTCAAGCTGACCGGCAAGGACTGCCCCAAGGCCCCGGTCTGCAACGCCGACAACTGTCTGCGCTCCTTCCGCGCCACCTCCGTTCCCGGCCGCCTCGAGGAGTCCCAGGCTTTCTGCAAGTCCTTCCTCGCCTCGCCCATCAAGGACGCCGCCGTCCTCCCCGAGCACGCCGTCACGAACTGCGCCAAGGAGGACAAGGTCGCCCAGGCCAGCAGCGCCTGCGCCTGCTTGCCCACCGCCACAGCCGCTCCCTAGATGAGCGATCGCGGGGGTGACGGGAAGGAGGTCTGATGACGATGGAGGAAATGATTTAATGCACAAATCAAATTTTGAATAATTCTTTGTACCTAGTCAAAAGCCTCTCAGTCGGTTGCCCATGATACCACACATGGCTTCTGAGAGGGAAGTCAGCAACACTTTTACGAGTAAATAATACGACATTCGTCAGTCAACCCCTTGGGGTCCTTGTTTTCGCCCAGTGGTGTTGCCATCTCCGTCACTGAGCGCTCGTTGTAGATTGATCTCCGTTTCCAGGCCATGGCGGGGGGGGGCCTATGCTTGAACCCTGGGAACCCGGGCCCGGGTCGGCCAGCTGCACCGCCGGAACGGGTTGATGCAGCCCCCAGCGTCAAATATGAGCTGACAGGTCCAGGACCACCCACACTCTGGGCCAAGCCGACAACTATCCAGGACTACATTTCTGTCTTTTTTCTTCTCTTTTCTTCTTTTTTCTTCTTTTTTTTTTTCTTTTTCTTTTTCTGAAACTGTTTGCAACCCAACACCCTAATTCCCCAGGGGTTCCTTACGTTTAAGCTTTGCGCCAAGCTCAGGGCTCGCATGCCGGGCTCACCGGGCCACGGACCCAGGTGCAGCGATCATGAAACTCGCCCTTGAAACAACGAGAATGCCCTCGCCAGGGCCTTCACGAATACTTCTGCTCTCACGAACTACAGAAAGACATCAGACCAATTCTTCCTCCCATCCCACCCTCATCACGCCCAGAAAGAGAGGGAAGCATTCTGTCACGATATGTGGGTGTTGTTACTGCCCACGCAACTAACAGTATCGTTTTGTTACGTGACACATTCTTATCAATCGCCAACATGAGGACGCGCATGGTTCTCGCGGCCCTGGCCTTCGGCCACGCGCAAGGTCTGAAGTCCCAGTACCCAATGTTCGAATCGTGCGCCGCCAGCCCGCTCCTCCCGGACTCTCACATCGCCTGCGGCAAAGGCGCCGTCTTGGCGCCGGAGACACCGGCCCTCGCCAGGCTCGTGACCAACGGAACCACCAAGCCGCCGCCGAAACAGAAGAAGAAGGACATCTGGCGTACAGACGAGGGCTGGCATGGCCCTCACGCCTGCGCCGGCGTCTACTGCAGCTACTCGCGCCCGTCGTTCGCCGGCGGCCGCGGCATCGTGCTGGTGACCACCCCGTTCAGCGCCGAGGAGGCCTCGCGCCTGCCCGCCTTCGCCGCCGAGTCCATCACAGGCGAGGGCGACGGCGAGCTGTTCAGCGTCGTTGAGGTGCCCGGCAAGGGCCTCGGCCTCGTCGCCAACCAGCCCATCCGGCGCGGGCAGCGGATCATGGCCCACCCGCCGGCGGTCGTCGTCCACCGCCGGTTCGTCGACGACGTCGAGCCGGAGGACCAGTACCGCGTGTTCGAGGACGCCGTCACGCGCCTCCCCGAGCCGGCGCGGGCGGTGTTCATGGCGCAGATGGGCCAGGCGGCGGCCCACCATTCCACGGGACAGACGGTGCACGACATCATGCACACCAACTCGTTCGAGCTGGGCCTCAAGATCAGGGACGGCCATCACTTTGGCAACTATCCCGAAGTGTCGCGGTTCAATCACGACTGCAGGCCCAAGTACGTGCTTATACCACCCTTCCCCCCCTTCGCCGAGCACACGACTGACCCAGGACACACACACACAGCGTCGCGTTCTACATTGACGACTCGGACCTGCGTCACTACACGCACGCGGTCCGGGACATCCGGCCCGGCGAGGAGCTCACCATCTCGTACGTCGACTCGCTCACCGCCCGCGTCGTCCGGCAGGACCGCGCGCGGCGCAACTGGGGCTTCGGCTGCGGCTGCGCGCACTGCAGCCTCCCGGAGCCGTTCGTGCGCGCGTCGGACCAGCGCCTCGTGCGCATGTGGGAGATTGAGCAGCAGCTCAGCCACTGGAACGGCGAGGCGGTCGACGAGGACATGATCGAGCGGCTGGTCGGGCTGTACCGGCAGGAGCGGCTGGACCAGTCGCACGGCGCCGACGCGTTCCGGCTGGCCGCGCTGAACTACAACTCGCTGGGGATGGAGGCGCAGGCGCTCGAGTACGCGAGGCTCGCCGAGGAGCAGCTGCTGCTCGAGAGGGGGCCGGGGGCGAGGCAGGTCGACGACATGAGGGACCTGATGCAGGACCCGAAAGCGCATTACAGCTGGCGGCGGAGGGTGTAGTTGCGATGATGAAAGAATTGGGGACTTTTTTTTTCCTTTTTTTTTTTTTTTTGGGTTGATGATATGATGTGAGTGATAAGAGAGCGCTTGATGCAGCCAGTAATCCACCCATTTGCCCCCAAATTGAGGCTATTCATGATTGACCCAACAACAGGCGTCTTTCGACCTCCTTCTTCAGGTCGGCGTTGAACTCGTTCCACCCGGCGAGCGACTTGTCCCGGAACGACCACCCGGGCGCCATGACGAACGCGAGGAGCCCGGAAAACTCCTCGGCCTGAACGAAGCGCGTGCCGCCCGGGTTCACGTCGCTGGGCTTGAAGTAGAACTCGTGCCTGCCAGTGAAGATGCCCGGCAGCGAGCCGACCCAGTGCAGAGCGTCGCTCGTGTTTTCCTTTCGGTGTCAGTGGGAGGCGGGGAGTTCGCAGCGGGAGGTGGGTTGGCCCTTGGCTTACCTTGATCACGGGCTTGAATGACATGCCCCTCATGTTGGCCTGGATCTGGTCGCCGTCCTTCAGGTCAGAGGGGTCCTTGCCGGCTTCCATCGGCGTCAGGGTCCATCCTTGGCTCCATTCCTTGTATCGCTGGAAGTCCAGGAACTGCGCGACGCCCGGTTAGCAAAGGGAGGAATAAGTGGTCTTGTTGGAGGGCGCGTTACCACTGATCTCACATCAGCCGGCGACGCCTGGATCTCGATCTCGGCCGAGAGGCTGTGAGTAGACCCCATATCTTCTGTGGTGAGTTTGGCAAGGGGGGGGGTTGAAAAGAGATGAGAAGCCTTGGTTTGCCAGGAGAGGGGGTTTTTTATTTTATTTCTTTGGTGTTTGGGTGCTAGTTCATGTGTTGACCGAGTCGGGTGTCAAAAGAGGGGATGAAAGAGAGTAGCGGATGCAGACTGATCACCAAGTGAGAGGAGGTTGACGCATCCTAAATATTTTTCTAAAGAACCAAGTCATGTTCCACGCTGACCCCTTTTGCCCCGGTAGCATTCATCCTTCAATCAATATGGAGTTCGTCGACATCGACGCCGGCCAAACTGACGGACCTGAACTCCGGTCCGCGCCGTAGCCACGCGGGAGCTGACGGACGCCACCGGCGGTGAATTGGGCCGAATATCCACAATAAAATCAGCCACAAACGAACCCCGACCGGGTTTCATCGCCAAACCCGTCTATCAGTCTACCAACGCCAACGCATTACCTGACATAAGATAAGTTTAAAGCCTTTGATATCATATCCCCCCCCCCCCCCCCCCCCCATAAACCTACTCTTACAGTGGCACCGCTCCGCCTAAGGGGCGAAGCATGGTTCAGGCTTGAACCCGCCAGATAGACAGCGAGTCATAACATCAATTGCTTGGCCGTTCCGAGGCGAGAACCCACATGTTGGTCTGGATGAAGATCCCGGCATGGTTGGATTCCTTCCACGGCATGTCGGGTTTGGCGAGACACCAGTCGAAGTTGCGCACCAGCTGTTGACGGGGAGGTGTTAGAAGGATGGATCGTTAATCTCTCTGTCTCTCTCTCTCTCTTTCTCTCTCTCTCTCTCTCTGTCTCTTTCTGCTACGGCGAACAGGGAGATCAGAGGGCGGGGGGGCGGCTTCAACTCACCTCGAAAACCGTCTTGCTGATCTCCATCATCGCGATCGGCCGTCCGAGGCACTGGTACTTGCCGTACCCAAACACGAGCTCGTGCACGCGGTGCATAGCCATCAGCCTCTTCTCGTCCGTCTCGAGCAGCCACCGCTCCGGGCGGAACAGCTCGGCGTCCTCGCCGAAGATGCCCTTGTCCAGGTGCAGCGGCCACGCGGCGCAGCTGATGTTGGTCCCGCCCGGCAGGAAGACGGGGCGGCCGTCCACCACGACGGTGTCGCCGCCGTCCGGAACCCGCTTGGGGTCCATGTTCGTCACCGGCGGGTGGACCCGCATCCCCTCCTTGATGACCGCCTGCAGGTACGGCAGCCTCCGGGCGTCGGCGTCCGACACGATCCCGGAGGGCCGAGCGGCCTCGGCGGCGGCGGCGGCGCTGCCGACGAAGGCGTCAATCTCGGCCCGGAGCTTCGCGTGGACGCGCGGGTTCGTGATGAGGTACAGCATGACGGCGCGGAGCGACGCGGCCGTCGTGTCCGAGCCCGCAATCATCTGCAGCGTCGTCTCGGACAGGATCTCGTCCTCGCTGAGGCCGTGGCGGATGAAGGAGGCGATCATGTCGGAGCGCTTCTGCGTGTCGAGCGCCAGCCGCGCCTTGACGATGGCCCGGCCGTTGGCGAACATCCGGCCCCACCCGGTCGCGTCCGTCTCCCTGGGGCCGAAGAGCCGCGCGGCGAGCGGCGACTGGAGGACCTTGTAGAGGCCCAGCGCGATCTTGTACGTGAAGACGACCATGCCCGTGTCCGCCGACGCGGCGATGCCGAACACGTCGTCGTCGGCGCGCAGGTCGCCAAAGGCCTTGCCGAAGCTGATGTCGCTGATGACGTCCAGCGTCAGGTACTGGATCTTCTGGGCGAGGTCCATCGGCTTCGACGCCGCGTCCGTCGACGTGTATTTCGAGCGGACCAGCTGGATGAGGTCCGAGACGTGAGAGTCGATCGACTCCTCCAGTCCAGGGTTCTCTCTCCCCGAGTACTTTGAGCTCTCGCATGTCAGCGGTTCAACGTCCATCCCATCCGGTCTCTTGGGAACACCGAAGTCAAGCAGGCATCATTAGAAGAAGAAGAAGATGAAGGAGGAGAAGATGATGAAGAAGAAGAAGAAGAAGGAGAACTCACCCCGGATCCCATCTGTTGCCTCAGCCGCTTGTGTCTCTGCTCATCCATCTCGCTAAAGACATGATCCTTGCCCGGCATGTGCCTACAGGCCCGGTAGAACCATTCGGTCCTGGTGTATTGTGACCGGATCCCGCTCATGTGAGCGAGCAGCTCGGGCGACGAGGTGACAAGATCGTTTGGGCCGACGCGGGCGATGGTCCCTAGGTAGACGGATGCCATGTTAGCCACCGCCGTCGTCGTCGTCTGTGCGATGCCGGCTGCATGGCCGGCGCGCGACTCACCATACTTGCGGCAAACGCCATCGTACTGCAGGTGCGACTTGAAGGAAAGGATCGCCCAGGCATGCCACGCCTCGGTCCAGCCACACAAGGGCGGCCCCTTGAATGCCTTGAGGCGGTTGTACGTCCGGATCTTCTGCTGGCCCGCGTACGCGAGCAGCACGACCAAAGCAAAGAGCCACCGAAGGCCGTACAGGTCGGAAGAGAAGCCCATGATCACGCGGCAGAGCTGCAGTCCCAACAAATGTGAGATGCTTGAAAATTGCAAGGTTGAGACTGCTTGTCCGTGCGCGCGGGCGAGCAAGGAGATATACGAAGGACGGGAGCAGGGGGGGGGGGGGGGGGGGTTGTACGATGGGATCTTCTCCAGCTAGCTCACCGCGCTGTGACACGTTGACCAAGCGGGAAAGGGGTTGATTGGAAAATAGCGTGTCTTTGCCCATTTGCGTGTCGGAGAAGAAGAAAAAAAGAAAGAAAGAAAAAAGGGAGAGGCTATCGATCCGCGATGATAAGCAAAGCGCCTCGCGCGCGGTATGCAGCCAATGTCGACGCCCGGCAGAGACATCGTATCGTTCTGTTTACAACCCCGTTCCTCCCCACCTCTCAGCGAGGCCTGGACCATTTGCCAATACAATTATCGGAATCCGACGCGATGGGCCTTTCGTTTGCGTCCCTTTGCATGCGCAGTGCATACCGAATGTGGACGAGGTGCTCGGCGAAGTGTGCAACTGTCCAGCTTCAACGATGTCGGCCTTCGTCACGGTCGGACCGGGTGTAGTTGCTTGGCCGGGGTATGCGGCATGCATGATCCTGCAAGTCATCCCCAGTTTGGTGGCCGCCGTCCCGTCCCGCAACCTTCTGCGTCCGCAGGGTCGGATCGTCAAGAGCAAACAGGCGCGTTGTCACATATAACTGGTTGAAATCGTTATCAATGCCGGCCACAAACGTCCATCGCGGCGGCTGGGAGATGGTGTGGGGGGAGGGGGCATCATATGGAGACGCTCGAGGAAGCGAGCTGTGCATACGGTTATCACACTGCCGCAAACAAAACACGGAGATTCAATTGGCTGGGCTGGGACTTATACACACTGCATTCGTTTCGTTGCATCTTTCTATTGACGCGAGTTTCCTGGATACTGTGAATTGAGGAAGGTGGAAACACCTACAGGTTGAAGAAGAGGTTTTGCTTGGTTGGCCTGATAACAGCACGTGGATCCGTAGTATCCTGGACCACGCCGCTTTGGTTTTTTTCTTCTTTTTTTTTTCTTCTTCTTCTTTTTTTCTTTCTTGTTTTACCTTGACTGCTGAAAACTACGTAGCCAACATACTGCATGCAGTCCGGATCGCTGCAGACTGACTGTATCAGAAGAAGGCCAGGGCGGTCTCGAGATGGCCTCGTTCTCGGAAAGTTGTAACACCGAGGAGCGGCTCATCACCTGCAACTACGAGGGACACTCCCCTCCCTTGAGATCTATCTGCAGAAAACCCCGAGCAACATGCATAGGTATACTGCGTATGGAGGAGAAGCCTGGCCACAAGGCAGGCTGCAAGCAAGCACGCTCGGCCGCGAGCAGCTCAAACGTGGAGAGCGCACGAGGTTCACGGATGCTCACCACGAGAAATCGATGTTTTGGATTTCGCACAGAGCGGTTTGGTGTATGTATGAGTGTGACTGTGTCTGTGTGTGTGTGTGTGTGTGTGTGTGCATGGACCGTAACAGGTTCATTCTATCTTTAATTTCAACTCATTTCAATCGTCCAAAGTTCTTTTATAACAAAAAGTTAGATTTCCATTTGATACACTCCTGGTGTCTCGTAAAACTCCGACGCCTCCATGCTCCTCACGCATTATCGTCTCGCTGTGCCCGGACCGTCCCACGGCAACTCTGGCGCTATCGCCTTCTACCTCTAACTTAGGCCGCCGCCGTCTTCTTCTTCTTCTTGTCCTTGCGGCCGGCAACGGGCGTGATCTTGGGAGGCGGGGCCGGAACGTTGGGAGGCGGGGCCGGGACGTTGGGAGCAGGAGCGGGGACGGGGGCCGCAGGAGGAGCACCGACGGCCGGGGGAGGTACCGGCGAGGGGAGGGGAGCGCCGACGGCTGGCACAGCAGGCGGGATGGGAGCAGCCGGAACTGGCGAGGGCGCTGCCGCCGGGGGAGGCACCGGGCCCGCCCGGGGGTTGCCAGGGGAAGCAAGCGGGATGCCGCTAGGGTTGGCTAGGCCAGCAGCAGGAACCGGGGCAACAGCCGGCGGGGCCGGGGCGGCAGCAGGGGGAGCCGGGACGGCAGCAGCAGGAGGAGCCGGGGCAGCAGCGGGAGCGGGCACCGAGTAGGCGGCGATGCCCTGGTCCAGTACAGATTCGATCTTGGATCGGCTATCGGCGGCGATCCTCTGGCCGATTCTGGGGACCTTGTCCTCCAGCGCGGCAGTCAACGCTACGGTCGACGCCTTTTGCTTCTGGAGCGAGTCCAAGGCGACGGCGCTGACGCCCATGTTGTCGAGGATAGGCTTGCGGGAGACCAAGTCGTTGATCGTGGTCGTCGTCTGGTCGACGAGATCGTCCGTGGTCCGGCGGAGCCTGGCCGCCCTGAAAATGCCGAGGTCGCCGGCGCCCTGGATCTTTGCGGTGGCCTGTTCGGTGACCGTCTGGGTCTGCTGGGAGGCGATGAGGAGGTTGTTGGCCGAGACGGGGCCGCCGTCCAGAGCCAAGATGGCGTTGTCGAGCGTCGTGAGGGACTGGGAGACGGGGGTCAGCGCCTTCTCGATGGCGTCGGCATCGCCGGGCGCCCTCTTGCCCATCTCGCCAGCCCAGAGGGACTGGAGGGGCATGGCCGCGGCGATGGCCGCCTGGCCGACGAGAGCAAGTACCAGTTGCGGGGGATGCATTTTGCTTGGTATGACAATGCCAGACGATTAGGGGTCTGAAGGTTTGTGGAGAAAAGATGGTAGAAGTGACCAAGCTGATGTCGTTGAGTTCTTGGATGCTCCCAAGAAGAATGGCTTATTTGACGGGAGATGGAATAGGTTTATAACCTTCGCTCGACCTGTCCGTGACGGTCCCAAGATTGTGTCGTGAGCAGCATCGAGATGGGCCGGACGCGGTGCGGCATCGTAGGCTCCAACGCAACCTGCAGACGTGAGACGGTTGAAACGAATCTTGGAGGAGTGTAGGCATGGCATGGCATGGCATGGCGATACCCCCCCCCCCCCCCTCTCTCCGCTCGCAGATCTAGTCTTTGCGTCGGGGAAGCAAGGGTTCTCGAGGTGTTGGCAGCCGCATGAGGTCTGTGTATGAGCCCGTGAACACCAATCGGCGCAAGATCGTAAACAGGACTGGATAGTTGTTAGTAGCGTCTCTCCACTCCTGACAGCTTGACAACAAATGAAGTCTCCGCAGATGGAGGGATAGACTTTGGTGATCGGTGAACCCTTGACCCGTGCGTAGCAAACCCTATGCAGGAAGGGAAGGGAAGGCAGAAGCAAGGGCCTTGATGCAGTAACAGGGACAAGGTGACGGGGATATGATGACAGATTCTTTGCAGGAGCCTCTTGAAACTAGACGGAGGCATACATAGTGTGTGTAGTCGGGCACCCGAGGGTGAGAGGGTACTTGGTTGAACTTGCTCCCGGACGCATACGCATGCTAGACCCCCCCCTCCGTCAGATGAGTAGTAAGCTACAGTCTCGGTCAGGTATCCGGGGACGCAGGTCGAAGGCTCAGACCCTTTTGCAGGACGCAAGATATTCAAAGCTGCACTTATACCGGAGCAGGGCTTGTCTGTGATTCGTCAACGAAGATGGCCAAAGCCAACGTTGCTGCGCCCCTATGGCTCTAATGCCCGCGGGCCGGTGCAGCTTCTTCTCCACTTGCTTAACCACCGCAATGGATCGACGGCCGTGCATCGCGAGGCAGCACACGCTGCAAGACGATCTCGTAGGCCCTATTGGACTGGGGGGGAGCTCTATTGCATCTCCTGTGGGCGACGTAGGAACGGTAGGACGTTCCACTCTTCTGACCTTGTAACTCGGCCGATATGGGGGACATGGCTTCTCGTCCTCCCCGATGCCATAGCTTCATCATTCGGCAAGAAAACGGCCTTGGCGGTGAGGAAGCTCGCGCTACCGGTTGCACACCTGCATTTGGAATTTGGAACTCAACTTGCAAGTGTTCGGCTGACCTGTCCCAATTAGACATCTCTGTGTTTCTGATGTCCTATTGCGGTTCCAAAGTTGGTCCAGAGCGCACCAGCCGTAGCAACGATCAACCAGCCCCTTCCGACTTTCCTCTTCTCTCTGAAAATCAAGCTCTTGACATGGTACAGAAGTCTATCACGGGTTGATTTGTCTATGACTTACTTACCACCATGTTACACGCCTACCTGTTCATGACGATTCGACTACGAGGCGGCCTTACTGGTTCCGTATACCTTCAAGCTGTGTAAACTCGTGTCTCCTCCGTCAACAGCCCGAGAGACGGTCTATAATCCGTCCTATCATTCCAAACGGGCTGTAGCAGATACGCGGAGACCGTTCCCTCGCTGTCCACACCGCATCCAGACAAGAGAGTGTCCGACATACGGATGCTGGGAACGACCAACGCCGTCGAATCGAATGGAAACGTCATTATACACACTCCTCAGCCGCAGTTTTGCGCGCAAGGGCTTCCGTGAGAGGCGCTCAGACCGAGATGCAACGGCGCATGTTGGCACCCTACTTTGCCCTTCAAGGGAGGGAGGGCTTGACCACTTGCGCTCGTGCCATTTGTACTGGCCACAGAGCAGCTCCTTCTCAGGCCGGGGAGGGGGGGTTAGCATAAGCATCGGTAGGTACGCCGATGAGTCCGGGCCCACGACCAGCTTGGGACGGTGCCCGGTTTCATCACGGACGGCGTGGCTGAGATCAAGGGACTCGCCACAGGAGAGATGTTGCATAAACGCCTCCAGCCACAGTCTCGCCATGCACTTTGTTGTCCGTCGCCGGGTGTATAGCGGGCCGGATACCAAGTCGCGGAGCGGGAGAGGCAATCAAGGTCTATCCAAATGTTTTGTTTTCTGAAGGGAGGGGGGGGGGACGCTCAGATCACGGCTTTGGTCTCATGTTTATTTGACATTATGACCATGTTGAAGTAAACCCCCGTCCTGATTTCCGCGTTGCTTCAACTAGAGCTCGGCCCCCGAGAACCCCTGAAGGAATGAGCTTGTCATCCGACTTGGAAAAAACAAGTCGTTCAAATCTTGGCTCGAGGGCATCTCTAGTCATTCCAACATTACGATAAACGGCTAGAGTTACAGGACGATCTCTCGGCCAGAATACCATAGATGAAAGGCTTTGGCAGTCTTTAGTCTTTTTGCAAGTAGAGTGCGATATGCTCATTGGTGGGCAGACCTCTCTCTGGCTCAGCATCACTCCAGCCGCATGTGTGCAAGAAGACTAGACAGCTCATCACACAGCAGAACTATGGATTACTTCTCAAGCGCTGGAAATGACAACTCCGAGATGTGGAAACGCCTGATGCGGCAGTGCCGCGACTTCTGATAGCACAACTGTCTTCTTCCTCCGGGGATGCCGCTCAGATATGAGCCAAATCACTACAGGAATGAAGTCCAAGGAAACTTTCAAACTTCAGAAGCACAAAGATAAAATCTCCGTATTCTAAGAGAAAAATCTTTATTCTAAATTGGCATCAATAGAGCACCAACAGAGCCTTCTTGGCTGCACGTTGCAGTATATGCACAAGCTTGTCATTCCTATTCTGAGGAGCTTAGGTGCTCCTGGCATGAAGCACATGACCAAACTTCAATCATCTCGACCCAAATCTCTTTCCGTATCGCTTCCATATATATTCTGGTAATTATTAACCCAGCTGCACGCTGCATGGTGTTGTGTTTCATCAAGCCGGCAACGAGTTCCCTCCACAAGCGGTGGACGCTATGGTGCAAAATATCATTTTGAAGTGGTTGTCAATACTGAAATGGCACTTCCGAGTATGTTTAACAATGCGGCCTACGAAGAATATCGAATCGTTGGAAACTTTAAAAGTTGGGAGCGAACAAGTGGCATTTGGACAAGGCAACAACAATCCTACGATCAGCGACCTTCCTAGGTGGGCGGTGACAAATCCATTAACAGGCCCACCGCAGAGGATGCCAAGGCTCTAGTAGTATTCGTACGCGTCCAGGTTCGGCCTGTGATGAGTCAGACCGAACGTATGAGGGGCTCCCGACGGCCACGAATCATCATCTACCTTGACAACTGGCCCGGCAAGGCAGCTTCAAGTACAAAAAGGGCGGCACGGTGCAAGTATACGGACGAGTGCGTGAGCCTTCCCCACAGCGAGGTCGAAACAAGCTGCGAGACGGTTACAGGACGAGAAACATGGGCATCGAGCTTCAGACCGTAGTCGAGGCCGACTTGCGGCGCTGCGCCGAGATCGAGGACTTGGCCTTCGCGGAGAGCCCGCTCAAACAAGTGCTGTTCTCCGGCCCCTTGCCGGAGAACATGTCGGAGGTTCGAGCGGACGAGATGGCCAAACAGCTTCGCGAGGACGCGACCGTGCGCATGTTCAAAGCAGTGGACACTGCGCTCTCGGGCGACGAGGCCATCATTGGTTGGTGCAAGTTCAATGTACACGCGGATGGCATGCCGGAGCCAAAACCGCGAGAGGTGCAGCCGTGGTACAACGAGAAGGCTTACCGTATGATGTTCGGCGGGCTGGACGAGATGCGCAAGCGTTTGATGGCAGGGAAGCCGTCCGTTTGTAAGTGGTGTTTGAGAGAGAGAGACATACAAAGAAACAAACAACAGAAGAGTCGGTTGGCTCGGTAGCTAACAAGACTGAACGCAGATATCCACATCCTCGTGACGGACCCCAAGCACCAGCGGCGCGGGGCTGGTCTCCAGCTGATGACGCCGGGGATGCAAGAGGGTGCTAGGCTGGGGGTGCCGGTGTATCTGGAGTCGTCGGCGGCCGGCCATCATTTGTACACCAAGCTTGGATTCAAGGATGTTGAAGAGCGCCGGGTGGACTTTAGCAGCTTGGGCGTCGATTTGGTTCACTTGAATTGGGCCATGATCTGGGAACCGCCCAGCCAGCGATGCCCTTGAACCGACTGTCTTGTTGATTGGCCGGGGGTATGTATGGGTGCGTTGCATGCCCGGGTGTCTGCTTTCAGCGCCAACGGCTCGAGAGACGGGGAGGGGGGCCCTTCCTAACGGTGATTTCCTAAACCGATGTTGAGGGTTAGACGTTTGCTGGAGAAGAGTTGGACGGGATTTCATGACGGGATTTCATGAATTCCGGGACTGTTATACCGTACACATGGGATAACATTCATACTGTATATTCGTGTGTCATCCCGCCCAGACCATACAGTGTGAATGATATGCAATATAAATGGGAGGAACGCCTGGGAGTCGTCGAGGTGAGGTGGGGCGATAACGACGATAACACCTGCCTCGTGCTGGCCATGCTGGCTCTTGCCTTTTGCCTCCTGCACCTCACCTCACTTCACCTGCATCTGCATCCTGCAGCCAGTCCTCTACAGTGGCTCTAGCGCCTGAGACCGCGGACCTTTCCCGACACACAGGACTGCTGCTGTTATGTACGTACCGTATCTAGGTAGGTACCTAGATAGCTAGCTACCTACTATAGTACCTACTGCGTAGTGTATATGGTAAGGCTGCAATGGATGACGTAATCAGTCATCTTCCGTACCTAGGTAGTTAGGTAGTGGAGGGGCACCCCCCCGGACTCTGTGACAGCTAAACTCCGACGCAAAGCACCGTCCGAACCGTTTCCGTCCCCGTCCCTCACATCTGTCTGTCTTTGCTTGCTTTCTCGTCCATGGCCGCCATTTTGTGGGATCCAGAGCTGCTACCTCGAATAGGTCCCTCCCACAGACCGGCACCATGTCGTACGTCGCCCCCATCCACAGGCCAAGCAGCATACGCCACGCCTTGAGCGTACGCTTGTCAGAGGACGACGAGACAGAGAGCCTCGTGGTAGCGTGAGTTCGCCGCCCTTCCTGCCCCTCCATGCCTGGCTGCCCCAACACGCCGCCGCCTCGTTTTCGCTGCTGTCCTTCCAACACATTCGTCCCCCCTCACTGACACCCTCCAAGAAGGTCCAACAGGCTCGAAGTATGGCGTGTCACGCCCACCGACATGTACATGCCCGGCTCTGCCGCTGTCTACGGCACCATCCTACTCCTTCAACGCCTACGACCCAAGGACAGCAATGCCGACCTGCTGTTCGTCGGCACCGATCGATTCCAATACTTCACGGCGAGATGGGACCCCGGAACACAGAGGCTACACACCGAGCAGGTCATAGAAGATGCCGCCGAACCTCACATGCGCGAAGCCCAGAGCCAGGACAAGTGCCTGGTGGATCCCACTGGCAGGTTCATGGCCATGCACCTATGGGAGGGAGTCATGAATGTTATGCGCCTGGGAACCCGCAAAGGCCAATTCGCTCGCCTTGACGGAGCATGGGAGCAGGTCCGCCTGTCCGAGCTCTTTGTCAAGGCCAGCGCCTTCGTTCCCACCGACACGGGCAACCCAACCATCGCCTTCTTATATCAGTCCAGTATCGAAAAAGAAGATGCCCAACTCGCCATCTACCGCCTGATGAGCGATGACAAGAACACAAATGTTTCGAGGTTTGACCCGAGCAAGGACAGGCAGTACGAGCTCGACATCAAGGATCCCTATGCCCGCATCATCATACCCGTGCCCATTGTCGAAGATGACGTCAAACGTTATCACAAGAGAGACACTACCGGGTCGAAAGCACAGTTGGGTGGCTTGGTCGTTGTCGGGGAGACTTTGCTGGTCTACGTCGACACCCTCACGCGGACAGTAGTGGAGGAGGGGCTTGACAGTCCGTCCATTTTCGTGGCATGGGCTGCTTACGACCACACGAACTACTTCCTCTCCGACGATTATGGGAACCTTCACCTCCTGACCATCCAAACTGAAGGCGTTATTGTCACGGGCCTGTCCATGAGATTGCTGGGCGTCACTTCTCGCGCATCGTGTTTGGTATATATGGGTGATGGCATGCTTTTCCTGGGCTCCCATTACGGCGACTCCCAGCTTCTCTCGATCTCTGTTGAGACGCAAACGACGAGGCTCGTCCAGACCATTCCCAACATTGCCCCTATTCTCGACTTCTCCATCATGGACCTGGGAAACGCCGGGGACAGCCAGGTGGGCAACGCCTTCTCTTCGGGCCAGGCCCGTATTGTTGCTGGATGTGGCGTTCACCAAAACGGCAGTCTACGGAGCATTCGAAGCAGCGTCGGTCTCGAAGACATTGGCGTTCTCGACGACCTGCGCGATGTTCGTGGGCTGTTCAGTCTCCGATCCCATGGCTCGGCCAAGGTCGACACCCTCGTTGTATCCTTCATTACGGAAACCCGAGTCTTCAAATTCGACCCGGAAGGAGGGATTGAAGAGGTATTTGACTTTCAAGGCCTCGTCTTGGATAGACCCACGTTGGTTGCAACGACTTTGTCCAATGGCCATTTGTTGCAGATCACACCCACCGCCGTGGCAGTTCTTGACTCGGAAAGTGGCGTGACGTTAAACACTTGGGCTGTGCCGGACGGGAAGACTATCGTCAACGCGTCAGCCAATAACAAGTGGGTCTTGTTGTCCATCAGTGGCACAACTTTGGTGTCTCTGAACCTGTCAGATAACCTGTCGGCTCAAGAGCAGGTCTTGGGCCGCGGCGTTGGCGGCCAGGAGGATCAGATCTCCTGCATTCACGCCGCTCGTGACCTTGATGACATTGGTGTGGTCGGCTTCTGGGCGAACGGCTCAGTGTCCATCATCAATCTCGGCACACTCAACGCTCTCCAGGGAGAAACCGTGAAACAAACCGATGATAGTGTGTCAGTCCCAAGAGACCTGGCCCTAGTACAGCTTCACCCACCACACCTCCTGGGTCCCACTCTCTTCGTAGCTATGGAAGACGGGCAGGTGGTGTCCTTTAACGTGTCAAAGGAAGATTTCTCGCTGTCTAGCCGGAAGAGCGTCACGCTGGGCAGCCAGCAGGCCGGCCTTCACATCCTGCCTCGACCAGGCGGCGAGGGTATCAGCAACATTTTTGCCACCACCGAGCACTCCAGCCTCATCCACAGTTCGGAGGGACGTATCATCTACTCGGCAGCTACCGCAGAGGATGTAACTTATATCGCGCCTTTCGACTCGGAGGCATTCCCCGACGCCATTTTCCTCGCCACGAACCGAAACATTAGGATTGCCCACATCGACGCCGAAAGAAGAACGCATGTCAACCCGTTGCAGCTGCGCGAGACGGTCAGAAGGGTCGCGTACTCGCCAGCGTTGCGAGCTTTCGGCATTGGCACCATTCGCCGCGAACTGGCCAACAATGAAGAAGTAGTCACCAGCTCGTTCCAGCTCGTCGACGAGATCGTTCTCGGAGTCGTCGGCAAGCCCTTCCACCTGGACGGCTCGACCTCGACAGAGATGGTTGAGAGTGTCATCAGAGCGCAACTGCTAGATGGCATGGGGCGGCCTGCAGAGAGATTCATTGTTGGTACGAGCTATCTGGCCGATCCGGATATCGACGAGAGCAGCGACACCAGAGGCCGCATTCTCGTCCTCGGTGTGGACTCGGACAAGAACCCGTACTTGATTGTCAGCCACCAGCTGAAAGGGGCTTGCCGAAGCCTTGGCGTCATGGGCGAGAAGCTTGTTGCTGGGCTGAGCAAGACCGTGGTGGTCTATGATTATGTCGAGGAGTCAACCACATCAGGGGCCTTGCGCAAGCTGGCCACTTTCCGGCCTTCGACGTTTCCTGTCGACATCGATGTCAATGGGAACATGATTGGCATCGCCGATTTGATGCAGTCCTTGACCTTGGTCGAGTTCATTCCGGGTCAGGACGGGAACAAAGCCAAACTCGTGGAGCGAGCCCGCCACTTTCAGTACATCTGGGCCACTTCGGTGTGCCACCTAGAGGGGCACTCTTGGTTGGAGGCGGATGCGCAGGGCAACCTGATGGTGTTGAGAAGAAACCCCAACGCACCGACAGAGCACGACCGAAAGCAAATGGAGGTCACTGGTGAATTTCATCTCGGAGAACAAGTGAACAAAATCCGACTGCTCGACGTAACGCCCAACGAGAACGACCCCATTATCCCCAAGGCGTTTCTCGCTACAGTAAGATGGTTTCCGACGCACCGCAAAATGCGTGTACATGTGCTGACAGGTGACAACAGGTCGAGGGGTCGTTGTATGTGTTTGCTGACATCAAGTCGGAATACCAGAGCTTGTTGTTTCAGTTCCAAGAGAGGCTGGCAGAGGTAGTGAGAACACTAGGACAAGCCGACGGTGCGCCTGGTTCCGGCCTATCGTTCACGGCGTGGCGAGGCTTCAGAAATGCCAAGCGCGCCGCGGAGGGCCCGTTCCGGTTCGTCGACGGCGAGTTGATCGAACGGTTCTTGGATTTGGACGAGGCAAAGCAAGAGGCGGTGGTTCAAGGTCTTGGACCGACGGTGGAGAGCATGCGCAACCTGCTCGAGGAGCTGAAGCGCATGCATTAAACAAGTATATGCAAATGTAGGATATGTATGGGAAAGAGGAGTTGAGTTTGGCGGGAAACGGCCTAAACAAAGCCCCATTAACGGCCAACAACAGGGAATATCACGGGCTTGAATGTTCAATCACCACCAAACCTGGCCAAGGTTTTTAAAAACGGAGGGGAATGATTCAATTGGGTCCCCAGGACCACCGTGCACTGATCAGTGGTGGAACTCGTACAAGCTGGGAAAACCAAATTTTACCTCGATGTGTGCCTTTTGCTAATGGGGGGATTGCAATTATCCACAGTAACGCTGTCATCACTCGTGCCACTACGGAAAGGGCCGGGTCCCCAGCTGTCTCGGCCAGCCAATCACCAGCCACCAATTTCAGAAAACACGTGCCTGAGGCCATCAACCAGAAAGCTTTCCCGGCAATCCCAATCCTCAAACCACGGGCATCACGAAAAAAGACGCTCTCCTAACCCTCCAACGTCATCCCTCCCAATTGCATCTCGCAACCCACGCCCGCAAACCCTCTCCCCTCCTCCTCCTCCGGATTTCACGAGATGGCGCCCCTCGCACACGTATCCCGCACCTGCCTGCGGCAGTTGGCGCGAAGCAGTCCGTCCGCGAACACGGCTGCGCGCGCCCTCAGCACCTCGGCCGCCCGGAACGACTCGACCGCCACGAGCTACTCGAGCCCCTTCAAGGGTGCCCAGGCCGGCAACAAGATCCCCGACTTCAGCAAGTACATGAGCAAGACCAACGCCGCCACCAACCAGCTCTTCGGATACTTCATGGTCGGCACCATGGGCGCCATTACCGCCGCCGGCGCCAAGTCCACCGTCCAGGGTAGGGAAACCCTTCCGTTGCCCCGAAAGCAATCAAAAGCCGACACCGGAGACGAGCATGACGGAATTGTAGAGGGCGGAGAAGGAAATACTTGAATTATAGGCTGACGGACGGTGCCAATTGCAGAGTTCCTTGTCAACATGTCCGCCTCCGCCGACGTTTTGGCCATGGCCAAGGTCGAGGTTGACCTGTCCACCATCCCCGAGGGCAAGAACGTGAGTGGCCTGAAGACATGATTTCCAGCGTAATGAATTCGAATCCAGGGGATGGTTATGCTGACATGCGGGGTGGGGGACGAACAACAGGTTATCATCAAGTGGAGAGGCAAGCCCGTCTTCATCCGCCACCGCACCCAGGCCGAGATCGAGGAGGCCAACAAGGTCTCCATTTCCGCCCTCCGTGACCCCCAGGCCGACGAGGACCGCGTCAAGGACCCCGAGTGGCTCATCATGTTGGGTATGTTTTTTCTTTTCTTTTCGGCTACACTCGTCAAAAAGTTTCGCGATTGGGCTCCGGTTTGCCGAGGAGCGGGTTGACGCTAGAGCCAATCAGCCACGTCCGCTCAACCGGTTTGCTACTAGGGACTGTCGGTGTCCGTTGCAAGGACGGGCTTTGCTGACTCGATGTTGATTATAGGCGTCTGCACGCACTTGGGTTGTGTCCCCATCGGCGAGGCCGGTGACTTTGGCGGTTGGTTCTGCCCCTGCCACGGATCGCACTACGACATTTCCGGCCGTATCAGAAAAGGACCGGCTCCTCTCAACCTCGAGATCCCCGAATACGACTTCCCCGAGGAGGGCAAGCTGGTCATCGGTTAAGCAGCACCACTGTAAGAGTATAAGACGGAACGTGGGGAGAAGGCAAGGAGCACGGAGAGCAGGCCCAGGCTCCTCCTCGGAGGGGACGCGGACGCTGATGGCAACAACAACAACAAACTACTAGACCAACTTTTCTTTTGCATCGGAGACGAGGTGGTGCTGGTTTGGGCCAACCCCCAGAGAGACGAAGAGGTCGTTTTCTTTTTTTTTGTTCTTAGACGTGTCCCTCCGGGCAATGATGCCAATGTACAAAAGTCACACGAGCGTCCAGGAGCAATGAGCAGCCTCGCACCTTCCTAACAGCCACGGCTGACATCGGTTTGAGGCGTTTGTGTGTGTGTGTGTGTGTGTGGCCGGTGATTGACTAACTAACGGCAGGAAAGCATGGACAAGCCCGACTACCTGTCATTGGACCGGGACGAGTATGCTACGAGGTGTTCCGAGGACGGAATAATACCGGACGGTGGCGGTCGAAACTCATGTGAGGGCCTCGGTACCAAAGTTGGTGTGTATATATATACTCCTTAAGCACCTACCTATCAGCAGCAGCAGCATCCAAGCGTCACAAAAGGTGCCCTCGGGATGGGCTCATGGGGGATTCCGGGTCGGCTTCGGTGGGGGTGGGTAAGAATCCTCCCGACGACGTCTGAGACGGTACGGTACTTGACCGAGGCGACCGTGTCGATCAGACGGGCCCCGCGCTCTCGTGCGACGGCATGTTGACAGATAACGGGAAGGTTGACAGATGACGGGTCGTGTGGCAAAGACGGCGCTTGCGTGATGCCGTCTCGATGGGATCACATTACGCCGGCTAGTGACTTGTCGGTGTCTGGGACGGAAGTTTTTTCTTGGGGGGGGGGTTGGCGGCACAGGGGTTGGCGGGAGGCATGAAGGTATGTCATGCAGCCGCGTGCCCGTCACTTGAGGATGGGATGACGGGAGAGTGTTTGGCTGGGGAGATGGGGTCACGGTCATGGAGAAGATGGATGACACTTAGCGGAGATGCGGTCCGGCGTAACGACCCAGGCGATGGATTGTTGGAGGAGGATGAGGAGGAGGAGGAGGACTAGTAGATAAGGTGTTTGAAGAGGTCTGGGCGTCGCAAGAGATGTCCAGCACACCCCATGGACGAAAACAGAATGTTTTTTTATCTTTATCTTTTATTTGTTTGCTATTCTGAGGCGCGTTCTGCAAGTCATGTGGAAGCACAGCTCTCTCCCTGCTCTCTAGCCGCCAACTGTCACATACGACATTCAAGGTTTGAGTTTTTGGCCCGAGAGAGCCTGATTGCAAAAAGCTTCTGGGTCTGGATGTCCAAGGTGACATTGATGTCAGGCTGTGTGTTGGGTTCGTACCTCGGGCTCAAGGGGAAAGCAGATCGTGACGAATGATGAGATGACAACCCTGGGCAAGACATGCCAACGCCGCTATAAGAAAGCGGTCGCTATTATAGGATGCGGACATATTCTGCCACACGGAACGTGGGAACAAGCAAACGATTGGACAAACCCAAGGTCGCTCACAAGACCGATATGGATATCAATACCGTATATCTATTGCAGCACTGCCGACAAGTCCAATGCCACGCGGTTTGAGGACGAGCAGGGATCCGGTTCTCTGGAGACCCCGGCAACGGCCCCCTACAACACGCGATCCGAACGAAACCAAGGGAACCAATCACGAGGCTCCGAGGGGCGGCTCGCTTACTGGAAACGCTCTTCCGCGACGGGTGCCGTCTGATTTGCACGATCCTCAAACTCTGCTCAACTCCAGCCTGCCATGGATGTACAGCTATGTCGCTTCGGACAAGGGCCGGAGGGACCACACCTTGATTGAGGATCCCGGAAAAGGACCAGCTCGTTTTTCGGGTTAGTTGTTGTGCCACTCTGCAAGGTGTATCCGTATCCGTCCCTGCTGGCGGTATGACGGCTGAACGATCCGGGGAAACATTTCCACTTGCATCGTCAAGTCGTGGGCCAAGCGAGGCGGGCGCTGACTCGAGTCGCGGAGCCGATCCCGATGTGCTAGATGGGATGACTTTAAACCTCCATCTTGTCGATATCGACTCGATGCTGTCGACTCCAGCGGGCGAGCTTGGCCGCCTCCTCCCGGCGGCATCACAACAGAATCTACTCACCAATTGCCAAACCCGCCCTCCGTCGCTCGTGCCTCCACTGGATCCGTCTCAAGTGATTGATCGAGCTCCGGTTATTCTGCTCCGATTATTCTTGTCTGTCCTCCACCTTACCTCATCTTTCCTACACACACACCTCCTCCTCTCCTGCCATCGTGCTGGCATACTGATATTCTTTTCAGATCGGAAACGGTGCGCGCAGCCTATCACAAATCGTCAACCTTGCGCAGCCCCTCCCCAGGGGGGGACTGGATGAACTCTTTCCTCGCACACGAGCACCTGCATGCATGCCTCCTTTTCTCCCTGCCATGCGGACGTCATGCGAATGCCCGCTTCCGGAGGACAGTCAAGCCGAGGAGAGGAGTGCCTCACCAGTTGGCCCACCACTGGGTGTTGCGTGGCTGCCAAGGTGCATCACCGGACGGTAGAAACGCCAACGTCTTGCCGATCGACGCGCTGGCCTTCCCAAGCGGGTTGCCCAGGGGCCGCCGTCACCTTCGCGGCTGTGAGACGCGGAGGAGGCCCAGAGAGAGACGGGAGCGAGGCTCTTGACAGCCCGCCACCTGCCCCTTTGGTGCCGGACGTTCACGACCCGCTGCAGTCGATGCCGTATATAAGTTCCCCCGTCTTCTGCGATTCAATGATGGGACGAAGTTTTGTATCTTCATCAAGCCCTTCCTTCAACAGTCTTCTCTTTCGTTCAGTTCCGGTAACTTCATTCTTTCGTGTGTACTTTATACCCTTCATTCTTTTCTCGTGATCCTTTTCTACAAGGCCGGTCCTTTACTTATTCACCAACAACACTCGTTCTAGTGTATTATTCGAACCCCTCCCCCCCCCAAGCCCTTCCGCTATGAAGTTCCAGGTCTCCACCGCCGCGTTCGCGGCCCTCCTCACGCTCGCAGCCGCCGAGGTGCCGCAGGAGCACTCTCACGAGAAGTTCTTGAGCGCCGTCAACGACCTCCTGAAGCAGGACAACCCCAACAACATCCAGGACGCCGTCTTCGGCCTGCTGGGCAACGCCGCCGCCGCCGACGGCGCCGGCGACATCAAGAACCTCGACTGCCTGCACCAGGCGACGGCCGACTCGGCCTTCTCCACCGCCAAGGCCGCCGGCGACGTCGACGGCATGGCCAGCGCCCTCGTCTACGCCGCCCTCGAGCGCAACACGGCCAAGGTCGGCCTCGAGAGCGTGCTCTGCACCGACGAGGCCGAGAACCCCGAGATCGCCGCCCTGAGCCAGCACCAGGACCCGGCCTCGGACGGCGCCGCCGAGACGAACAAGGCCATCACCCTCGAGCTGGCCAAGCAGCTCGCCTCCATCGGCGCCGACCCCCAGCTCGCGCTCCAGTCGGGCACCTTCGAGCCCGGTGATGTAAGTTGTTCCCTCTTCCTTTCCCCCTTCCGAGACACCCTATGGAGAAGGTGTAGTCAAGCAGAAATCAGACTGACGAAAACCTCTAAAAAAATAGGTCAACGACAACACCGGAGCAGGAAACACGTGCGACGACGCCGACGACGCCGAGGGCTGCATCTTCAGCCAGAACCTGCTCGTCGAGGACGCCACCGCCGACGAGATCGACGCCGCCGCGGCCGAGGTCTCCGGAAACGCCGGCAACGCCGCCAACTCGACGAAGGCCGCCAAGGGATCCCGTTCCAGAGGCCGCCGCGCCACGACTACCCTCCCCATGGGCCGCCGTCAGAACAACAACAACAAGAACAGCCAGAACCAGAACCAGAACCAGAACAACAACGCCGGTGCTGCCACCGGAACCAATGTCCAGACCTTCACCGGCGCCCTCGGCGGCCCCGCCCCGCCCGTCAACTCCTCCCCCGCCGCCACCGACAAGCCCTTCGAGGTCAAGGGCTCGACGTTCGTCAACAAGGGCGCCGCCCTGCAGCGCTCGTGCGCCGTGCAGAACAACGCCTGCTCCGACGCCGCCAACTCGGGCGCCGAGGACATCACCGTCGCCGACTGCAACGCCCAGGAGGACGAGTGCCTCGCCGCGGCGTCCCTCAAGAAGCTCCGCCGCCGCTCCTTCTCCTCCTCCTCCGGCGGCCACCGCATGCGCATCGCCGCCCGCCAGGCGCTCGACTTTGGCAGCTGCCAGGACCCCAGCATCGAGTTCGCCGCCGGCCTCGACGGCCGCAAGGAGGAGTCGTTCGCCCCCGCCGGCGACTTCGAGCACGGCTCCGCCCTCAACATCAACGTCATCAGCGGCTTCATCTGCGGCCAGCTCCAGTCGCGCTGCAAGGCCGACGCCGCCGCCGTCGACGCCTGCGACCAGGGCCAGGCCGCCGCGCAGGGCCAGAAGGGCCAGGCTGCCGCCGACGCCTTCAACTCGGCCCTCGGCCTCTGAGCGCTTTGCGGTGTGGTCTGGCGATGTTGCGTGTTCGACGTGTCTTGTAGTTTTCTCTTTTCGGTCGGTTTCGTGACGACGTCAAAAAGAAGACCGGAGTTGCAGCATCGAGCGAAAGTGCCCGGTTCTTTTCGATAGTTCATGAATGATGAAGAAAATAACTTCCTTCTTGGCCTTTTAAACATCTGGGTTTCACTTGATGCCATGCGTGAAACGTCTGAAAGCCAAGCCCGATTTCTGGGTTCACGGTTTATCCGGTATAAGTCCAGCATGATGGATGAGGCAACTCGAGTTAAGCCTCGACTCAACGAAGGATGAATGAGCTATGCAAAGCAAAAGCACCTTCGTAGTCGGCAGAGGTGAGTCGAGATTTTCCGCATGGGCTGCTCATGAATGGGGCGGACAATGTTAATAAAAAGCCGATAATTTAAAATAAAATAAAAAAATCATTTTACCTTAAACTGTGGGATCTTCATGCACTGTTTTTTCCTGCATCTCCAGCTCCAAATCTCACTCCACATTCCCAAAACGTCTGAATTTTCTCGCCAATCACTCATTCATTCACTCATTCACTCACTTACTCAACTCACTCTTCTCACTGGCGCAACCTCGAAAAAACAAAAAAACTTGGTCACTCACTATTTTCCCACTCGCATAGCCCGTAAACTCGGTTCCTGGACGAGTAAAACCACCTCATTTTCACCATGGCCGAGTACAAGCACGCCGCCATCGGCGAGCGGGATTTCAGAATCCTCTCTCTCGCGCCAGGGAAGCCCGACGAGCCCCTCCGAGGCGACCTGCTTGTGCGCCCGATCGATGCCTACCTCAACGAGGCCGGAAAGCACGAGGGAGAGCTCCCCGCGTCGGCGGACTCGTACGAGGCCGTCTCCTACGTGTGGGGTTCCGAGGACAAGCCCCGGCGCATCGTCATCTCGCCCGCCGGCGCCGAGATGGCCATGACGGAGAACCTCTACCACTGCCTCAGGCGCATCCGCCTCGAGGACCGCCCGCGTCTCGTCTGGGCCGACGCCCTGTGCATCAACCAGGCCGACGGCGGGGAGAAGGAGTCGCAGATCATGCTGATGCACGACATCTACGTCGGCGCCCGCCGCGTGCTGGCCTACCTCGGCGAAGAGGCCGACGGCAGCGGCGAGGCCGTCGAGCTGATCGAGAGGTACTGGCGCGTCAGCCTCCCGAACCCCCTCAACGCGGGCGCCCGCGCCTTCGTCGAGGGCCTGCTCTCCGAGCCGGTGCCGGAGGCGCCCGCGGGCGGCGAGGCGGAGCTGCCCCCGCAGGGCGACGACAAGTGGACGGCCGTGTCGCGGTTCTGGAACCGGCCGTGGTTCCGCCGGGCCTGGGTCGTGCAGGAGTTCATCCTGGCGCGGGACGTGTTGATGATCTGCGGCGACAAGACCGTGAGCTGGTCGCAGCTGTGGCCCGCCACCGTCGCCCTGGAGGAGCCCGAGAGCCCGCCCTGGCCGCTGGTCAACGCCGCCGGCGAGGAGGTCAAGGGCGCCGCCGACCTGATGGCCAACATGGCGCAGCGGCTGCGGTTCTACCAACTCGGCTCCATGAGGGGCAACTCGGACGGGCACGGGCACGGCGACGACGAAGACGACGGGCATGAACACGGGGGTGGATGCTGCGGAGGCCGCGGCGGCCACGAGCACGACGAGCACGACGAGGGCGAGAAGGCAGAGCAGGGCGAGGACGATGAATGGGAATCGGAGGACGGCGAGGAGTCGGACCGCTCGACAGACCTCCTCAGCCTGCTCCTGTCGTTCCGCGAGGTCGAGGCGACCGACCCGCGGGACCTCTACTTTGCGCTCCTCGGCCTCGCCTCCGACGGCGACAGGGAAGAGTTCCGCCCCGACTACTCGGCCACGTTCGAGCAGACGGCCCTCCGCTTCGCCCGCACCCTCCTCCACGAGCCCTTCAGCGAGGAGCTGCTCGACCACGCTGGCGTCGCCGAGAGCCTCAACGGCGAGGGCTTCCCCTCCTGGATCCCCGACTTCCGCAGGCCCTGGCGGCGCATGACGGTCGCCGACGCCGCCGAATCCGAGGCCGCCGGCGAGACGGACTTTGACTTCGGCTTCGACCCCAACGAGGCCGAGGACGTGCTCCTCCTCAAGGGCGTCAAGGTGGACACCATCACCCACGTCACGGCCGTCCCGCGGCCGGCGCACCTGCACGCAGAGCAGCCGTCGCTCTGGGTGAAGCGGGACATGGTGACGCTCTCGAAGCTGCTCGCCGGCATGCCCGGGTTCGAGGAGGCGGCGTACGCGGCGACGGGGGGAGAGGAGTCCGGGCTCGAGGCGGTCCTCCGGGCGCTGACGTTCTTCCGCACCGAGGCGGACGAGGAGGAGCAGGGGGAGGTGCCGACGACGACGCTGAAGCTGGCGTGGCGGTTCTGCACGGCGGTCGAGGACGACGACCTGTCGGCGGCGCGGCCGGAGCGGGAGGCGCTGCGCAGGGAGATGATGCTGTCCGGGTGCACGGCCGAGGAGGCGGGCGAGGCGCTCGAGGCGGCGGCGCAGGTGCTGATCAACCGCGTGTTCCCGATGCGGGCGGCGCTGGACCTGGTGCTGGCCAAGGGGGAGCGGTACGTGGGCATGGTGCCGGACGGGTGCGAGGCCGGCGACGAGGTCTGGGTGGTGAAGGGGTGCAACGCGCCGTTCGTGCTGCGGCGGAGCGCGCAGAGGGAGGGCGAGAGGCGCATCGTGGGCGCCGCGTACGTGCACGGCATCATGAACGGCGAGGCCGTCGGGGAGGACACCGACTTCGAGCCGGTGGCGATTCACTGACGTGGTCTGGGGGGATTGTGTTTTGGACGTCGCGTTGGTTGCGTGCTTCTCTCGGCTCATGATGCTATGACGGAAAAGAAAAAGTTGGGAGAGGGAGGCAAAACCCCCCCTTGACTATAGATGCTTGAAATAGAGGAGAAAAAAGGAAGCAAATAAAAAGGAGCTAGGTACGGAAAGTTCACAATCACCTTACACATGAAAGTGTGCTGTGCACCTTGATGGCCTCCGGCAGCCCCGGACCCGCGAACGCAGGACACGGCCGTGACGGCGCCGGGTGGGTCGGACGGGGTCTGCCGGTTCGCTAGCGGGGCCGACTGATCATGTTTGTGGCTGAGACTGTAGGCGTCATCGATGGTCTCTGGCATCGTCATCCGGAGGAGACACTGCCTCGAGCGGGGGCGGGAGGGCAGGCGAAGCGGTATGGGCTTTTGTCTCTGCTGGGGCGTAACGTTGACTAGAAAACGATTCTGACTTCATTCCGCGGCGCAAAGCTTGCCTTTGGGTACTCACCATCACACGAGACGTCTCGATTGCCTCTTTACGACTCTGAATACACTGTGTTGTCTCGGAACTTTGGACAGGGTCCAGAACCAAGATGCCTTCATCCAAGGGCAAGCCTACTGATCCCGAGCTGAGAGAAGAGCTCAAGGAGGGTAAGAGTACTTTGGAGACAATGTCAGCTGATCGGGGGTGTGCTGAAATGCCACTGCAGAGATCAAACAAGAACCCAACAAGTCCGGCGGCGGACAAGGACAGTGGGCAGCGTGGAAGGTAAGCCGAACTGGTGTGGACGATATCCAATGAATCAACTCCTTGTTCATTCCAACCCCTCGTTGCACTGTGGCGATGAAGGAGAAGAATCGAACTCTTAGCGCTGACGACCATGCAGGGGGCCAAGCTGGCGAAAGAGTACGAGAAGGAGGGCGGCGGTTACGAAAACGAGGCCGGGTCCAAGAACGAGCCGAAGAAGGGCGAGCCCCAGAAGAAGAGCGAGAGCAAGAAGAAGGCCGAGACGGAAGAATAGCCAATTCTGCTAAAGAAATATAACACGAGGAAATGTTGATGCCCCTCGCAAGACCACTCTGGCCGATTGTCGTTGATCCAATGATGACCTGGTAAGAGACGGGGGTCGTGCCGCATTTCCGTCGCCTATTTGATAAACACAAAGATGTAAGATTCGCTTACGGGTCTTCTCATCTCACTTTCAAGCCCCCCCTGAAAACAAAGAAAAAACACTCGACGACAGTCGACCGACAAGCATCAGCGACGGGGCAGGTTTCAGGCGAATAAGAAGTAAAAGGGCAAAAGGAAAATGCAGCACCCCACCATCTCCGACGTCGCCGAGCACGACGCGCAAGACGAGGACGAGGACGAGGACGACTGCTGGACGGCGCTCCAGCGCGCGGCGCTCGCGGGCGACCTCCCAGCGGTGCGCGGCGCCCTCGCCGCGGGCGCGGACGTCAACGCGCCGGCGCGGGGCTACTACGGCCGGACGGCGCTCCAGGCGGCGTGCTCGGCGTCCCGGACGGAGGTGGTGTCGGTGCTCCTGGCGGCCGGGGCGGAGGTGAACGACCGGCCGGGGAACAACGACGCCAAGAACGCGCTGCAGATGGCGTGCGGGAGGGCGGACGGCGGCGGCATCGTGCGGGCGCTGCTGGCGCGGGGCGCGGACGTCAACGTGCCGGCGGCGCGGTACTTTGGGGCGACGGCGCTGCAGAGCGCGTGCGCGGCGGGGGCGGCGGACGTGGCCGATCTGCTGCTGGAGGCCGGGGCGGAGGTGAACGCGGCGCCGGCGGCGACGGGGGGGCGGACGGCGCTGCAGGCGGCGGCGGGGGGCGGGTTCGAGGGCATCGCGAGGGCGGTGATGGAGCGCGGCGGCGACGTCAACGCGGCGGCGTGCCGGGCGCGGGGGCTCACGGCGCTGCAGGCGGCGAGCTACGGCGGGCACGAGGGGCTGGTCGGGATGCTGCTCGAGGCCGGGGCGCACGTGGACGCCGAGGGGAGCCGGTTCAAGGGGGCGAGGGCGCTGCACGCGGCGGCGGAGGGGGGCCACGCGCGGGTGTGCGAGATGCTGCTGGACGCCGGGGCCGAGATTGATGCCGGGGCCGGGGCCGGGGCCGGGGCCTGGGGAGGCCGGCAGACGGCGCTGCAGTGTGCGGCGGCGAGGGGACACCAAGATGTGGCGGGGCTGCTGCGAAGGAGGGGCGCGACGGGAACGGAAGGTGGAGGGACGTTTCTGTTTGATTAGGTGAGGGTTGTGATGCAATACGGTGCAATGCATCATCATCATCATCATCATCATCATCATCATCATCATCATCATCATCATCATCATCATCATCATCATCATCATCATCACCAGATAAGATTACATGGCATGGTTGGTGAAATGTGATATCTCTGGGCCATGTGGCCATTAGGAAACGTAAGGGCCAACTGCGCTGGAACAAGCGGCTCTGAAACCCGGCTTCTTGTTGTTACAGCATACATACAAGTGCATGCAAGTATGTATATACATGGTACACATGTCCCAACGAAAGACAGGAATGCGTACACGTGTGTTGTAAACTCGTAGAGACGTCTGGGATCCATGTGTTCCCTTTTCTCCTCACGAGGTACATAACCAACAGCAACGGCGCACACACCCACCCGAACGCAGCCAAGGTTTCCCGCCGTCGCATTTTCCGTCAGAACATCGGCCAAGTCAGCCGACCACCAGGACACCAGGGCATCCCGTCCACAAGGACACCAGGGCATCCCGTCCACATCATCCTTGGCTGGGTCCCTCTCGTGCCGGTGGTCACGACGACGTTGATTATTAGCGGGCACCTCACGGCACACTATGGATGAACGAATGGGAGGGGAAGCTGAGCTAGACGGACGGACGGACGGACGGCCGCGTCCAGGCGGAGGGGTAGCGGCCCCGCCTATCGTCGGCTTCCACCGGACCCTCCGTGAGCGCCCCTCCCCCGACGAGACTTACCCGTTTCGCCAAGCAAGGGAGAGGGGGAGAGAGAGAGAAGGGGGGAGAGAGAAAGAGAGAGAGGCAGGCAGGAGAGTTGGCAATGAATTACCTAATAAGAAAAAAGGGTTCCCCGAGTTTCCAGGTTCCAGGTTCCCCCCGACTATTTTGAGACGAAAGATACGCACACCGACTGGTACACACTCCCTACGCCCTACGAGTGGAGGCTCAACCTCTCCCCCATCCATACCGGTACCTTTCTTTTGCTTTTCCCTCTCTCGAACTCGTCTGGCGTCCGGCGTTCAGCAACCGCGCTAGACTCTCTCCCCCGTGACGTAAGATAAGCATCGGCTGGCTTGCTTGCTTGCTTGCTTGCATGCTTGCTTGCATGCTTTCCCACTGCTGTCCACGATGTCGCTTGTGACACACACCTATCATGTCTTTGCTCCTGAGTCCATAACTGCAGCTCGAGGCACGCCCATCCCTACCGGAATCCCAGGGTCGACTGGGACCTCCCCCGCCAAAAGCCTCCATCGCCTGGTGGAGCGGCGCTCGCCCGCCCGCACGTTGACACCTACCGAACGGAAACTGAAGCCACACATGATAAGGACCGGCTGGCGCTTTGTTCCCTTTTCCAAATCCAAGCCTTGGGATCGACTTCCTTATTTTTCTTTCCCTCTTCTCTTCTTCCCTTCCTCCCTTCTTCTCCCTCCCCCTCCCTACCCTTCCTCCCGTTTGTTTGTCTGTCTGTCTGTCTGTCTGTCATTGTCCGGGTTGTGATGCGATTGAGAAGGCGAGATAAGCCAGGAATCGACACACTACCGTACTACGAGTCACGCCACACGCCATCGACCACAGACCGTACATCACCCCCACCATGGGCTCGACGCACGAAACGGACCTCGTCCTCGCCCACCCGACGCCGGCCGAGCGCGGCAGGACGTACGCCTCGACGTACGACAGCTGGGGCAGCGCCCTCGAGCTGGAAGACTACGTCCGCCGCGAGGAGTACATGACCACCGTCCCCGTCACCCGCAACGGCGGCATCACCCAGTGGATCCTCACCGACCCGGCCCTCCCGCCCGACGCCCGACCCATCCTCTCCTCGTGCGAGAGCATCCGCAAGCCCGTCCTCGTCGCCCGTCCCGAGGGCGGCCCCGTCGTCGAGGCCGTCACCCACTGCGTCGGCTCCGTCTTCACCGACCCCGCCCACCGCGGCAACGGCTACGCCTCCGTCATGATGGCCATGATGGGCCCCGCCCTCGCCCGCTGGCAGGGCGCCGAGATGGCCAAGGGCGAGCCCTGGCGCGACATCCGCGACGGCGAGGTCGCCTGCTCCGTGCTGTACTCGGACATTGGCAAGACCTTTTACGCCAAGCACGGCTGGCACCCCTACGAGAGCACCCACCTCGACTTCCCGGTGCTGAGCGCGGCCGACGGCGGCGGCGGCGGCGGCGACGACAACGACGACGGGGGAGAAACGAGGGAGACGACGGGCGCGGGCGCGGGCGCGGGCGAGAAGCCGCCTCGGCGCGAGGCCGCGCCGCTGGGGTACCACGAGCTGGCGGAGCTGTGCGCCGTCGACGAGCGGCGGCTCCGCGCCCGGCTGGCCCGCCCGAGCGCCAGCAACAAGACGCGCGTGTCGCTGGTGCCGGACCTCGACGCCATGCTGTGGCACCTCATGCGCGAGGACTACATGACGAAGCACATCTTCGGCAAGACCCCCACCGTGCGCGGCGGCGTCGTCGGCGACCGGCCCGGCGCCCGCGTCTGGGCCGTCTGGACCCGCGGCTACTACGGCGGGCTCAAGCGGCCCGACAAGGGCAACACGATGCACATCCTGCGCCTGGCCGTCGAGCAGGAGGAGGAGGACGGAGACGACGACGCCGCCGCCGCCGCCGCCGCCGGCTCCGGTCCCGGCCCCGGTCCCGACGACGCCTTCGTCCAGGACGCCGTCGAGGCCCTGCTGCGCCTCGCCCGCGCCGAGGCCGCCGAGTGGCGCGTCAACAACGTCGAGCTGTGGAACCCCGACCCGCGCGTCCGCGCCCTCGTCGAGAGGGCCGGCATCTCGCACGAGTTCGTCGAGCGCGAGACGCACAGCATCGCGAGCCTCATGTGGTACGGCGAGGGCGAGGTCGAGTGGGTGCTCAACGAGAAGTTTGGCTGGTGCTGAAATGAAACGAAACTTTATTTTTTTCTTTTCTTTTACGCATACATATATGTATGGATGGATGGATGGATGAGTGTATGGCTTCAAGGAAAGGAAAAAACTGGGACACCCACCCTCGGACTCCGTTCCCGGTCGGTGGCATGACAAGGTATCATTAGCAAAGTGATGATGATCTATGAACCGTCTAAACCTTGAACATTCTCCCCCACTTTGGCTCATTTTTGCTCTTGTGTCTTTTTTTTTCTTCTTTCTTTTTATAGAAATCTTTACACGAATCCTCGCCGCAGCTGCCACTACCTCTCTTCAGTGACCGTGTCCGTCATCCTCCGCTCTCTGCTCGGGATCCAGCTTGATCAGGGTATCGATGCGCATGATGCTGATGCAGGCCTCCACCGCACTCTTGAGCTGTCTGATCTTGCTGATGGTGGGCTCCAGAACACCGGCCTTGATCTCGTCAATCACCTTGCCGCGCACCAGGTCCAGGCCGTAGTTCTTGTACGCCTTCTTGCGCGCCACAGTCTTCTCGTCCTCGTTCGCCTCGCCCTCCTGGATGCGCTGCGAGAGCGCGTGCCGAGAACGCAGCTGGGCGACGAGTTCTGACGCGTCCTTGGCGGCGTTGACGGCCAGGGTCTTGGGGATGACGAGCAGCGACTGCGCGAACTCGCCGATGGCCAGCTGCTCGCGCGAGCCGACGGTGCCGGCGAACTCCTCCAGGTAGATGTGCAGGGCCGTCTCGACGGAACCGCCGCCGGGGACGATGCTGCCGCTCTCAAGCGTTCTCTTGACAGCGTTGAGGGAGTCGTGGATCGACCGCTCCATCTCGTCCAGGGTGAAGTCGTTGGGGCCGCGCAGGATGATGGACGCCGAAGAGTGCGACTTGGTGCCCTTGACCAAGATGCACTCGTCGTCGGAAATACGCTCCTGGACAACCTCCTCGGCGTGTCCGAGGTAGGACGGGTCGAACTTCTCGTCGCCGTTGAGGTCGGACAGTGTGCTGAGCATCGTGGCGCCCGTCGCCTTGGCGATCCTTCGCAGGTCCTCCCTCTTGCACCTGCGCACACCCATGGCGCCCTTCTCCACGAACGTCTTGAGGACCATGTCGTCGATACCCTTGGTGGTGAGGATGACGTTGGCGCCGGCCTTGAGGATCATCTCTACCCTTTCGAGAATCATGCCCGACTCTCTCTGGCGGATCTGCTCCAATTGCTGGGGGTCGTCGACCGTAATCTGCACTCCTAACTTCATGCGCTCCTTCTGAAGGTTCATGTCCAGCACTGCGATCTTGGCATCTTGTATTCTCGTCGGCATGGCCTGCGAGGCGACTGTGCAGTTGAGGGCGTAGCCCTTGATGAGGAGAGACTCGAGCGAGCCCTTGCCGTGGGCCTTGAGGATGTTGACGGCCTTGACAGGGTACTTGGTCTCGTTGCGGTTGTTGGTCGACTTGACGGCCAGCATGGCGTCGACGACCATGTTGGCGAAGAAGTCCGAGTCGGCGCCGATGATCTTGCTGGACATGGAGGTCTTGGCAATGTTGACGAGGGATTCGCGTCCGAGGTTCTCGACCTTGATGCTGATGTTCTCGTTCATGTACTTGACGGCCTCACGGAGGGCGAGTCTGTAGCCCGTGATGATGGTAGTGGGGTGTATGCGGTTTCTCATGAGCTCGTTTCCTCTGCGAAGCAACTCGGCGGCGATCAGGACGACGGACGTGGTGCCGTCACCGACCTCCTTATCTTGTTGTTGCGCCAGGTCGACCAAGATCTTGCCTGCGGGGTGCTCGACGTCCAACAAACTGAGGATAGTAGCGCCGTCGTTCGTGACCGTGACGTCCTATGCCCGAGGGGGGTGAGCGGGGTCCAGGGGAGGGGGGGAAGGGGGTTCACTGGACGTACACCAATATCATCCACCATCATCTTGTCGAGGCCGCTAGGACCGAAGGAGCTCTTGACGACATTTGCAATCGCTTGGGTCGCGAGAACTGCGGGTTGGTCAGCGAGATGAAGCTGTCATGGGTGGTGCAATGCATCGCATCGGCGGTGGCAGGAGAAGCATACCGTTCTGGTCTCTGATGTCGGCGCCGGAAATCTTCTGGCCGCCGAGGAAAAGCGTGCCGCTCCCTGATTGCTCAAACATGGAAGCCATTTTTGCGCCTCACTGCCAGCGGTTGTGGTATAATCGCGGTATGGGGAGGTGGTGGATTTCGGGGGGGTGTGGTTTGGAGAGCTTCGACGGTGTGTGTGTGCCTGGACAGCAATAGAAGCTTCTGTGCTGTGCCTGCCTCATCCTCTCTCTCTCTCCGCCCCCCCCCCCCTCGCAACTTTTTTTTATCGGAGCCGGGGTTGTTCCAGGAACCGGGGATGTGGCTGATGCTGGTTATCTTATCAGTGGATGCGTGTACGTACTGGTACCTTATTGCGCAGGCTGCAGAAGGCAAGCTGCTGCAACCCCCCCTCCTCCCAGGTCAGAGGTGTGTGTGTGTGTACCTGTATGTGGGTGTGTGGCTGAAGCAGAGATAAGCAGTTCCGGCGCCCCACCCTACGGACCGCGTGGCTGAAGCCCAATTGACCCCTCACTGCTGCCCACCCAACAGCTGTACGACAGACACCAAACACACGACTCACATTTCCAGTGCGGGGCACTTTTTTCCGCTGGATCGCACCGCCCTTCTCTGCCCAAATTCTCAAAGTGACTCAGGCCGACCTGGTCACCACGCCGCCAGCTCTATAAGTCGAGACTCCGAGACCCCGAGACCCCTTTGCCGAGACGACTCTGCGAATTGCAGTTCAGTACCGCAAACATGGCCGACGCCTCCGCCCCCGCTGCCGCTGCCGCTCCCGAGCAGTCCAAGAGCGCCTTGAAGAAGGCCGAGAAGCAGGCCAAGATGGCTGCCGAAAAGGCTGCAAAGGCCGCCAAGCAAGCTGCCCTCCCTGTCGTCGGCGGCAAGAAGACGGATGACATCCTGGGAATTACCGTCAAGAAGAGCGAGGACTTTTCTGCCTGGTACCAGGAGGTTGTCCTCAAGGCCGAGATGGTTGAGTACTACAACGAGATTTCCGGCTTCTTCATTCTGCGCCCGGCCTCGATGTACATCTGGACCGTCATCCGCAAGTGGTTCTCGGAGAGAATCGAGGAAATGGGTGTCGACGAGACCAGCTTCCCCATGTTCCTGTCCTCCAAGTCGCTCGAGAAGGAGAAGGACCACGTCGAGGGCTTCGCCCCTGAGCTTGCTTGGGTCACCAAGGCGTAAGTCTCAACCCGTTGGCAATCGATTGCCCCCCCTCCCCCCTCTCGACATGCACTGATGGTCCTCCCTCCCACAGCGGTGACAAGGACCTCGAAGTCCCCGTCGCGGTCCGCCCCACATCCGAGGCCGTCATGTACCCTTACTACTCCAAGTGGATTCGCAGCCATCGCGACCTGCCCTTCCGCCTGAACCAGTGGAACTCGGTCGTCCGCTGGGAGGCCAAGCAGACCACCCCTTTCCTCCGTACAAGAGAGTTCCTGTGGCAGGAGGGCCACACGGCCCATCTCACCGAGGAGCTTGCCGGCAAGGAGGTGCTCGAGATTCTCGAGCTCTACGCCGGCGTCTACGAGCAGCTGCTCGCCGTCCCCGTCGTCCGCGGTACCAAGACGGAGAACGAGAAGTTTGCCGGTGGCTACTACACCACCACCGTCGAGGGCTATATCCCTTCCAACGGCCGCGGCATCCAGGGTGCCACCTCTCACTGCCTGGGCCAGAACTTCTCCAAGATGTTCGACATCACGGTCGAGGACCCCGACAAGAAGGGTGAGAAGATCCACGTCTGGCAGAACTCTTGGGGTCTGTCGACCCGTGTCATTGGTGTCATGGTCATGATCCACGGTGACGACAAGGGTCTGGTCCTCCCTCCGCGTATCGCCAAGGTCCAGGTTGTCCTCATCGCCGTCGGTATCACGGCCAAGACGACGGCCGAGGACAGGAAGAAGCTGGAGGACAAGGTCGACGACCTCCGCAACGAGCTGCGCAAGGCCGGCGTCCGTGCCGAGTCGGATCTGAGAGACGGCTACACGCCGGCGTGGAAGTTCAACGAGTGGGAGCTTCGTGGTGTCCCCCTCAGACTCGAGTTCGGCCCCAAGGATGCGGCCAAGGAGGTTGTTGCCTTTGCCCGTCGCGACACGGGCGAGAAGGGCTCCATCGCGCTCGCCGAGCTCTCCACCAAGGTCCCCGAGCTGCTCGAGACGGTCCAGTCCGACATGTACAGCAAGGCCGAGAAGTCGTTCCGCGAGCACCGGCTCGTGCTGACGGAGTGGGACAAGGTCATCCCGGCCCTCGACACCAAGAACGTTGTCCTCATCCCCTTCTGCCTGGGCGGCAAGTGCGAGGACCGCATCAAGGAGCTCACGACCAGCGAGCCCCCCGAGAACGCGAGCCTCCCCGAGGGCAAGAAGCAGCCCAGCATGGGCATGAAGTCTCTCTGCATTCCCTTTGAGCAGCCCGAGGGCATCGTCGCCGGCGAGACCAAGTGCCTCAACCCCGAGTGCGAGGCCAAGGCCCAGAAGTGGGTCATGTTCGGCCGCAGCTACTAGAGAAGCACGATGGAATTGAGAGGAGTTGCGGGTTCAGCATTTTCTGGGACGGTGTCGGATAAACGAGAGAGGCACGGCGGGTTTGATTCGGGCCATGTGTTGTAGAAAGCCACGGCCAAAAAGTGATTCGCGATACCAACTTACCTATGGTTCAAACCCACGTATTACGTGTTCCTAAGTGTATCTGTATGTCTTATCCTGGCACTTTGCATCTTGTATCTCCATCCCGAAGACGGCATCATCAGCCGGGCCTGACGCCAAGTCCAGGACAGCGACGCGCACACCCCCTGTCACTCGAACCGCTGTGGGGAATGATGATGATGGCTCATTCAATGGTCATCGCCTATGCTGCCCGAAGAGGAAGGCCTCGGCCCCCGCCGGTGTGACTCACATCCCTCTCCGTTTTCCTCTCGCGAAAGGTAATACTGCGGTAATTCAAAAGCACAGATCCATGATCCTCCGTCCAGTCCTACTCTACGACGGTGCCGGAGCCGATAGATGGTACCAAACGGGATCCACCTTCTGACTCACTGTTGTTTGGTGTCCCGATACGGCGTCAGCGGACGGATGAGCGAACGGATAACATCCAGGCGACGACTTTTCCGGCTGGTTTTTTTTTCCTTCTTTTTTTTCTTTTTTTTTTTCGGTCCAACGCGCCGCCGATCTGCCAATGGAGGGCGGGGCGCAATATCACTTCGGGTTGAGGGGTTTCGGTCGTCGACGCAACGTGATTTCGAGTTTTGTTCCCTGTCATCTACATGCGTGTCCATGTCAGCTTACACCGCGTGACAGAAGTATATAACGTCTGCATTTCCGGTTTCAAATAAAAAAAGTGTTCCTTGAAAGCCAGTCCTAAGCAATCAGGCTCACCTAGACCAAAAGGTTTATACAACAAAGATTTAAAAAATAAAAACAAAAACCTTTGCCTTTTCAACGCTGCCCACGACAGCCACTGCAACCACCGACACAAACACCAACCCTACCGCCACCATGGAGCAATCAAACAGCTCCCACTTCAAGCTCTCGGCCACGTCCTGCGGCGCCTGCGCCGTCCACTTCGACAACTCCGAGACCCGACGCGCCCACTCCAAGAGCCAATGGCACGTCGCGAACCTCAGGCGCCGCGTCGCCGGACTGGGACCCCTGACTGCCGAGCAGCACGCGGCTCTCTCCGGAACCACCGCCGCGCCGACCGACGGGCCCAAACCCGAGTCTGACGCCGCCGACGACGACTCGTCGTCTTCCCTTTCCGACGCCGATCTTAGCGACGATGGACCTTATGACGAGGACGAGGACGAGGACGAGGACGACGACAACGACGCCGCCGCCGCCTTCGCTCCCGAAGTCTGCCTATTCTGCAACGCACATGCAGGGTCGTTTGACGACAACCTCGTGCACATGGGCAAGACGCACGGCATGTTCGTCCCCAGCCGGGAGAAGCTGATCGTCGACCTCGAGACCCTCGTCCGGTACCTCCACCTCGTCGTCTTCGGGTACCAGGAGTGCCTCCAGTGCGGCACGCAGCGCCGGACCGCCGCCGCCGTGCAGCAGCACATGCTGGACAAGGGCCACTGCAAGTTCGACATCACGGCCCAAGACTCCGAGTTCAGGGACTTTTACGAGGACGCGACGGGAGCCGGTGACGGCGGCGGCGCCGCAGCGCGAGAGGGCGGCGACGACGAGGCGAAGAAGGCCATCGCCGACGCCGTCGAGGGGGCCGGCGGCGCCGTCCGTCTCCCGTCGGGCAAAACGCTCGCCCACCGCTCCGCCCCGGCGCCGTCCCGACATAGAACCAAACTCGGCCCCAGCGGCGGCGGCTCTCGTCCCGACAAACTCCTACCGGAAGGGGGCCCGCGCGCGGACGAGGCCGACGCAAGTTTCCGCCTCACGGCGCCGTCTGCTCCTGGAACGCAGCGGCACGCGGGCGCCGAGCTGGCCCTCACGCGCGCGGAGAGGCGCGGCGCCGTCTTCGAGACCCAGCTCGCGCGCCTGGGCGCCAACGACCGCGCCGCCCTGGCCCACCTCCCGCCCGCGGAGCAGCGGAGCGTGCTGCTCACGCAGAAGAGGCAGCTGGACAGGGCCGACAAGGCGGCGCGGAGGCTGCAGACGCGGCTGGAGATGAAGGCGAACAAGACGGCGCAGGGGCACTTCGTCAACGACGTGCCCGGGCGGTCCAACGGTTGACCTACGAGTTTCTTCGGCTCGGCGTTTTGTACACTTTTGTGGGCTGGCCATGTTATGTACACCTGAGCAGATTCACGAATACTGGAGGAATCCATCTATCCCACTTTAACTGATGGCAGTAACGTCACCGAGACAAGCGTGTTGCGTGTAACCAAGCAAAGAACTGGCCCGAGAAATGTGTGTGACATGTACTGGTGTATAGACCGAGCACGGCCAAAATGTGTCATGGACTTCATTATCTACAAGATATCATGAGGGAATCGCTTCGTACAACTGGACTGGCCGTGCCAGGCTTTTAACTGTGACGGGATTTCCATCACCTAATGAACAACAGCAGCCATCTTCAGATGCAGCCCACCGGGCGATGTCAGTTGTCACCACGGCCGGGGCTTAGGATGCTGATCTGCTTGTCCGTAAACGGCGGGAACGGGTTCGGCAAGCTGATGCCGGCCGGCTCGGGCTCCTGCGGCACCGTGATGTCTTCATCCTCCATGAACTGCTTGCAGCCCCACGTGAGGACGCCGTCGCGCATCTGTCCGCCGCCGCCGCACGCGCTTTGTGCTGTGATTCGTGTTAGTAACCTGTACATGCTCGCAACCCGCGAAATGGGCGGGTGAAGAGACCCACGTCCGATCGGGCCGCTCATGCCTGGTTTCCCGTAGGCCACTATACGGGTAGGCGGGGGGTCTTTTCGGGCCTCTTCGGTCACATCCGGGTCCAGATAATACTGCGTATGGGGGAAAAAATCCTTTTTGTCAACCATGCTGCGCTCATATTTGAGATGCGTGGGGGGAACACTGCTCTCTGACGACGAGACTAACCTGGTGGACGGCAAAGACGCCGGCGCAGCTGGCCTTGGCCCGGTGTTGTTGGTCGACGGGCAGATCCGTGTCCTGCTGCAGGGCGGTCTGGCAGCGCTCGAGCGCGAGGACGACGTCCGGGTTGAGGCCCGTGCCGGCGTAGGTGTACAGGAACGAGCCGCCCTCGACGTCGGAGGTGAGGTAGATGTCCTTGCCGACGGCCATGGCCGCCATCAGGCCCGGCTGCCGCCGCGAGCGGATGCCGTCGCCCTGGAACTTGGTCCTCATCTCCTCAAAGGCCAGCTTGGCGAGCCCGTACAGCTGCCCGTCGTTGAAGAGCTCGCTCGCGTCCTGCTCGAAGGTGAGCTTTTTCGAGTAGCAGACGAGGTTCGCATCGTCGAGGACGGCCTCGTCGAGGGCGAGGCCGAGCGACTGGGCTGCGGCGCCGAGCACGAGGGTGAGCAGGACAAAGAGGCTAGCGAAGCTGGCCCTCCAGCTGCTGAAGGTCATGAACCCCATTTTTGACAAATGGTTGTGAGGCACAGCTGGAATCCCTTCACAGTAAGATTCAACGAGTGGCTCAGGAAGGGATGGATATCACAATGAATGAGTGGAAATGGAAAACGAATGGACGGAAGACAAAGCAACCACGGATAGAGATGAGAACTTGCAATGACTATGACATCCCGGACGGCAGACGGCTCTCAAGATGAGAACCGCAAGTAGAAGTGGCCCCCGTGAATACTTATTGTATCTGCAAGATCAGCGGCATGTCTGTACTATATCTCCGGTGAGTGGTCTAATGCATCTTATTCTGCGGACCCTTGTAAGAGTTGGCTGGTGCTGTGGGCTTGCTGGACTTTGATCGCGGCCATAAGCCTAAATCGGTCCATTGACACAATAAGCAGAGGTCGCAACTCGAGATTTTGCCGGTGATAATCGCGTTGAGAGCGATGATAGGGCGGAATTTGAAATTCAAAAAAGACTTTCCAACTATAATGGACCCATTAACACGGCCCATATGTCATGACTTGTGCTTCTTTTGGATAGCGCGCCAACTTGGATAACGTGAGGGGAAATATTAGTCGGAAACTGAATAAATGCAGCGCTAGGCCGAAAAAGGCCCCTTTTCATCAGCAGAGTTCGCCCATGAGAAACCTTGCCATTTCAACACGTACCTCAATAAGAATGACTTTTCTGCCGCCCAAAAGAGGGGAAATGTCAGATAACTGCCCTACTGCTACCTATTTTGTTATAAGGTCCTCACGAGGTGCCTATAAGCTATCTAACACTTGGATAAAATGATGACTAAGCAAGGGTTAGGGTTACATATTATGAAAGTGTAATCAAATGTGCTTTATTAACTTTTTAAAATTAGGGTTAGGGTTATAGGGATAGTATCTCTTAGGGCGCGATCGGACCTCATTAACCCCGATGTGGGGTAGGAGCAAATCAGACCACAGCAATTAACGCCAAAAGCCAATAGTTTTAAGGTACTTCTACTCCGTATTCATATAGCGTTTTGCCCATGCTAAAGGTACCAGTAATCTCTACCTTTACATAACAGTACATTGTAGTCTAAGCAGCCTTGCAATGTCTCCTAGAAGCTTGCTAGGCTTATATAGGCAAGTGATAGCAAGGTCCTCTAGTAAGACCTCTGTATATATAGTGCTATTAATAAAGGTATCTGAGTTAGAAGATATTATGATTTTAATGGTAATGTTAGTGATAATGTTGAAGTTAGTGGTAGTTGCTAATAAAACAACATTCTAAAATAATGTATTGTCATGTATCTCCGAAAGTGTGGGGTAAAAGTGGAGGGGATCCACCTCGGGGTTAATGAGGTCCGATTGCGCCCGAAGGGATAGTATATTTTGCCTAGTTAAGGTTTAACCTAATGTGCTTATATAAGCAGTAAGTACTCCTTATTTGAGGTACGGGCTGTTATCCAACTTCGCCGCCGTTGCCGATCAGACCCTTAATCAGTGAGCAAATGCGTTGGTTCGGCACAAGCCGGTCCATCAAATTACAGGACGCTCCCGGCGTTAGATCAGATGGAGGTGCGTTTTGAAGGCGGTCCCTCTTAAGCTTACACAGGTATACGATGATACGCGTTAGATCAGACGACTGTCGACGCCTGCCGGTGCCCTTTGACCTTTTCCCATAGCCTGCTTACAAGAATTCCGAAATTCTTGAAGCAAGTCATCAAGTGAGATAGAGCCTCTTGCTGTTCCTGAGATATAAAATGGAGGACGGTAAAGTCCAAGATTCCCTACATTAATCCCAAAAGAGAAGTATAACCAGTTGCTCTTGATGATTCTTTGCAAAGAAACACTTCTACTGATTGGTGTTTCACTGTGCTAAAACATCTAGTCCCTGGGTATGTCCTTGAAGTACCGGGGTTGCCGATATTGTTTGAAGCCGGCGGGCCCTTCAGTTCGCGTGGTCGCGCACACGGCCATGCCGAGTCAGCTTCAAAGTTAAACGAAGGACCCGAACAGAAAGCCGGCCACGTTCCAGATTCACCGCATATCATTCCTGGCTCAAAGTATCCAAGATGATGAGGGTAAAAGAGGTCATCGACAAGTCAACGGCCATGCAACCACTCCGCTGATAACTTCGCTGTTTCCGCAACGTCGACACCGATTGTCGTCTCGTTCTTGTCGGCTTCACGAGGCGTGTTTTTCATTCTTTCGTCACTCTTTTACTGGGCAGCCATGAAGGCCTATTGCACCGCCCTAGGGGTCTTTGCCTGTTTTGTTTCTGCCCAGAATCCTAGCACGGCGAAACCTACGGCCATCGAGGCCATCGACCAATGTACACAGAGCGCTTTCGACGCATGTCCTGCCGATGCCACCGCCGCGCACCGCTGCCTGAAGATTGAGAGGCCTTCCGAGTGAGTGTCAACGCCCTGAAAAGGGCCAGTTGGTTAAGTCTGACCGATTTCAACAGTGGAGTGCCCGCGGACCAATGCGTTTCCAGTTGTGCTGCAGACTCCGCGTGTCCTTCGGCGTGCGGCCAAGACGCCGGACATGCATGGTGCGATGCATCGTACGTCGGCCCTCGGAACCAAGCTGTGTTAGTCGTGTTGCTAAAACCAAGAGATAGCGGAGGTTGCTACTGCGATAGGTCCTGGAACTCGGCCCAGGCTGCTCCAGCAGACCCCAAGGACTTGTCGTGGGTGAAGAAGTGGGCGGCCGTCGGTGATTCCTAGTCAGTGTGCTTCCTTTCGATTCTTTCTCATCGATGACCACAAGAGTTAACACGGCCTCCCCGGCTTCCAGCTCCGCCGGCATCGGATCCGGCAAGCTGTACCCCGGTAGTGAGGAGGATTGCTCTCGCTACGACCAGTCCTACCCGGCATACATCCAGTCCCACGAGCTCATGCCGCAGAACCCGCCCGCGGCCTTTGAATTCCTCTCTTGCTCCGGCGCAACCGCTCCCGAAGTGCTCGCCAACCAGGTGGTCGGCATGGGCACCGGATACGACGTCATTACCGTCAGCGCCGGCGGTAACGACGTCGGCCTGACCAAGGTCCTCAACGCCTGCATCTTCCAGTGGAACCCGTTAAGCAGCTGCCCCAGCGCGCTGCGGGTGTCGAGTGCCCTCATACGCGACGTCCTGCCCGGGAATCTGGACCGGCTGTACGCCGGCCTCAGGGACAAGATCAACCCGGAGCGCAAGGTCTATGTGACGGGCTACGCCGCCTTCTTCGACAACTCGACGAGGGAGTGCGACGACGTCAGCTGGGCCTTCTGGTACAACTTGGACGACAAGGAGCACCTCACCCTCGAGCACAGAACGCTCATGAACGAGCTCACCCTGGCCACCAACGCGGCCATCCAGGCCGCCGTGCAGAGGGCGGGAGACGCCTTCGAGTACGTGGGGTACAACGAGTACTTCTCGGCCCTGCAGGGCCGCTTCTGCGAGGCGGGCGTCAAGGAGCCCGATGCGAACCGCAACGGCCTCCTCTTTTTCGAGTGGGAGACCAAATCAGACGACCCGACCCTGCTCGGGAGGCGCGAGATCGCAGCCCCCGAGCTCTCGGGCGCCATCCCGCGCACAGTCGTCGGAGATACAGAGCTGCCCGCGCCGGAAGCCCGCGGAGACCTTCTGAGCGCCGTTGACGTGTTGCAAAAGCGCGCAGGGCAGACCCGGGGCTCTCTGCGGCGAGGAGAAGCCACCGGCGGCGACCCCGGCACCAGAGCGGCGGTGGCCCTGCAGGGCCGGCAGGCCGGCGGCAGCAACAACAGGACGAATGTGTCTTTCGAGAAGTATATCACGGATGCCATCACGGAGGCGCACGCCCAGAACCCGAGCCTCGTCGCTGCCGTGCCTGGCAACAACGCGACGGCCCTCCCGGCGTCCTGGGGCCATGCCAAACTAGCGGTGGGGGGCATCGTCAGCGACAATGTCAAACGGGTGTTCCACCCGCGGCCCGGCGGCCACGCCATCATCGCCAACCTCGTAATCTGGCGGATGACCGAAGGCACTGTCGCGGCGCAGAACAGCCCGACGAACGCGACCGAGACCGCCGGGGGGGCCGTCCCCGTGTCATAGCCGGAGGCCGGCGTGGCGGCCAGATGCCAGGTCGCAGGCGTGGCGTACCTGAGCTGCCTCGGGAGCGCGTCGACATGTTTTTGCTTGCAACGCCCAAATCTACTCTGATTGTAGCGCTTGCGGTAGTGGTGATGCTTGCCGAGGCTAGAAGTCGGCAAGGAGGCATAATGGGACATGAGGTTAGACATAATGATCTTGACGAATGAATCTGCATACGCAATGAAAAGAGACATTTGCTCTTTAACATGTCTTTTCATTACCTTTCGCGAGTGAGCTCGTCGTGCGGACGATGTTGACGAGTTGGTGAGTAAGAAGAGAAGACGGATGCTATGGTGTTGTTTGTGCAACTATCCGCAATCACTCTGAAGTGTAGCCAGTCAACTAACTACCTTACATACTTACCCATATACCCCACCACGGCCGAGATACTCTAGCAGTTTACAGTTAGCGGATAAGGAAACAGAGCCTAGGACCAGGACCTGCCGAGCCTTATGTAGTCGTGTCGATTAATATACGTACGGGGCGCCATCACGAATTCCCCGGTAGATCATGTCATGAGAGCCCTGCCGAGTCTGGTTCGTGCGTGCCGAGCGTCCCCCGAACGTCAATTGCCCCTAGGAAGATGGCGGAATCCGACTCCGTTGATCTTTCTGGTTCATTATATACCTTATACCTTGGTATGGAGCAAATCGACTCTGAAAACTACCGTCATCGCCCATCGGCTTTACCCCAGTCGGCACAAAGTAGCTGACGAGCCGGTCGGCATGAAAAGGGAGAACATCCGAGGCCAAGTGCAGACGGGATCTGTCGAATCGCAATCCAACCTTGCTCCTCAGACCCTTGGTCTTGATGGCAGCATCTTATTGTTTCTCTCCAAGGCCACCGACTTCACGCCCGCTTCGGAAAGCGGCATTCATCGCGACGAGGAAGAAGTACAGGCACGCCAGGGCACCTGGTCAGGAAGCTAAACGCGTCAGTGGTACAGCCGCCATGGCCGTTGGGAGAGGGTTTTCTTCCATAACGGGAGCGATTGCCAGACATGGCTTCGTCGGCATTCCCTTGGCTATTTCTCTAGAGTCTTATTCAACCTAACTTTACTGTACACTGTACGGCGATGAACCTCGGGGACATGGCAAAGCAGGCGACTGGAAGGGTGGCCAAGCTGTGGCAGCCAGGAAGCTGGGCTGTCGAGTGAGATCATCCAAGAACATATATGGCCCTCACCTTGGGCCTCTAGAGTTGACTTCTACGAAGGTCTGGAAGGAAACCTCATTGATCCTCACAAATGCGCGAGGGAAATATTGGTCGATAGGTTAGCGAAAGCAGTGGGCACGGGATCTGTCGAGTTATCCCTTGAGCCAGAAGAAGCAGGTAAGCAAACCCTCGGGTGTCCGAATAACGAAATAACTTTGGTGAAAAAGTCGGAAATGGCTGACACAGTTGCTTGCCTAGCTCTCTTCAGGCTCGTTGCCTACCCTGCGCAGGAGACTCGTGGACATCCCGCAAAGCAGGGACAGGCCTAAGCCATGCGATCTACACGGCAAGATGCACGTTTACGTACCACGACTAATAGTAGCGCAACGGGACCCTCCGCGGTGGAAGCAAGGTCCTGCAGGTGTTCGACGCATGGGTTACGCCATAAACTCGAACCCAACGAGTTGATCGGCGCATGCCGGAGCACGGCCACTTTGACAATGGTATTACCAAGCGTTTGGGAAGCTCTCCATGGGCAGCCGTCTCGGGTTCCCGCAGAGCATGGAATGTCTTAACCTGGCGGGGTGTGATCGCGGTGTATGCATGTAAGAAACAGACGGAACGAGAGGAGAGTCTGGGGTATCACTCTAGTCACTTGCCAGTCCAGTCAGTCAGTCAGTCAGCCCGCCCAACCCCTCGACGAGCCGGGGAAACGCAACCCAACGAGTGAAGAAGGCCAAAAAGCCCAAGGCGGATGGATAAACGAGCTTGGATATGAGAGAAACAAGGAAACAAAAGGCGGACCGGTGCCGGGCCCCGGTCCGGCCATCAAGGTGTCCCACGCCGTTTCGAGCGGGGGCCGAGAACCCGGATGGCTCACCGGCTCAGTCCCCCCCCCCCCCCCCCCAGCTTCCAACCTACGCCAAAAAGTCCTCCTCTCCCCAGCCTCACCGAACCCTGAGCCAGCACGACTTAGAATCTCTTGGCCGTGGAGTCCTGTCTCTGCGACCGAGCCTTGCTCTCGCTACGCCATCGGATTGGCCAACGGACTCGGCGGAACACAGAGGTCATCGCGAGCTTGGCTGAGCTGACCGCGCCTTGGCATCACCAAACTAACACCCGCAGAGTCAAGAGTGTTCTAAGAAGGCAATCGTGACCGACGCGGCGGACTCCACTGGAGGGGATATCAGGACCGGTTTTTCTTCTGCCCCCCCGTCAAAGAAGCTTGCTTACACGCCTACGCGAAGAGGGGAAATCGGAGGGATGAAGGAGGTATCCGACTAGGAGAAGCAGCCAAGAGGGCTGGCTGGCTGGCCGACAAGCGCAGAGACATGAGAAAATTTCCCTCAGCGGCAGCAGAGCGGGACAAGCTATGCCTGATCAACACACACACACACACACATACACGGGCGACTGGGCTCCAGGGTGGAAAGGATTCACCTGCCCGCAGGCACGATCGAAGGACCGAACCCACGCAAGTTCTCTGCAGGGCATGGCTACCAAAGTCTTGGCTCACCGACTCGAAGAGCCCATGGAGCTGCCATTGGAAACCCGGGGAGGCGAGGGCGAGAAGAGAGAGGGAAGAGTGAAAAAGCGTGATTTCGTGCGGCATCTCGCAGCTATAAAAGACTGTTGCTCGCCCTCGCATCAACTGCTAATTCTCAAGCTCAAGCTCAACCCGTCCCGCAGCAGCTCATCCCATCTTTGAGCTTCACTCACTCGGAATCCCCCTCACCCCCTTCTTCAACACCTCAAAGCCGAGATGATGTACGGCGTCGCCACCGCGGCTCTGCTGCTCTCCGCCCTCGCGGACGCCACCCCCCTCGCCCGCCGCCAGGCCTCCGAGGCCGTCCCCGCCTCCGTCCCCCCCGCGGTCGCCGCCCCGACGCCCCAGGCGCCGTACGACTGGTCCGCGGGCTGGCAAAAGACCTTCCCCGTCCACCAGTCGTGCAACTCGACCCTCCGCGCCCAGCTCGAGGCCGCCCTCGCCGAGACCCAGCAGCTCGCGGCCCACGCGCGCGACCACATCCTCCGCTTCGGCAACTCGTCCGAGCACGTCCGCAAGTACTTTGGCGACGCGCCCACCGCCACCCCCGTCGGCTGGTACGACCGCGTCGTCAACGCCGACAAGACCGGCATGACCTTCCGCTGCGACGACCCGGACCGCAACTGCGCCACCCAGGACGGCTGGGCCGGCCACTGGCGCGGCGACAACGCCACCCAGGAGACCGTCATCTGCCCGCTGTCCTTCGAGATCCGCCGCCCGCTCTCCGCCGTCTGCGGCCTCGGCTACACCGTCGCCGGCGCCAAGCTCAACACCTACTGGGCCACCGACCTCCTCCACCGCGTCCTCCACGTCCCCCTCATCTCCGAGGGCGTCGTGGAGCACTACGCCGAGGACTACGCCGAGGCCCTCGCCCTCGCCAAGAACAACGCCACCTACGCCGTCGTCGACAGCGACGCCCTCCAGTACTTCGCCATCGACGTCTGGGCCTACGACATCGCCGCCCCCGGCGTCGGCTGTTCCGGCGAGCTCGAGGAGGACGAGGACGAGGAGGAGGAGAAGCCAACTTCCACGACCGCTGCCGCCGGTTCCGCCGCCACAACACCCGCCGCAACCTCCAGCGCGCCCCAGGAGTGCCACACCCACGCCGACGGTGCCCTGCACTGCGTCTAAGCGGCATCGCCTAGTCTCTTCCTTCTTCCTCTGCTTTTCGACTCCAAGACAAAGCCCTGGGCATGAACGAGAAGGATAAGAGGAAATAGGATTCGAACGTGAAGGAGCGGAGTAAGGGGTTACATGAACCTTGCAATATTCTACTATGCATGCCGGAACGATACCACTGGTTCAATGATTAGACGAATGAGGAAACATTCCAAACGGCTTTTTTTTTTTTTTTTTTTTTTCATGAGAGGATTTCTTAATGCACATAGACCTTAGAACAAACACCCTCATTATTTATAAGTCGAATAATAATAATAATGCCATTGCCTGTCTGAACAATATGCCGCTCAATGTTTCCCATCTTCCTATCTTGAATGTTTGAGGAAGCATACTCTAGACTCCCTCGAGTCTCCTTGCTTTGTCTTACCCCCCCTTCCCACTCCGCTGGCCTGGTTGACTCGTCGTTCAACAACCGTTGGTTAGCCCAACCACTCTCTCTCTACTCCGGAAGCGCCTGTACACTGACTGATGTGTCTGTTATTGTATCATGATCATTAAACCAATCACTAGAAACCTAAAAGGAAGCTCCCCAACGGCACTACGCTATGCAAGTATTTAGTCCACAATCAAACCCTCCAAAACATTCATAGCTTTGCTCCCCTCGCTCTCGAACTTGCTGACCATCGCCTCGCACTCCTGGCGCAACTTCGCCTCTGCCTGGTCTGCGTTGTGATAAATCCACTCCTCGACCGTCATGCGCTTCTCGGGGCTTGTCAGCTCAGAGCCCTTGTGCAGCAGTCTGTCGACAGGGTTCCTCTGGTCGGACTTTTCAGGAGATCCGAAGATGAGGTCAATATCGACCGGGTTCCAAGGCGTTGCGCTCTGGAGGCTAGCCAAAGCCTTCCGTTTACACGGGGAGCTTGGCCGTGCCGGAGTGGATGAAACGAGTGCGTGTGTCACCCGTTTCTGTGAAGTGGAAGAAGGCCTCGACGAAGGAGGCTGGTTCTCGGCATCCGACGATTGAGGAGAAGGCGAAGGTGAGACCGCCGCTTGCCGAGCAGACTGGGCAGGCGAAATGCGAGGCGTCCCATGTTGGTGCTGAAGACTGTGACGAGCCGAAGATGTGACGACGGGTGACGAAGGAGGCGCCGGCGAGCTCTCCTTTGGAGCGCTTCTTGGCGTGGGCTCCGGCTCGGGTTCGGATTCGACCTCTTGCTCCACTTCTGGTTCGCGCTCTTCTTCTTTTTCTTCAAGTTCCTCTTGGACCTCCTCAGGTTCATCTCCCAATTCGTCTCGCTGGTCGGCAGGTGCCGGCGTTTGCCTTGCAGAAGCAAACGACTGACGCACCGAGGTGTCCGCAGACGCTGTTTCATCCTCAGCTTTCGCTTCAGCTTGAACCTCAGCCTCGGGTTCAACAACCTCAACCTCTTTGGCCTTGCCAACATTTTCCAAAGAAGCACGCGAGGCGAGAGATGCCTTCGAGGGGCGACCGCGCTTCTTGCCTGTGCTCGTACGGGCAGGCTTCGTGATAACGGTGGTAGTGCTAAGCTCGTCTTCCTCCATGGCAGCAGCAGCATCCTCCGTTTGGGCCGGCTCAGCGGGCACTTCCGGCTCAACCTCTTCAACGGGGGCCTTCACAGCCTTGGCTTTCTGCGCCTTGGTCTGTTTGGACACCTTGCGGGTTCCCGCGGCCTTACGTCCCTTCTTTGGCACTTCGACCACCTCGGACTCATCAACCGTCATCTCGGCCTCAAGCTGCTTCATTTCTTCATCCACGTCGTCCTCATTCGCGACGTACGGCTCGGCATCGAACATTTCACGGGTTTCCGAAAGCTCAGGGCTGGCGGCAGCACCGGAGCCGGCGCGGCTCTTCTTTGCCTTTGACTTTGGTGCGGGTACCTTGCTCCGTTCAGAGTCGGAATCTTGCATGATGTCCTCGTCGTCGGTCAACGGACGCTCGAGATCGGCCTCTAGCTGCCGGGTGATCTCGTCATCGTCCTCGGGAAAAGCGCCGGGAGCGCCTCGCGAAGACACGACCGAGGCTGTTGATCTCTGTGACGTCCCTGAGGCTTTACGTGTTCCCTTGGTTCCGGACGCGTTGGCAGTTTTCCGGCCTTTGGGCGCCTTCGCCGGCTGCTGTGGTGCATCTGCAATGCTGATATCTTGTTGTGATTGCTCGACCATTGAGTTGTCAGCAGTGGCTTTACCTCGACCGCGGGCCGTGCGCTTCTTTGGAGCGGGTGCCTCAGAGACGGTGAGCGCAGACTCGTCCACCTCGTCACTTGTCCGCTTGCGTCCTCGTGCTGGTTTAGGTGGAGGGGGCACCTCCTCTTGCGGCATCGCTTCGTCTTCAACTACCTCGACAGGCTCGTCCTTCTTGGCCTTGGTCTTCCGGCCCTTGGTGGCTGCCGAGGCCTTCTTGGCGCGAGCACCCTTCTTGCCGCCCATGGTGGACGTTGTCGTCAGAACGCTGTCGTCGTATTCGGCGGGAACATCAGTCATCGACGTGATGTCAGAAGCTGCTGTCGCTACGGACTGCACAGAGAGCCTCGATGCTGTCTTGGAGCCTCTAGCTCCCTTGCCCTTGGGCTTCCGTGTGGCGGCGTATTGATCCACCAGGGCGAAGTACGGGCAGGAGGGTGATCGGTTGAAGTGCTCGTCCCTGTTACGGGTCAGTCATGCCCACCTCGATGGACTGCTTGGGTACGTACATTGGCTTGTCGTTTTGTTCCCAACCGTCCAAGGCAAGCTCGCAATAAGTGCATGTCGTCATGTCGTTGTATTCAATGGAAGGGGTGTACTTCCAGCCTGCCTCGGCGAGCTAAAGACAAGTCAGCAGAGGAAGGCAGGGTCGCGACGGAGCGACTGACCTGCTTGATCTTGTTTTTCCAGCCTCTCTTTCCTTCGTGGGGCCACCGTCCGTCAAAGGTCGCCTTCCTGGCCTCAACCATCCGGGTGCTGGCCGGGTCCTCGGTCGCCAGGTCGTTGATGTTGGCCTCGATGCCTGCAACAATGGCCCAGCCGCAATTGGGAGAGTGCTTAAGATGCTCCTCAAGGGGCCTGTCGCCTTCTTCCCAGCCATCAAGAGATTTGTTGCAGAGGAAGCATGCGACGTTATCGGGGTTATCGGGAAACGGTCGCCAAACGAAGCCTGCTTTCGCGAGCTGGGGATGGGGTCAGTACACGGCTTCTCCTCAATTTTGTTCTGGCTCCAAGACGCACTTCTCCAGGCACGAGATATTTCATGTGCGGCCAAGTCAAGTTCTTGCCGCCCTTGATAGCGCCAGACTGGCGGCGCTTCGGCGCAGGATAGACCTGGTGGAAAGAGCTCAGGCGGCCCTCGTATGTGAAGTATTCGCTCGGGACCAAGCCCTCAAAGGCCAGGTTATCGGTCATGATGGGCTGATCCGTGGTTACGGTGGCTACAAATGTCGAGTTCCGGTCGGAGTGAAGCTGGTCGCGATCGGGAGCGCGAAACGGTGGCGCAAATAGATGTGCACAGGACGAACGAACGAACGCGTCGATCGCAGGGAGCAAATATTAGTCGCAAGTAAGATGCATCGGATCGTAAAAGCTCGAGCAAAGGTCGCGTCGGTACGACGGGGAGTAGAGATGTGTGAAGATATTGTCCAAGGGGAAGAGTAGAATTGGCTAATGGTCGGATGCGGGAATGTTGAAGCAAGTCGGGGTCGGGGTCGGTAAAGGCGAGGGCAAATGGCATTGGCCATCCCGATCGCGTTTGTTTACATTCAAACTTCTTGTTCCCGTTGCTATTAGCTTAGTTGGTGGGTCCAGCGGGGTGTGGCTGAGCAGCCCTCAACGATTTGTGGCTGAGCAAATCGACAACTGTTGCTTATGTAACCCGGACTAAACACATAAACAAACCAGGACCACATACCACCATGAAAATAGTCTGCACGCATTCGTCGTGTTAGGGTAATCGGTAGTGCATAACATCTATCTGTAAAGACATTCTCGGCGCTGTGGGAATACATCTGTGTATGACAGCTGTCATCTCCAAATTCCAATCTTTCCACTCGCTCTTCGTCAACACATCTTCGTCTCAGCACAGCAGAACTGCTTTCTCAAATGGTCCGCGTCATGTCCAACGAAACAAAAGCCCTGGAGGTGTCAGATCACGAGCGGTGATATCCTGCCGCTATCTCTGGCTAGTCTGTCGTCAAATCCCGTTCTCTCGCTAACATACCATTTTCCTTCGGTCCATACAGAAGAGAATGACGGCGGGATAGTTATCCTTCGTTGCTCAAGCTTGTTCTCCATCCCTGGTCTGTACCTAGTAGTCGTGGGGCATCTTGAGGAGCAAGTCAGCAGCAAAGTGAGGGAGGCGTCTGAGTAAAGGAGCCATCCTATTATCGCCCTCCTGACCCATGATGCATGCCATGCTAGATATGCAGTACCTAACGAGTAGCGACCGCAGAGGGTCGTTGTCGAATGTATTATTGTAGACGGTTGGAATGGTGAGGAAAAGGGCAATAAACAGTTCCTTAGTACGAGGGGCGTGTATCAAGGTCAGACGGATCTTGCGAAGGCAGAGATCGTTGAGATCGGCGATTCTCCACCTATCCGCGAGGATGTACAGGTTCGTGTGTGTGCGAAAAACGGTTTCGTAGCCAGTGAGGTGCTGCTGCTGAATATCCTTGAGCCATGCCTCAGTTGCAAAGCTAGACTCGGTGATCGCTCCATCGGAGGCCGTTGTGTTGGGAGAGAAGTGCTGCTGGCAAAATCTGTATTGAGCACTCGACTTTTGTGGACTCTCGTCTTCCTGAGAAATCCCCAACATCCATGTATGCAGAGAAATCGCCTCTACGGCCTCGTCGGTTTTGGTGAGCTCGGGTGTGCTGTAATCCTTGGAGTATGCGTACTCCATCAAGTTGACAAAAGTAGATGTCTCGACGTTGCTCCAAGTCACAGACTTTACAACCACGCCAGGACGACCGGTGCTCACAAGGGAGTGAAGCGCCTGCGATAGGGTGGCGATACTCATGGAATGAACTGTGAACTCGGTTTTCTCAGAGCCGATGATGAACTTGATGCTTCCCGACTTGAGAATACTATGCGATATTAGCAGGCGTCCTGCTCTGAGACCGGTTTCGGATCAGTGGACTTACTCCTCCATGTTGCTCTTTCGTTTGAGAGACATCGCGAGAGTTTGCGAAATCGAGTGAAGCCGAAAAGTGTAGGTGTAGAAAGTTTTCAATCGAGGGTGCGAGTGGTGTATTACCCGAAAGTGGAAGAAGTACAACCAAGAGCAAAAAAAGGAAGGAAGCCTTCAGATTTCGAAGCCTGATTTGAGGCAACCGGAATTTTCAAAGGAAGGGAGGAAGTCAAAGAAAGAGCTAGAAAGCTCGGCTCGGCCGTGAAATCATAACGGCAGCGTGTGGGGAGCCGACGAAGATATCAACTGCATGAACCCTGCCTGGCTGACAGCTGTACTTTGTGCCCTTCCCCGATCCTTGTTCAGCTCCCCGGGCCAGTGTTTCAACCGATTACTGCATAGTAGTTGGCTCGACGGCTTTGAGCGGTGCCCTCTCAGGCTAGAACCAGCCAATCGAGGTCATCAGTGTCGAGATACAGAGCAAAAAGGAAGACCCTAACCGTCCTAGAAAGATGACGGTGGGCAATACGTTTAGGTATATATACTAGACGAATGGCCCCAAAGGTCTTTACCGCGGGGTTACGCCCCGTATCGGTCTCAGTATGTGGCAGATAGTCTGTATGGTGGCTATGGGCGATATGCAAGTTTTGTCCTAGGTGGGCACACGCTACAGGAGATTGACTTACTGACATGATGCGACAGGGCCAAGACGTATGTTGAAAAGTTAACCAGCGAGATGGCTACATCAAAGCATCAAGTAATGGAGCCGGGTTACAAAAGTGGAAGATTGGTTTTCCTGTCTTGTTTCCGGTCAGATGGGGGGCCAAAGCCAGGCCGAGGGAGTGAGTCTCGTGAATACACATGCCTGACTTCTTGAGCAACAGCCAATATTTGGCGGAAATCCTAGGAGAACTTTTCTTAGTTGTATAATTGGTCGTAATTGCAGCTGTACTCCAGGCTGGGGTTGAAGAAACCCAAGAAGCATACCCAAAACCATGATCTGATTGTCATAACATCTACACTTTACGGTCAAGTGTTAACCCCTTTAATGAACCACCCTTGCATGATTTTAAATTTCCAGACACATAATTCCAAGACAAAACGCACAACTGCTGCTTTAGACTCTGATAAAACAAAGCGGCTGCGCAAACATAACAGTCAAAAGCAGGCCCATGACGCTGGAGGCAGTCTTGATGTCCATGGAAGATTCCATCGCAGAACTTCCACTTGTCACAGGATTCACCAGCGCAAAAAGTTCAAAGTCGAAAAGCACTCTGCTCTAAGAAATTGATGCTTAAAAAAAAAAAAAAAAAAAACCGAAGCGACTGATCAATGAGTTCACGAAAAAAAAAGTCGCGGAAGATCAAATTTATGTCCCTTCATACTTAGTTCCTCATATGCTAACTACAGTAGTTAATCTATTTCAATGGCTCTATCCTTCTCTATGTCGAATCGTCTTAGGCGCCGCCTATTTCACGGCGACGGAGGCGCAGCGGACCGGGGTGAACGGGCCGGAAGAGCATGGACAATCGGACAGCTCCATGGTACTAACCGAGTTGGCCAGATCGCCTCCAAATCAGAGCCCAGGCGTGTATGTACGTTTGGCCATAAACTAGATACACTGCTGCATGCGCGGTGGGACTGAATTGTAGTGATGCTCAACGAAGTTGCATTTACACATACGCCCGTCACAAGAACTAAGGCTGCATGGACCTGGGCACAATTTTTAGAATTATTGGGAAGAAGACAAGGCTGATAAGACCACCAAGCGCCTCTGGTCCGTCTCGGAGATCGCCGGGTGTATATCTTAGGATCAGCTTTGTTGTTCTTCGCATATCCATCTAGTCTTCTGCCCTGGGGTGTTCGAGGTTGACAGGAGTGGCTGTCGTTGCCAACACTCCTTTTCAATGTGCCATTAGGACAGAAAACAAAAATTGGACATCTAGAAATCTCTCTGCAGAAAACAGCAGCGGCAGTTAGTGTATGGACTATGGAAGACAGTAGTTTGTGACTAAAAGGCTGCGCTGACAGCTTGTGCGATGGGTGCAGCGGCTGCTTGGGCATAGTAATTCTTCGAGTCTTGGATAAAGTTGCGTGTGCTCATGTATTTAAATCAACTCAACCTTGGCCATATACCCGCTTCCTGACTTCTCGAAACGATTCCCTCTTGAGTCTCTGCTCGATAAACTACAAAAGAGGAGCCTATCATCACGAGAGCAATAGTATAGCTGTGGATGTGGGCGAGTTTGAGTGGCCGGAGAGGTCTAGAGCCATCCATGTTTGTAGAGCTTTACGCGGAATGTCGCATTATTCGTAGTGTTAAACCCATTGAACAAGCTGATGTACCTAGGTAGTAAGATGTTTCTGATACCGTCGACCTACTTAACGCATCGGCATGGCATATGGCTGAACCATGTCCCTGGCCACTGACATACATAGCATACCGCTAAACGTGACTCGTCTCGCTCTTGCCCCGGATCACTCTGCTCAAGTCGCCGACGGGGAGCTCCAGCGGGAAATCCAAAGACGCCAGGAGGATGGCGAAGATCAGCCACCACCCAGCCATACAAGTCGCGAACGCACAGCCGCCGGCGCCCTGCGAAAATAACCAGTCAGTTCCAGTCCGGTGGCGCGCAAAGGGCGCTCCCCCTCACTCATACATCAGAGCGCCAGGAGGACAAACCCACCTTGAGTAGCTTGGCGGCATACGCCGCGTTTCCGGTGTAGTCCATGGCCAGGAACCAGTACGCGGCCGTGATGAGGCAGAAGGTGGCGGCGAGCGTCAGGAAGATGATGAAGAAGACGACGTTGGTGCGCAGCGAGCAGACGAGGAACACGACGCAGATCATGGCCATGGCGAGGGTGAAGAAGCCTGCGGATACGGTGTGGTTAGCTCTATCTGATCACCACAGGCGCATCGCTGTCTGCCCGAAAGGGGGGGGGGGGGGGGAGACACTATCCGACGATCCGACGTACCGAAACTGGCGTTGAACCCCTGGGTCGTCAGCCCCGCGGCTCCGGACGCCGCACCAGCGGGTGCGTAGGAGGAGAAGGCCGCGAAGGAGGGGTTGAGAGTCGCGCCAAAAGTGAACCAGAAGGCTGAGAAGGTGAAGAAGACGACGGAGGGGAAGGTATTGCCGAGGACCCATTCAAGGAGGCCACCGACGAACATGAGGAGGCCGCCGAAGAAAAAATACGAGCCGCTGAAAGGGAGGTTTGGTCACCGTTAGCTGCCGTGTACAGAATAGGGGGGAGGGTGAGAAGGGGAGGGAGGCGAGGCTGTGGACTTACATGCCGGCCGCGCCGCTGCCGCCTGCGCCGCGCCACCCCATGAGGTCGCAGGCCAGAGGCGTGAGCGAGATGAGGAAGCCGACGATGGCGCTGTTCCGTGTCAGTCAACGATGTATGCAGCGAAAAAAAGAGAACCCGGATCGAGGCTCACATTGGCGTCGGGTTGCCGAAGGTCTTGCGGAGGTCCCCTTTGACTTTGTTCTGGGGTGAGAGGTACAGCTTCTCGAACAGCTCCGGTGACATGCTGACGGACCCGGCCGTCTTCATCCTGCTGAGGACATCGTCGCGGCTTGCGTGCGGGGCGATGTACTCTGCCTCAGGGTCGTCGTAGCCGTTGGGCACTCGGTGCGACCGGTTGGACCGGTGCTCGGGGTGGCGGTGTTCTCTGTGGTACGAGTGGGAGCGCAGATCACTGATCTCTTCCTTGTGGTCATTGGTCGACATTCTGTGGTATCCTTATTGTGTGCTATTATTATCTTGTGCAATATGGATACGACGATGCAGGCTGTGCGATGGCGGTACAAAAGCTTTCCGACGAAGGAGGACAAGAGATGGCAGCAACCGGTGATATAAGCCAGGACGGGTTCATTACAGGAGCCCGTTGATATAGACGGCCTGGATGGAGTTTAACGGCCCTGGTCCTCCTGCAAAAAGCATCCATCACATCCCACCCACCCTTGGACGTTGTTCAAACACCTAGGTGCAGACGGGCAGACGAGGGTAAACGGCCTTAAGCTCTTGGCAAGGTTCTGCTGACAAGCCGGTTCAAGCGGACACATCCAGCACCCGTAGCGTCGAGACGAGACCACAATTCGCAGAGGTGCGCAGCCAACGATGTCCACATCATGCAGAGAAGCTCCCCGGCCCAATCCATCTGCCGACGGCAGTGGAGCAATCGGCACGCGACCTGCAGGATTCGGTACAGGGGGTGCTCCTGTAGTATGGCATTGGCTCGATATAGGATCTACGGCGAGTGACTCGTGGACGACCAGGAAAAGTGTATTGGGGGAAGCGGGAAGCGGGCGCACATATCTGTGGCCCGAGAATTGCTGGAGATGGGAGGGATGGGCGAAAGGATGGCCGGGGCGTGCGGAGATGGAGGCGGGGAGGGCTGACAAGGAGGAGAATACTGTGTATCACGTCTCTGGCGAATGATGTCAAAGAGGCGTCTAGGGAAGGTTCCCCGGCATAGTCTCAGGTCAGCGGCCGCAAGGAGGGGGAGCTGCCATCTAGTCATTGACCCGGACACTTTGGTACTGATACTATTGTATGTGTCTGTGCCCAGGTGAGCTGGTATAGGGATTTTCTCCAGATGAAGCTTACTCGATGAATCTCGACGCGTGTAAGCAAATGTTTTAGCGGGGTCTTGCGTCCACGACATGGAGCAACAGAGGTTCTTGTGACAGAGACTCCATCGACGTTGCCGCTAGCAAAGTGAGTTGCCGGCATTCGACGGGACAATATGGAGAGAGCATGGGGACAGGCGGAGCAGAAAGTATAGGTTTACCGGGATCGTCAAGAAGCTCGACTGGTTCTGCAGCCGTGTACAAGTCCCATGCGGCCGTCTTTCGTCTCCATACACGTGGAGGTCCTATTACGTATTAGTCAGTGGGCGTCAAGTCATGCCTGGTAGTCCGGGAAGGGGGGGAGGAAACCTGGGGTTCGGCTACGGGTTGATTGGCTGGTTGGTTAGTCTGCTGCACGCTTTAGGGTATAAAGCTTCACCTCGTGTGGAGGCACAAGCGCAGAAGAGGAATGCGGGGAAAGCTTAGGTGGGTTGAGTGACGGAGAAAAGGGATGGGGGAGATCGGAGTAGCGGATGAGGCGTGTGCGTCTGCGAGTGTAGGACCAGGTGCCGAGCTTCCTGACATCTACGCTGTGGACTTGCAAACCAGAATGGATGAACAGGGGGTGCTGGGCTCGCAAGATGACATGTAGGAGGATCGGCGGAGTTGGTCAGAGAAGAGGATGGAGGGCAACTCTATTCTTCAGGGTCCCATGTAGGATCATGTCGCGAGGGAAGACATACGCGGCGCTTGTGTGCTCCGCATAGATGATGAGCTATCTCGTGACAAAATGCATTACTCAAGGCTCAATCGCGAGCTGGCGGGAGATATAGCTCTGCTACTTAGCCCTCGTAAGACTTTACCCTGGACTGGACAGGCCTTTTTGGTTTGATCGCGCCAGAGAATAAAAACACAAGATCCCAGCATTGGCCGACCGTCCGACGCATCTAAGCAGACTGACTTGAAGAGGGGGGGAGATCGTTGTGATGGTTTGGCCCGGCATCTCTCACGACGGGAGCAAATCACGCAGGCGAAAGCGAGGTTACGGCAGGGAGGGGCAAGGGGGGCGAGGATGCTTAGCCTGCACGCGCTCGGTGACCGGTGACCTGGCCAGGAGGAAACTAATAATCATTTATCTCGTAACGGCATGTCGGGTATCTAGGGCCTTCGTACTCTATTGCTCGACATGACGGGCCCTCACACACTTGCAGCACACTCACACACACGCGCGTGCTGAGAGAGACAGAGAGACAGAGAGAGAGAGAGAGAGAGAAAGAGAGAGAAAGAGAGAGAAAGAGAGAGGGTGAGAGCATCACAGCTTGCCAGCGGCCTTGAGGGCCTTGTCGCCGTCGACGAGGACGCACCAGCCCTCGCCGCCGCGGGTGCCGCCGCCGAAGCCGGCGACGACAGCCTCGAAGGCGCCGTCGGCGCGGGCAAAGGCTATGACCTCGTCGTCAAAGGTGCCGGGCTGCAGCCAGACGGCGGGTACGCCGAGGCTCTTGGCCTCGCGCAGCACCTGGAGGGTCGCGGGCGGCGGGGTGATGACGGAGACGGCCGTCTCCTTGGGGTTGGGGAGGGCGGAGAGGTTAGGGATGGCCGGGTGGTCCTTGCCGAGGGCGTTGACGGTGCCGGCGGTCGGGTTGACGGGGATGGCGGGGATGTCGCGGTCGAGGTACCAGGCGAAGACTACGGGGTTTTGGGTCAGTTTGGAGGGGGAGAGGAGATGAGAGGGCGAGGGCGAGGGCGAGGACGATGCGAGGAGTGTGCGGTTGTTAGTGAGGATGAGGGTGTGTGAAGTGAAGTGAAGTGAAGTCAAGTAAAGTGAATGAGTGAATGAATGGATGAGTGAGTGAGCTTGAGGCGAGTGAGCATGAAAGCGTTGGTATGGTAACTTCATGTATGAGACGGCGATTACAGGGGCGGGGATGGCGAGGGGGCACGCACTCTTATGGCCGAACTTGGCGGGGTTCGAGCTCGCGCCCACGACGGCGAAGAACTTTGAGGAGAAGAACACCCGGGCGGCGGCTTCGGTCGTCATGTCGGGCACTAGTGTCGGCGCGGGGCAAGGTTTTGAGATGGTTTATAACTTGCGGGCACGGAAGGGGGTGAAGAGCGAGGGAGACGGAGACGAGGTAGGAAGGGTGGTGGGCAAGGTGAGGCACGCGCGGCGGCTCGGAGATTTCAAATGGTTTCTTGGGAGGGGAGGGGAGGAGAGGAGCTCCGAGCACGTCAGCCACGCAGTGGGGGAACGGGCCGAGGTCGCCGAGGGGGACTCGGTGGAGGTTACGGCCCAAGGCGCGGAAATGGTGTCGGTGGCCGACGGCGCGACACGGTGATTGGCGCTGAGGGCCGCGGCTATTCTACGATGCCTTCTGGCGCGCGTTCCTGGTTCCGTCCCTGGTTCTGTCCCTGGTTCTGGTCTGGTGTTGTGCTCCTCAACGGGGCATCATGAGGTCTCCGGCTGGTTCACGGATGACGAAGAGGGCCTGGCCTGGCCTGGCCTGGGGTTTGAGTTGCCGTGGTCCGAGACGTAAGGATCGGGGTTGATATCCGAGAGCTGACGATAAGAACGACAGCCGCCGCCGCCTGTTTTCCTTTGAGCACAATGCGGCGGCAAACATTACACATCATTGAGACATCATTGGCCGACTACTATTGACCAACCTCGGCAATCCGGTACTTCTCCTTCACTGCAACACCGTAGCTTATCACGCTTACATGACCGAGACAATGTCTGTCTTTGCGTAAGTCTTACAATCATGACACTGTCACAGATACACACACACACAATCATGTCATGCCATACGGATACTACAAGTCTCACGAGACGGGGAAGCTGACCCGAGAACAAACAGGCGATCGACGTTTTCGGCCGCCGGGTACGCGGCCTTCCGCCCGTCCTACCCGGCGTCGCTCTTTAAAATGGTGCTGGCGTACCACAAGCCGTCGTCGGCCAACGGCACGGCGCTGGACCTGGGGTGCGGGCACGGGGTCGTCGCGCGCGAGCTCGCGCCGCACTTTGGGCGGGTGATGGCTGTCGACCCGAGCGCGGGCATGGTCAAGCAGGCGTCCGAGTCGACGCGGGACCCCAAGATCACGTTCCGACAGGGGGGCGCCGAGGACCTGTCGTTCGTGGGCGACGGGACGGTCGACCTCGCGGTGGCGGGCCAGTCGGCGCACTGGTTCGACTACAGGCGGGCGTGGCCGGAGCTCGGGCGGGTGGTGCGCGGGGGCGGCACGCTGGCGTTCTGGGGGTACATGGACAACATCCTGGTGGGGTTCCCGGCGGTGAACGAGATCCTGGAGCACTTTTGCTACGGCGAGGGGGAGGCGGCGCCGGGCAGCGGGTGGGAGACGATGGAGCGGTACTGGGAGAAGCCGGGGCGGCAGGTGCTGCGGGACAACCTGGAGGCGGTGGTGCCGCCGGCGTCGGAGTGGACGGCGGTGAGGCGCATCGTGTACAACCCGGACCGGCGGATGGCGCAGGTCGGGACGGGGCCGGAGGCGGAGGCGGCGTGGCAGCGCAAGAGGCTCAAGTTGGGCGAGTTCGAGGGCTACGTGCGCACGTTCAGCGCGTACGTTGGGTGGAGGGACGCGCACCCGGAGGTGAAGAGCCGGGCGGAGGGCGGGGAGGGCGACATAGCGGACCTGCTGTTTGATCGGCTGCTCGAGGCGGTGCCGGAGTGGAAGGCCAAGGGGGACAAGTGGCGGGAGGTCGAGGTCGAGGCGGTTTGGGGCACGGCTGTGATCCTGGCCAAGAGGAGGTGAGGATCGTAGTGTTGTGTGAGTGTTGTATGCGGCGAGAGAAAGGAACATGCAAAGTTTGTCGAGCAAGAGAGAGATAGTGTGTGTGTGTGTGTGTGTGTGTGGTTGTGTATGCGAGGGAGTGAGAGAGAGAGACAGAGAAAGCGTGATAAAGAGTAGCTGCGGCCGGGACGACGATGATGACTCGCAGGCGAGGTTTAGACTGGGGGGGACCAGGAGAGTCGGGACGAACCGCAACGTGCCAATTTGCAGCAGAGCATCGGCTTTGGACGGTCTCGTCATGAAGAGTGATCGGCTTGAAGAGTTCGGCGTAACTCTGACCTGGGTTACTCGGGCATATACTTTGGCAATCAAGGTTGGATAGCTACGTAGTAGTTGTAGTACGTGCCATACGGATAACTTGACAGGATATTGATTGATACTGGGGACGGTGGACATTGCTGGCGCGAACCATGGGTTTGGCAGCATTAGCAACTTATTCGAGAGCCGTGATTGGCGGCGGCAACCAAGAACCTAGAGATTGTCGGCTTGGTTGTACGGTGCGTGTCCACCGCCCCCCAGCGCCAAAGACCCGCTTGGGCCCCAATGTCGTTCGTTCATTGAGGGTTAGCCAGGTAAGCGCAGCTAAGGTAGCATGTGTGGGTAATGTACGGATACACCGGGAAATGTGGACGTGTGTGATGTTTACGTGTGGTTGCCCCGTCAGGTTTCAGGGACGCTTGCCGGCAGAGGGTTATCAAAGGCGAGAGAGAGAGAGAGAGAAAGGGAGAGAGATAGGGGATGGATGCACTGTGTTTGCGACCCAGACCGCCAGTCTCAGTCCCAGTCCCCGGACCGGACCTAATTGTTCAGCGGGGCTTTTCAATAGTTGTCCTCCCCGTCAGTGTGTGTGTGTGTGTGTGTGTGTGTGTGCGTTTGTGCCTGCACACCGCCGCATGAATAACAGTGACTGGGAATGTCCATGGCCCCTTCCTTGACTTGAATAATTGTCCCGGATGAAATAAATAAATAAAAATAAAAAGTGAACACGGATAAAGGGAGCGAGGCAGGAGACTGGCGAGGGGGGGGAGAGGGGGGAGAGAGAGAGAGCGGGCATAAAGTGTTTCGACCGTCAAACTGCAACCTCCGAGAAACATCATCACGAACCCGCCGCCGCCGTCTTTCTGTCCAAATCATCTCCTGCTTTCTGCACTGCAAGAGAGAACCCGACGATTGCTCCATCGCCTCTGGTTTGTTTATCCTTGGTCAACGGCTCCCTTACCGTAACACACGCACTACACACCATCACAATGGTGAGTTTCAACCCCGTCCTCCCCCCTCTGCCTTGCCCTCCTTCCCCTTGATTGCCTTGCTTTTTTTTCTTTCTACGTCGCATGAAAGGAGACCCCGATCCGATGACGCCCTTCGTCCCCGTACCGCCGCCGGAATGTAAACAAAGGAGGGCCGGTGATTCCAGCCATTCAGTCAGCGGCTGCCCCCCTATTCCCGCCCCCTAGCGACGACCGAAAGAGGGAGGGGAAAAAAAACCTGCGTTAGCGCCCAGGTCGGTTCAGCGGCGAACCTTGCAGGAAGAAAAGGGACAGACAGACAGCAAGCAGCAAGGCACGAAGCAGCAAATGCAGCAGCAGCAGCAGCACCACCACCACCACCACCACCACCCCGCCACCCAGTGGCTGTGACTGGCTGTGGCAGCAGCAGCACCGGCGCCGCCCATTCACCAGCCAACGGCATCAACCCAAACAACCAGCGAACGAACGGAAACAGTGAGGCGGGGGGGGGAAACGACACTTGCTTTCCCGATCAGCGCCAGTCAGCCAAGCCAAGCCAAGCAAAGCAAAGCAAAGCAAAGCCAGGCGCATTTCAACTCGATCACGACACTTTCTCATCCTCGCACCACTTTTTTTCCCACTTTGCAGCTGTCGCATCCATCCATCCATCCATCCGCCCATCCGCCCGCTTCATCTTTCCCCTCGCGATACTTTTTCTGCTGTCCGCAACATTACACATTCTAGACACACACACACACACACATTACCCACATCATTCGCAATGGCTTCTAACCAATACGACGCTCAGGCTTCCACCAACTACAAGGAGGCCTTCTCCCTCTTCGACAAGCGTGGCAACGGCCGCGTTCCCGTCGACAGCTTGGGCGACCTGCTCCGCGCCTGCGGCCAGAACCCCACCCTCACCGAGATCCGCGACCTCGAGAAGAACATCGGCAGCGACTGTGAGTGTTTCCCCGTCATGCCAGGCCTTTCCATCCGCCCATGACCACCGCCATCGCTTGTTGTTGGTTGGATATCTCGCCGACCTGACCAGATACCCGCGCTCGGAAGGGACTTGCACTAATCATTCCACCATTGCAGTCGACTTCGAGACGTTCCAGCGCATCCTCAACCGCCCCGGCGGCTTCCGCGACCCCGGCGAGCCCGAGGAGTACTGCCGCGGTTTCCAGGTCTTTGACAAAGACATGACGGGCTTCATCGGCGTAGGCCAGCTCAAGTACATCCTAACCAACCTCGGCGAGAAGATGACCGACGACGAGGTCGACGAGCTGCTCAAGGCCGTTGACACGAGCTCCGGCCAGGTCAACTACACCGGTAGGCACCCCTCTCCCCTCCCCTGGCGTCCCGTCGCACCCCCGACTAAAGACATTGATTGCTGACTGACGGCCATCATAGAGCTTGTGCGCACCATCCTCGCCAACTAGATTGCTCTCGCTCGATATCCCGAGGAGAAATGAGAAACGATTCACGCAAGTTGGAGCGAGCGTTGTAGAACCACACAAGCCGACGACGACGCCGACGACGCCGACGACGAGAAGGTGACGGTGATGGAGAAGAGGATATTTTGCATGGCTGGCACAATGGGAATGGCGTTTGATTTGCGTTTGCGATTGCGTTGTTCGCTATTGTAGGGAGATTCGGGCATCCTGGAGTCGAGCTCTACAGCAGAGACTTTACTCTGGATCATATACACAACAAACACACACACACACACACACACTTATGCCGGGGCCGTACAGGAACCCATACAAAAGAATAAAATACCATAATACCGAAACAAGGCCTTGTTGTGACAGGGATTGCACTCACCCATCTATCGGCAAATGTTGGAATGAAGTCATGGACACTCAAAGTATCTCTTGCTATGCCTCCTTCAGCAACTTCTCCTGCAGGCCCGACTTGATCATTATCCCGATGCCAACAATGGCGATTCCATTCTCTACTGTCCGGCGCAGCCACCGCGACTCGCCCCCCATGTTGATCCACAATGTCGCACCACGGCGTGGCTGGTCTGCCCGGCAACAAAGGACCCCCCCCCCCTCCCTTTGCCCAAAACGGACAAGTGCTCCATGTCTTATGTAAGCTCGGTGCTACTAGGCGATGTGTCCCGCACCTGGACCTGCAGCCCAAAGGGTCCTCCTGTCTGGGGCCTCCAGCACGTAGCTCTCCCTGTCGGCCGGGTCGAAGAGACCGATAGACAGATACGGCCACCAAGGGTTTGGACGATTCCTTTCAGACCGACAGACTAGATGATATGATTTGAATACTCTAATTGGGTCCAATGCCATGTAGGTAAATCAGCATCCGTCATTGTCGTCGGGTACAATTAAGACAACGATACCCCGCTTGCTCCGGCGTGGAGCGTCGCAGCCCTGGGCGTCTTAGCGCCGGGAGCTCCAAGGCCCTCTGCGGCTGCTGCTGACGTGGACCGAGAGAGCTCAATACCACCACTACCATCACACGCACTTACACACCCAGACCGCCGACCTTCAACAATTGACAGCTTAACAATTGGTAACCTCGCCACACACGCCATCTCTACCGCCCCCGCATCGACCCTGCAGCTTGCTCCCCCCCTCCTCCCCCTCCCCCACCTCGACATCCTATAGACCCGACCGGCGAACCGTGTTTCGTCCAGTCATCCTGGCGTCGACCGCTTCCTCCAAGCACCGCCGTCTACCCCTCCTCTCCTTCACCTTCTTCCTCATCTTCCTCCTTACAGCTCTCATCCTGGCGGCCCCCAGAGCAATCCCGAGAATCACTTCTCTCTTCGCCCAGCTGCGATTCAAACCAGTCCAGCTTCCTCTCTTCCCCACACCGGCTGCTTCGACGTACCGGCCCTTAGTGACCAGCGCCATGGCGGTCCCCGACAAGTACAAGTCACCGCCCCAGGCGCCTCCCGTCTTCACCGGCACCAAGGAGTCCATCGTCGGCGACGCCAAGAAGATATGCGACCAGACCAGAGCTCTGCTCGACAAGATCGTCGCTGAGGTTCCCGCCGACAAGGCCACCTTCGACAACGTCCTGCGGCCCATTGCCAAGGACGAGAACGAGAGCGCATTGTCGACGCGTATCCTGGGCTTCTACCAATATGTCTCGAGCGACGCCGCCCTCCGCGAAGCCTCGTCCCAGGCCGACACCATCATGGACGAGTTCGGCATCGAGGTCAACATGAGGGAGGATGTCTACAAGCTGATCGAGGCCCTCCACAAGAAGAAGGACTCCGAGGGCCTCGATCCCGAGAGCTTGCGCTTGCTCGAGAAGGACTACAAGAACTACATCAAGATGGGTCTCGGTCTGCCTGCCGGCCCTCAGCGCGATCGCTTCAAGGAGATCAAGAAGCGCCTCAGCCAGATCCAGATCGAGTTCCAGAAGAACCTCAACGAGGAGAACGGCGGCATCTGGTTCACCCCGGAGGAGCTGGACGGTGTTCCCGAGGATGTCATTGACGGCCTGGAGAAGGGCACCGGCGAGAACGAGGGCAAGCTCAAGCTCTCCTTCAAGTACCCCGACCTATTCCCGACCCTCAAGTTCGCCAAGAACGCCGAGACGAGGCGCAAGGTCTTCATCCAGAACGAGAACAAGTGCAACCAGAACGTGCCCCTGTTCAAGGAGGCCATCGTCCTGCGCGACGAGGCTGCCCGCATGCTCGGCTACCCCGACCACGCTTCCCTCCGCATCGAGGACAAGATGGCCAAGACCACAAAGACCGTCAACGACTTCTTGGGCGACCTCCGCTCCCGCCTGACCGCCGGTGGCGCCAAGGAGGTCCAGCACCTCCTCGAGCTGAAGAAGGTCGATACCGAGGCCCGCGGCGTTGCCAATGACGGCAACTACTACCTCTGGGACCACAAGTTCTACGACCGCTTGATGATCGAGAAGGAGTACAGCATCGACGAGAACAAGATTGCCGAGTACTTCCCCATCACCTCCACCATTGCCGGCATGCTCAAGATCTTTGAGGAGCTGCTCGGCTTCGTCTTTGTCGAGCTGAAGCCCGAGGACCGCAAGGCCCTGAGCCCTACGGGCAAGGGCGAGGACATCGCCTGGCACGAGGACGTCATCATCTTCAGCGTCTGGGACGATGCCTCCGAGGGTGAAGGCTTCGTCGGCTACCTGTACCTCGACTTGCACCCCCGCCAGGGCAAGTACGGCCACGCCGCCAACTTCAACCTTCAGCCTGGCTTCCTGCAAGCGAACGGCTCGCGGAGGTACCCTGCCACGGCTCTGGTCTGCAACTTCAGCAAGCCCACGCCCAAGAAGCCCTCGCTCCTCAAGCACGACGAGGTCGTCACGCTCTTCCACGAGCTGGGTCACGGCATCCACGACCTCGCCGGCCGCTGCACCTACAGCCGCTTCCACGGCACCAGCACCGTCAGGGACTTTGTCGAGGCGCCCTCGCAAATGCTGGAGAACTGGTGCTGGACCCCCAGCGTCATCAAGGCTCTCTCCCAGCACTACCAGACGGGCGAGAAGATCCCCGACGACCTCATCGAGAAGCAGATCTCGACCAAGCACGTCAACGCCGCGCTCTTCAACCTGCGCCAGCTCCACTTTGGCACTTTTGACATGACGGTCCATACCCCCAAGAGCCACGAGGAAATCAAAAACATGGACCTGTCGTCCGTCTACAACGAGCTTCGCGGCCAGATCGCCGGCATCAAGGGCCCCGAAGCCCAGGGCGAGAAGAGGTATGCTGCGGCCCAACCTGACTCATCCCGTGACCGACGCGCTAACAGCTACAGCACCTGGGGCAACGGGCAAGCCTGCTTCGGCCACCTGATTGGAGGCTACGATGCTGGCTACTACGGCTACCTCTCATCCGAGGTCTACTCGACCGACATGTTCTATTCCGTCTTCAAGGCCGACCCCATGAACGGCAAGGAGGGTCGCCGCTACAGACACACCGTCCTCGAGAAGGGCGGCAGCCAGGAGGAGATGCTGACCCTGGAGCAGTTCCTCGGCCGCCAGCCCAGCACCGAATCATTCTACAAGGAGCTGGGTATCCCGCAGTAAGGGCCCCCCCGGTTGCTCGGCAGCTTGGAAGCACAAGACGGCGTCTGAATTGTATCTTGTAGTACCAGATCACGGCTGTGATCGATCCAGAGGGGGTTTCCCCTTTGCAGATGCAGAAACAAACATGAAAAAAAGACATTGTTCAAAAGTTATAACACAAGGCATATGGGTGATTGTTAAAGAAGGTAGTCATGTGTTTTCCGTGCTGCATATGTTGCGTGAATCTGCATTGTCTTTTTGGTTCTCTTCATCCGGTTTCTCTCTCTCCCTCCCTCCCTCCCTCTCTCTCTCTCTCTCTCTCTCTCTCCGTCTGGCCTCTTCTCTAATTGTCCAGACTCCACTCAGGATGAAATCTCCGTCGAAAGAAACGAAACGAAACGCGTTTGTCTCTCCAGAGTCTTATGCGTAACACACGACTTGCAGCTGTTTGTGTAATTATAGGTCAATGCGTGATCCGGCGTGTTCCTCTGCCCTCCACACCAGGGCCCAGACCCAGGATGCCGTAGGACTGCACCGTTTTTGACTGCACCGTTCGAGGCGGGCATAGACGGTTCCGTCTCCTGGCGAGGGTTTGATAAATCGTCCCAAGATGCGACCGCAGTCCTCGATGACCTGGCACTTGATGGCGCGCGTTGCCTGCGTATGATCCACGGGGTCTTGCATGCGCTCTCGTCGATCCACCTCATCAGAAAGCCATGCTTGTTTGTATTCGATCGGGATGTCCTCTGGGCCGATGGCGAATAGGAACAGATTGGGAAAATCTTGAAGGCGTTGTTTAGGTCAGGGAGGTAGGTAGGTGAGCAGTTGCCGCTCCTTCCCTCTCGTACCTGACCAGTTGGCTGGCTGCCTTCCTTTGGAGACCTCAACATCTTGCTTGTTTATATTGCATCCGCGTCCATTCAAAAGACCCAGCCTGTTTCCTCTAACCGTCCAGGCGACTAGCCTTGGTCATGTCAACCCTCTATCGCTCAATCGACCCCGTCGGCCGCCTTTTCTTAAAAAACAATCACAGCTGACACCATAAACCCCTAGCTGGTTTATTATCCCTCCTAGCGCAACGGTCGCCCTGACTCTACTATCATCGTCTTCCAGCACGCCGCAAAGGTGCCCAAACCAGAACTGCCCAGCGTATACTTTCATATCTCTGTGGTACATCATCACCTCCCTCGCCACGACCATCAGGGCCCCCCTCGCTAGCCCATTTTTATCTTTTTATTTCTCGGACAAAAACCTTCATCCGGTTTCTAGTCTTTGTTACCGACAACCCGTGTCTGACCTGCAGCCCTCGCCGCCAACATTGCAAGCTCTCTCCTTTTCTTCCTCGCCGACCACAGCGCCAGCAGCAGCAGCAACAACAATCAGCAGCAACAACAGCAACCACAACATGGTTACTGCCACTCGTCTGCTAACAGAGGTGTCCTACCTAGTCGCACACGTCATCCTCCCCTTCTCAGACGAACAATTCTATCTCATACCCTTCCGAGACCGGATCAAGGCCTCCAGACCTGGGTACACTTCTGCCAAAGAGGGAATTTTCAGCTCAAGTCCCAGCCTCCGATCCCCAATCCAACTATGCAGGCGACCAAGGGCCCTCCGCGGCAGACAAACCGTACCCCGACGTCTTGACTGTCCGTTTCGCGTCAGCCTTTATCCGCCACGCACTGCCTTGGCTACCTTCACGGGATGGCCTCAACGAGTTGGTGGCCAGTCTCGAGCTCGTAGCAGGCTGCGAAGTCCAGATCGGCGGCCTTATCGAGGGAGGGCCTTGCAGTCCGCGCTGAGTCGCACGCGCTTCTGCGAGTCGATGAAGCTCATTTCGCGCATTGTGGCGAGACGCCCCTCTGCCCCGGGAAGCGTTTCTATCTTTCACTCCATGTCTCGCTCCTTCTTTCATTGCTCCTTCCAAGATAGGGGTTATTATCTTTGGAAGAACTCCAGCCTTCCTTCATCTCGATTGCTTGAAGATGTAATACCTTGACTCATCGGACTTCTGGTGGCCCAAATGGATGAGTACATGCTAGTAATGAAGCTAACATGATGTCAATTGACTCACTGCAGAAGAATGACTACATACCTTGATACGTGAATGGATGTCTCTGAGGACGGGAGGCACGGGTATCGTTCAGCTTGTGGTAGATGATAGGGTTCGGAATCCCCGTTTCGGTCGTCAAATCATGTATCGTTGCCCTGGATGCCGTGTGGAATGTTGGTGTTGAGGCAACTTAGCATTCCGCTGGCCCCTCCTTAACGCCCAAGGCAATACGCCGCCGAACTTGTCAGATCTCTAAAAAACTACTTTTCTGCTTTAACTTTTTTCACTTGCTTGTTCTTTCTGGCTTCCACATACCTCGGGCCTTACTCGGATCTCTCGACAATCCAAGGCCTTAGCTTCCCTGATTTTCCTATTGGTTTCCCCCGAGGGACTACCGACTACGGGCTACCGACTACGGGCCGAGATGGTTTCCACGCCGGAGGAAACTGCCCGCAAGAAAAAGAGAACCATTGAGGAGTACGAGAACTCCGACTGCGCATCCCCCACCAGTACCAAAACTAAATGACAAGCAGCATCTTCAAGTCGAGGCAAGTCGCCTTCCTCATCGGGCCAAACAAGGTCGAGTTCAACGTGCACCAGTACGCCTTCACACGCCTGTCCGCGCCCCTCCGCGCCATGCTCGCCGATGACGCGAAGGAGTCCGTGGAGTTCGGGTGGATCTGGGACGACGTCGAACCCTCGACGTTTACCAGCCTGCTGGAGTACGCGTACACCGACAACTACTCGGTCCCCCGTCTCCACAAGAAGAAGCCCGTCGCGACGGCTGCGGTGGTGCTGCCCAACCAGACCGACCAGGAAGAGGCCGTCGACGAGGAGGACCGGTGGTCCGTCAGCTCGATCATGACCTGGATGATGGACAACGACGACCGGTTCGGCGATTGCACGCGGTTCGGCAAGTGGTGCTACGGTCGCAAGCACTTCGAAACGGACTTCCCCGGCCCGCAGCCGTACTGGCACGACGAGCTCCAGCGGAGCGACTGCACCGGCCTCGCCACCATTTTCATGCTGCACGTCAAGCTCTACGCCCTCGCGGACCGCTACCGCTTTATCTCCCTCCGGGCCCTGTGCCTGCAGAGACTGCGCGAGAGCCTGGTCAACGTCGTTCTGCGGGCCGAGTTTTGCGAGGCGCTGGTCGAGATGCTCGCCTTTGCATACGCGAACACGCCGCCGGGCGATGACCTCCGCATGATGCTCCTCAGGTACTGCATCTTTCAGATGAACCACCTCAAGCGCCACGGATACCTGCACCAGCTGGTATTGGAGATGCCGCCGCAGTTTGCGGCGGAGCTGCTGCTCGAGGTTCCTCAGGGGTTCTGGGAATCTGCGCTCTAGCGGGGGTCTGGAAGCGGACTAGAAAAGTGTGGATCATGGGGGATGGTTGGGACATTCTGGTACCTTTGCACAGGATGGTCCAGCTCCGGTAGCTATCGTGGACCAAATCTGCCGGTATTACAGCTTTTGGGGTACCATGTTGGGTGGTTCGACTCAGTGTCGTTGACGATGAAAGGACGTAGGTTGTGTGGAGGTTGTCAAAGGAATTACAACTGCTGAGGGGATTGTGTCTAACGGCCGCGCTAACATAACTTTGCATGTTCGGTCCCCATTCGCGGGCAGGTTGTCTATTAGGAAATGAATACGCTTTGGATAGCCTTCTGTGTCGATTGAAGAGTCCCTTCTCTCGGTTACTATCATGTTCCTCCTCATCGATACTAGTGTTTCTGTCATGCAGGACCAGCGGGCAACTGTCGCTAAAGCAGCACAAGATTATCATGTAGGTACTTGTAAATCAATATGAAATCGATTTATCTTGAACGAAGTTTATTTTTTCTTGAGAATTACGGGTTATATCCAACCTATGCTCGGTTCATGAGACAAGTGAGAGAGCGGGATCCGACTGGCGGTTTATAGTCGGCTATGGTCCAAACCGTCCGGGCTTCCTGCCAGCGAAGCCCCAACCCGCAAGAAAGTTTAGGCCGGTCAGTCGCCGACTGGCAATTCGGGCTCATAGTCGCTCATCTCATCAAACCTTATGTCTTCGCCGACAGATACGACGTCAGCGAGCTGAGGCAACTCTGCCTTCACAGACTGCACAGCGCTCTGATACGCGCGGGCCTGAGCCGCACCGGCTACCTATATCTTTTCGACGCAATTACGTTCACTTTTGAAAACACATGCCCCGGCGACAAGATCCGCAAGCTCTTTGTGCAGACATGCGTCGCGGACTTGGTCCTGGTTCGCACCATGCCCGGATACAACGACCTGTGCTGCCGAGTCCCGGAGCTGGCGTACGAGATGACGATGGAGCTTCCCGAGTACTGGAATACCTACATCCATGCTCTCCGCGACCTTGCTAGCAAGTCTATGGACAGGTAGCTCACGAGGGTGGATTTGAGACACAGCGTGCGCGACCTTTGCTGGTTAGGGGCATCACATCTACGAGGGGGTTTCGGGCTGCGATATGACACATGGGCAGCGAGATCGTTTATCAAGATATCATGACAGACATGGATACATAGATGGAAGATTGGGAGTTGAATTTGGATTTGACTTTTGCTTTTTCTAATGCCCTTACAGCATTTTTAGCTCGAGCAAGCTATCGTGACTACATTGTCTGCCCATCAAAGTCTCATAGGCCTTCATAGTCCCTCCGGGACACGGTGACGTTAGAGCACGTGGACCCGCCCCTCGCTGCACTGGGAACTCGGAAACATTCGTTCGGGCAAGGCGCGCTGGCGTTGTATTGCCACGAAAACAGGGGGTCTGTTTCGTTGGCCAGGATCTGCCCGATCATGACAGTCTGGTGGCCGGGAAGCTGACGAGACTGCTGGAAGACGTCGTACTGCGAAGCTTTGGTTAGCGCTGTCGGGCTTGGAAAACCAAAGGACTGGTGTTCATACGCTGCTGAGGGTCATCACGCCCCAGCCGACGTTGTAGTTGTGCTGGATCGTGGTTCCGTAGACGTATTCTAGCGGGGTCAAAGTTAGTTCTCCTCCCCGATGGTCATCCCGTACCGCCTCAACTCACCTTTGAAACCTGCCCATCGAATGGCACTCGCGCACTGGGGTGATATGTCAGCTGTCAGGTCCCATGTGCTATTAGCGGGTGAGAGCAGTACCATCGGGCACGACTCGGCGTTCGTGTAGATGGAAAGGTCTCCCCACGCGGCGAAGATGTCACTGCCAGCAGGTCAGGCCGAGGAAAAATTCTTGTGATAGTTACTTGATTTGCCTTACGTAGGTGTCATGCCCTGCTCGGCAAACCTGGCCGTGCAGGCGTTGATGGCTGAAATCTCTCCGTGAACTGGTCGAGTGTCAATCTAGGTCCATGCTTTTCGTTCCCGAGACTACATAACTTGTTGGATCTCCGGTTCTGAAGTTGGCTCCTTCACAGACGACTTCGTCACTGGTATGGTTCACGATGATGGCACCGAACGCGGCGAAGGGGCAGCTGAGAAAGGAATGTCAGCACATGAAGATAAAGGCGTGCTGCAGGCTAGAAAGGGACATACGGCCCGCTTTGCCGGAACAGCGCCTCGTTTGTCTGGGACCATGTTAGTGACTTTGATGATGGCCATCCTCCGGGAAGTAGGTGTGCTGACCTTTCGCATGTATTCGACTCTCTTTTCGGCGGGGATCGAGTTGACCGTGAGACCCGACATGTCCTGGTCATCGTTGTGAATCACAAAGTGTGCCCGGGACAAGCCCAGGAGACCTAACGTCAGAAATACGGTTGATCGAAGCATCGTATTGGTTCCGGGACTCGGCTCTGTGTAATAGAAGCTGTCAAGCAGAATCGGGAGGTGACTCGGCTGAAGACTCGAACTTTTATACACGCAGCATGATGGCGACGGAAACAAAGATCAACCAATTGCCGCAGAGAGATAAGGATAACCGGGAGACAATCGGACAACCACGGGGTCTTGATCCCAACCCAGTCGGGATGCTGACTGAATTACTGGCACCGGGAATTGGGATTGAAGCCATCGCCGCCATGCGTATCTCGGCAAAGGCCCACCGCGGTGGGGCCGGCAAAGTGTTAGCGCCTCTTCTTATCTTTTGGACCATGGGGTGGCTCGAAAGCACGATGCTGTTGGCTTGACGGGTAGCTGGGCTTGGGAAACATGAAGAATAATATACGGACCGAGGGTTCTGGGGTTGGCGAAGCCAGAGGATGACGAGCTTACTGGAATCCTGCAGGACTGCGCCGGGCTTTGGACACGGCATTGATTCTGGTCGGACATAACTTTGTTGACCACTCAGACGGCGCTTTCAAGGGACTTTGCCATGGGATCGATCTACTATGTACGTATGCGAACGAACTGGTGTGCTGATATTATATGCTCCGGTGGTGCATTCTCGGCTCCCGCTCTTCGACGGGGTTCCAAACCTCCCTGTGACTCCAAGAAAGCCGAGGCCCTTCCGGCTATGAAGCGGATCCGGAAAGCATTGCAGTCTTCAACTTGGATTTTCTTCGGTTCCTGCCGAGAAGCTAGCTCTCTGTTCCAAGTTTTGCGAGCATGACGTCCCCGATGAGCCCGCGGAAGTTTCGGATTGAGTTCGTACTCGGCTTCAGAGTTGGTTGTAACTGATTGGCCTGCCAATTGCGAGGTCGACGTGTCACCGGCACACTCGCCCAGTGTATATGTACTTGTAGGTAGGCAAGTACCGAGTCGACCCCGCCCCGGTTAGGTTGAATGGGAACGTCGGCTCATATAACTAACATCTCATAATAGCTGTTGCATCCTGCATCCTGCATCCTGCGTCCTGCGTCCTGCGTCCAAGCAACTCGACTCAACTCAACTCATCTCAGCCCCACGCAGCAGCACCGCGCTCAACCATGGCAGAGGATCAGAACACCACAGACGATGCCTACCGCATCCAAAAGAAGCCGCTCTTGGCAGCGGTCGGGCACGGGGCCGCGGTCTTTGCGATCCAGAACCTCGTGTCCGGGCCCTTCAACTTCGTCCGTGGTGCCAAAGCATACGTCATGCCGCCCGAGAACCGACCTGCGCTCGTTAAGACGTACGAGTGCAGACCCCATCTTCCAGTCAGGCAAGCCGAGTCTCGTCGAATCCCTTTCGCGCGTGCCGTACTGCCAGGACTTCCCGACTAACAGCTTTCAGAATCTTCTTCCCCAAGGACTATGACAAAACGTCCAAGGACCAGCTACCCGTTCTCTTCACCATACACGGAGGCGGTTTCGTGCTCGGGACCCCCAACGACAACGACGACTGGAATCAGACGTACGCCTCGCAGCACCACTCTGTCGTAATCGGCCTCAACTACAGCAAAGCTCCCGCTAATCCATTTCCCAAGCCGATCTACGACTGCGAGGCTCTCTTTCTTGCCGCGCTTAATGACGAGTCGCTTCCATTAGACCGGACCAGGGTTGCTCTCCTCGGCTGGTCTGCAGGTGGCAATTTGGCCCTCGCAGCCTCGCAGCTCGAGAGCGTCAGAAAACACCTGACTTGTATCGTTCCAGTATACCCCGCGGTCGACCTTTCCACCGAGTCAGTGGAAAAGGCTCCGTCCCGCCAATACAAGCCCGAGCTGGGCGGCTACCGCGCAAGAGATCGTGATTTTCTGCTCGACATCGCTCCGACCTTTGACTGGGCCTACAAAGTCCCGGGGGGGAGCAGCCGCGATCCCCTCCTGAGCCCTCTCTTTGCTTCCAAGGACGCGCTGCCGAAGCGCGTATTCCTCATCGCCTGTGAGCTCGACCTGCTCGCCCACGAGGACCAGAGGCTCATCCACAAGCTTGCGGGCCGTCCTCCCCCGCCGACGACCGTCGGAAAGCGGGAGACTGCCGGAAAGGGGGAGCTCATTTTGGACGACGAGAGGTTCCACTTCGAGGTGTCGAACGCCGACGGGAGTGCATACCGGTGGCTATTGGTACCCGACACCGTCCACGGCTTCGACCAGAAACTGGACGTACTTGTTCGTGAACCCGGATTCGTTGAGGACGCCAAAATCAAGACGCAAAAGACTATTAAGATCATTGGTGAATGGGTGCTGCAAGCTCCCCCAATCAGCGCGGCCTAGATAGTGCTTTGCTGTTCAACCGTCTGTGGAGATTGCATGGCACACCATGCGATAGCGGTGTGGTCACAACGGTCTGACTTTTTGTAAAGATGCTTGCCTAGAGACGGTTTTTTTTTCCTCCTGTAATTGGGCATTTTTCGCCAATCTCTCTCCTTCTTTTACAATATTGTTTGCTTCCTTGTATTTGATTGTAATGCCACAGATGCAGTATACGACGTTTGTCAGTAAGATGGTATCAACTGCAACCAAGACCGAAAAGAATGTTCAAAGTATCTACCTAAATATAAATTTAGTTATTATCTTAGGACTATAGACTCTAAAAAGATACGCCAGGGATATTAAGTGACTGGGCACTACGGCCATATCAAACACCCTTAAGCCGGTGTCCTCCGAGTCTCTTTCCAAAGTGATGTACGAATTTCACACGGCGTAAATGTTCACAGGCATCAACAGATCCATGTGGTTATAAATGTGTGCGTTCTGTAACAGTCGCCATACTGATAGGTACATAACATAACTGTGCAGTGAAAGGGCTCAGGCTCCTTGATTCAGTCACCATCGATTACAAAAGGAGACAAACGTACGAGCACGAAAATAGCGCCACAGTGGAAAGCAAGTTTAATTTACCTTGCCTATATGATATGTCATACTATTGTCCAGCTTGACTGCACTAGACCGCGTATGGGGGTCTAGAACGATTCTAGTCTCTACTAACGTTTAATTACCAGAGCCCATACCTGCCAAGACCTTGACTGATGTGGAAAATCCTTAATATTCTGGGCATTGCAGTCCAGAGTCATCAAATACCTTCTTCACTCACTATCTACGATTCCCATAGGGTCTATAGCCTCATATTGGAGCTTCTTTCAACGACAATTTTCACTTTTGGCTTGTCAATTCAGCAGTGTATGAGCTCTACAACGACTAAAACACCAACAACAGTCCGCTTCTCTTGAAGTTTTAAATGGAAACTCATTCACGCTTTCATGTTCCAAAACTAGCTCTGTACTACAGTCCCTCGCGGTAGGACTTTCAAGTCGATCAAGTAGTCGTCTACCGCTCGCGATGCATCGCCACGCAAGAGATAACTCGTATGGCCAGATCCTTCTCTGAGGAGCAAGGTCGCGTTCTGAAACTCCTCCACCATGCCCATCGCGTATACCAAGCTCGTTGCGGGGTCGAATCTGGAATGGACCATCAGCACCGGGTTCTGCGTGCCTTTGACGCTCAGGGCCGTCCGCGGGTTCGTGATGTTGACGGGATACCCGGTGCAGTCGATGACCCTGCGCCAGAACTCGCCCATCCCCGGCGTGGTCGTGAATGTTCTCGTCATCTCTGCGACTTGCTGGACTTCGATGTGGTCTTTCGCCGCGAAGAAGTGCCCGTCCTGGCACTGCACGGCCGTGATGGACAAGAAGCGCGAGTCTGCGTAGACGTCTCCGGAAAGGAGGTTCAGGACGAAGGAGGACCCGTTGCCGGACGCCGCATCTTTGAGTTCCAGAGCAAAATCCTTGCGCCTTTCAGGGAACTGCAGCGTGGACCGGGCGGCACCGATGACGTTGTTGGGCGTGGCCGTGGAAAGGCACCCGGTCTTGCCCGTCCCGTCACATTCGGCGGCCTTGAGGTTGCCCGCGGCGGCGACTTCGAGAGCCTTGCTCCACGTCTTCCTGATGTCCTGGCCCCCGTCTCCGCAGTTTGTGGCGTTGGACTCGCAGAATCGGAAGAAGTCCTGGATGGTCGCGTCCAACGACGTTGCCTGCGTCATGATGTTTGATGCATATGAGCCTGTGTGCTGCAACATCCCGTCAAGTGCCATGGCTCGTATTGCGGTCGGAAAAAGGGCGGCATATTGAGCACCCAGCTGGGTCCCATACGATACTCCAAAGTAGTTCATTGGTTCGTTTCCCATCGCTGTAATGACATTAGTCCGTTGGGAGAAAAGGTACCAAGAAGGAGCCCCCGGTTGTCGGGGAGAGAGACCGTACTCACCAACGCGCACGGATTCCATGTCTTTGGCTACCGAGATTGTGTCCATGTTGTCGAATACGGGGCCAGTCATGGCGCGGCAGGACTCTCCGACAGCCTTGTTGTAGTCGAACAGCTGCTGGAATCCTTCCGGTGTGGTGGCCTCGAACTCCCTGGGCGGGTCGACCAACTTCGTGTCGCATTTCAGTGGCGTGCTCAGGCCAACGCCCCGGGGGTCCATCCCGATGATGTCGAACTTTTGACGCACTGCATCGCTGATATAGATTTTCTGACTGGCCATCCGTAGCACCATGCTCGATGCTGCTCCTCCCGGCCCTCCAGGGTTCACAAACAGGTTGCCGATGCGCTCGCCTTGTGCCGGCAACTTGACGATGCCCAGCTGGACTTGCGGGCCGCTGGGGTCGTTGTGACTCAAAGGGACCGAGAAGTTGCTACATTGCAAAGCCGAGGTGAAGTTGTTACCTTTGAATGGCTGGATGTCACCGGGGCAAGCACTCCATTGTATGATGTCCTGGTGACCCGGCCCGACAGGTTGAGGAACCTTGACGGCTGTTACGGTGGCGACAAAGGCGGCAAGGCCTACGGTCAGGCGGAGGGGTGGCGGCCCTCTCATACTGATTTGAATTACCAACGGACGATGGACAATCCGGTAGTGTCAAATTACCTTTATTTCATTGCGAGGAGTTGAGGCTGAGATCGTACGGAGTACGGGCGGCAGGCTCCAATAAATACCGTTCACGGGAAAAGCCAAACCGACCCCCTGATTGAGTCCATCAGCAACTTAATCTATAGTAGAGTATCACTATGCGACCTATTTAATTAAAGGCACTATTGCATTTTGCTTCCCCCTTAGCAATAGAGTGTTTCGTCCTGTTGTATTATGTACATAACGACTACTGTGGGCTGTGCAATCACGGCAGATATGGTGAAACAGCTGCGAGCAAAATAAGGTTTATAAGTCTTCTCCAGACCCCACTCACTAGTGCAACTGATTCCATGCATTCTTGTTTTCTCAGCCAATCGGATGTTTCGAAATATCCAGTTAATTTCTTCAGACCCACGGATAATAATGCTTGACGGCGGAAACAAACGGGCGGCGCATTCAACAGGCTCGGGGGGAAGGTTTGTGTGAGTTAGACGCGCGCTCTCAAGGCTTGGATGATTGCTTGGTGTATAACAAGCTGATCCCACTGCATCTTACAGGTTCGACAATTGATGAGGTTTGTGGGGCCGGTAGCAGTAGCCGAAGTGAGCGGGAGCCGTTTGAGGCGGATCGGGACGCCATCGGCCCGCCCCGGTGGGAAGACATGCCCTATCCTCTGCTGAATCATGCCGATGTATCCGCCAATCTCTACCTACTGCGCGGCTGAGGTCTTCCCACTTCTTGGCCTAGAGTGCCCATGCCATTCAGTCATTCATATTACCTCCGCGAATTTAACGGGGGTTCGCAAGGGAAAACTGCTTACTGATGAACAAGCAGGCGTCCGAGACCATATCGAATGACTGCTCGATCAGGGCTTTCCGTTTTGCCATCGTCATTTGTCGCATGGGCATGGTCATGTATTGCAGACGATTCGTGTGAAATTGAGAGAATTTAAGTACCATATTGTTTCCAACGGGTTGTACATGTATGCTTCCTTCTATGGCGATCAATATGGGACGCGCTTTCAGGCCTACCAGCTGCGTGCGGACTCCAGGCTCTTCGACTCCATATTCGACTTTCTGGCAAGCAACCCGGAAGCCCAGGGGCATGAAAGCTTGAAGCTACCAAGGAGAATACAAACGATATTCTATTTCGGTAGCCAGGGGTGCTAGATTTTGGCAAAAGTAAACATCTCCTGCTACGGAGAATCCACTAAAAGGGGGTCGCACCTATATCACGAATAGTATCACTTTTGCGTACTATAAATAGAAATATAAACTAGTCAATTCAGAATACAATAACTACCACAACGCCGTACAATAGCGAGAGCTATATAAGTCAATATCCCCGAATTAGGGCTATATAACGGTGCCTTCTTTTTCCTATTTGTATGACGATTAAACCTCATAACAAGAATACAACAGAGCTATTACTTAATCCACCATGTACTATATACTGCTGCTTCTTTCTTAGCTGCGTTAGAGTGGAGTATATGGGTTATTATCCACTATACTGGTGATTCTCTAGCTATATATTTGTGCTTTGATAGAGTATTATTTTGCCTTATAGTATCGTGGTGCTTGTGATGTTGTTGCTTGTGTTGCTTGTGCTGCTGGCGATAGTGGCAACGATGGGACTTCATGGGCATTATCTTCCTCACTAGGTATACCGACCGAATTACCACTGATATAGTCCCATTCTCGTTCTATTCAAGTGGATCGTCGATGTCTTAAAAGTCGTTTGGATCAAAATCCTCCGGGCTAGCCCGGAGGATACCCCCAGCCCGAAGGGCTCGGAGGTGCCGGCGAATACAGAGGAGCCTGTCAAAAGTCTGAGCCTACAACGCCAGAACAAAACTGGATTAGGTCAGCCCCGATACCTAGAGATATTCTCTTACCATGCATATACAGAGTGTAGAAATGCTATAGCGGTATGAGATCAATCTCCAGGGACTCATTTGGGGGTAGGTTAGAGATCATGTGATCTGATATTTAGCTCCTTTTATGATACTGTTGGCTGAGAGATAGTGCTTCTCCCGCCTTGGCATTCCCGGTCAATACTTTTGACAGGCTCTTCTGTACTCATATCATATACGCCGTAGGCCCGGGGAAATTGCCGTATAGACGGTACAGCAGATACCTTCTTGCGCAGGCAGTTAAGGCTAGCACGTTGCTAGGCAACGAAGAGTAGTTGGGTAGCCCTTTTAGCAGTGGTCATATTCTTATCACATTAGCAGAGGATAATGAATCTTGGAATAATGTGGTTGGATTATATTCGGCGATAAATTATCTTGATTGTTGTGATGTTGACCATCGCGGATAAATATTGGAGTTATCAGGTTAACCCCAATAACTCATTGCTAGCAAATCCTTGGATATTTAGCTATAGATTCTCTAAGGATTTATAGGCAATAAGTTAGTTATTTAATTAACTAACCTATAATAATTATCCTTCTTTTTTTTATGTATAATAGAGAACTATAGTTACCTTTATTATTTATTAATTACTACTAATATATATAGTTAACTATATTAACTTATCCCTTAGTGTTACTAACACTAATTAGTAGTTAACTTTACTATTAACTACATAGGTTAACTTTACTATTTAAACTATAGATTAGTAAAGACTATAAGAAGAGGTAATTATTACTAGTTAATTATTTATATACCTAGAGTAGGTAAGGACTAAAAAACGCCTCTATAAATACCCTTACTATAATATTATACTAATTACCTATTATAATAGGTTAATTAATAGATCTATAACTAGTCCCCTTAACTAGTAGAAACCTTATTAATTTATATTTATTACATAAGCTTTATTACCTTTAGAGAAGCACTCTTAACTATAAAAAACCCTTTACTTTATGTACCTATAGCTAACTAGTAATTATTTACTATATTTTATTTATTATAAGCTCTTTAGCTTACTAACTTCTTTTTCTTATATATATACTTCTTTTATTAACTAATAGTGTTAATAAGTTACTAATATAATAGCCTATTATTTCTCTTCTTTTGCTAACTAATAGCGTTAATAAGTAGCTAATATAATAGCCTATTATCTTTCCCTAAGTTATTTATCTATAAGAGTATATTTTTTTCTAGCTATTTATACTACTAGCAGTAATCTCTCTAATAAATATATACGCCTTTTAGTCTACTAAAAGAAACACTTATATTTAAGAAGTTATTAGGCTAATAGAGGATAATAGTAAATAATACTACGCCTATAAGTAAAAGACCTAAGCTAAGATAAGTAAATAAAATAAGCTTATAAGTAAGTAAGGCTCCTAGGTTACTACGCCTTTACTTATAAGGCAATAAGAAAAAGAGATTTATAGTAAATATAATATACTACTTAATATAGTAGAGAAGATAATAGTAATAAATAATATTATTACTATACCTTCTGCCTTTATATAGTATATTCTTTTACACTAATAAAGAAAAGATTATATTATAAGGTTACTAACTAACCTTATAGAGAAGTAATAGTCCCTTATACTTAACACTATTATTATATTTTACCTTAGTAAATCTAAGTATAATAACTACCTTAGTAGTAAATTACTCTACTATACACAAGAAGACCTTACTAACTAGCTTATTAGTAACTTTAAGGCTATTAACCTAAAAGTCTTAATAGGTCTATATAACTTCCTTGTTAACTATAAAGTGTAAGTTAACTATAGTAAATACCTATTAATTATTTAATGTATATTTAATACCCTTTAATAGGAGGAAGGTACCTACTAGACTAATAAAATAATTACTATTATTAAAAGATTATTATATAACTTTAGAGAACACCTTAAAGACCCTAACTTTATTAAAGATATTAAAGGCTATAAGATAATTATATATAAAGTAAAAATAGTTAAAGTATACTTATTACTAGTAATTAGCTACTAAACCTTCTATAATAACTTAACCTTTACCTTACTACTGCCTTTATTAACACTAAAACCCTAAGTAATAGCTAAAATTAATAGCCTATATATAATAACTACTACACTACTACAAGAGCTTTTATTAACTATAGTAACGTTAATAGTAATATTAAGGCTAATACTAAAGTAAATAAGTAACCTTATAAAGATATACTCTAATAACTAGGCTATAAAATACACTAGTAGCTAGTATAAGACTATTAACTTAAAATTACTATTATTCTATAACCTTTATATCTAGGTAAGTATAATATAAGACTACTATAAAGCAGTAATTTAAGTAATACTCTAAGGTAAACTATAAGAGTATTATACCTCTACCTTTTACTAATAGGTAAGTAATTTTAATACTCTAATAGTAAAGCTTAAAGAATAATTTAAAGGCAATAAGGTATACTTAGCCTATATTACTAAGCTTTACTATATATTATTTAACTTAATTACCTATAAAAACTATAGTAAAAATAAGCTTAAGATCCTTAAGTTACTTATTAAAAAGGTTACTAAGCTAGTTAAAGTAACTACCTATAATAGCCTACCTAAGGATAAAGATTATTATAAGTGCTTTATTACCTATTATTATAGTATACCTAAGTACACTATAGCTCTCCTTAACCTACTAGCTATATTCTATAGCCTTTATATATAGTTATATAATAAAGTAGTAAATACTCTACTTTACTATAAGCTACTTATATAATACCTTATAGATAAATTTACTATAGAAAATAAGTAATTTTAGGTTAACTATAAGTATAATAGTAGCTATAATAATTACACTAATCTATAGTAAATATAAGGTTCTTTATAAAGTAACTACTATAGTAAAAACTAGTATAGTAATAAATTAACTAAGAAGTACTTTATCTATAGTAAGCCTAGTTATTAGTTAACTAAGTACACTAAAGAGGAGTAGTAATCCTTATTTAACTAGTATAAAAGTACTTACTTTATATAAGCTTTACTAGCTACCTTTAACTACTTTCTTCTTAACTATAAAGGTTATAATATAAGT